AAGTGAAAGCCTTCTCCAGGTGTACATTTACAATCCTATTTAGCATCTCATATTCACCTATATAAGATCAAGTGTAGTGAGTGGCTGTATTTGTAAGCAAACAAAAGAACCAAAACTAAAACTGGCTTGTTTTTTGGAGTTGATAAACTGTTTAACTAAAGAATAGAAGTACCACTAATCTTTATACATAATTATGGCCTCTGATGTTTATCCAGGGCCTACTTTGAAGGAGTTAATCAATAAACTATCAGTTACTTTTGCTGACAATTTGTTTCACCTATCACTCTTCTCTTAATTCTTTCACATAAGTCAACCCCTTGATGTGTACAGAAATGGTACTTATGCATGAAGTTACTGCTTTTGAGATGAGTTTGGACAGTGACAGCAGTGAAAACGTCATTGTGCTTAAATCTAGCTCTAAAAATATATAAATCTATTAACTTGTTTAAGTTGTAACTTGGCAGATGCCTTTATATCTTCACGTATTTTTTTCCTTTCAAACAGTTTGCTGTGTTTGTTTCATGAAATGACATCCTATGATAAATAGGTACAGAGTCGCAGATGACAATAGTTTGCGAAGTTCATATCATTGAGTAAAAACAGTGCTTAAAAAGTCACAGAGCTCTCAAAACGTCAGAATTAAAATCAAAATCAAGTTCAACCCAGAAGAAAATCCATTCTGCAAACTCTAATTTTTAATGCCAGAAATGGCGACTGCACATATCTGAAAAGATTTGCTCCCCATTCCTCCAGAATATGTGGAGTGGTGGGGGGGGGGGGGGAATGGGGGAACACCAGACTGGAAGTCAACATAATTTGCAGCCAAAGTATTTATACATTCCTGTTATAATAATCCTTGCATTTGATATAGTGCCTTATCACGTTGTTGAGATGTCTCAAATCACTTCACAGAATATACTGTAAAGTGTATTACTGTGTATTATTTGGGCAAAATGGACCATTTGGGGAAAAAAAGGCACTTGAGTAAGATTATAAATCAAAGCCTGGGAAACTGCTCTGTGCTCATTTGGTAAACACACATGATATTTTTCAGCCAGAGTTAAAGGTCCAAAACCACAGGAAAAGATTTGTTGAGATCAAGTGCACACCTGTGTCATTCTTTGTTTTAAAAACTAAGATCATTTAAGACCAATTTTAATGGTGTAATGCAGACATTAACCAAAGAAAGGCACTCTTCTTTTGCCATCATTGCACTTCAAAGCTTCGAAACAGATGTTGATGCCATTGTGAATGACTGTTAAATAGCTGACCCCTGTGACAATGGGCACTTCCTTAACATGATCTCTTTTCATTGCTGCTCTTTGAAGATTGGGAATCATATAAATAATGCAGTGGGTGCAAATTAAAAGCACTCTGATGAATGAATCATCTTGAGTCACCCATCAAAGAGGGAAAACAATGTTTTCATTTCCGTGCTGTTTACTAAGATATCTCAGTATTTCACAATTCAGAGGACAAGCACTCAGGATACTCTCGAGCTTGTCATGTCATTCCCAGGCAGCTGCCAGTATAGAAAGTTTTCATCCCTGAGAAACCTCCCCCGCATTTTCTACTGTAGTAAAATGCATTTTCCTTAAATGTGCTATTGTGTGCTGGTCAGCACGGTCTTCACGTCGATCAACTATATTTGCTCTTCAGGTGGACTTACCTCATTCCAGGAGATCATAAGTCACATACATCTGATCCAGACCATTTCATCAGGGCTTCCTGAGCAATCGAGAAGTTTCTATGGATATTTCTTTGTGTCTAGCTCTGTGGCTCACTGGAGACATCTGTTGATGCTGTTGGAGGGCACTTCTTCCGCGGTTAGATAAACCCAGATCACATTCAGCTTTTTGAATTGAACCATGAAACACTGAACATGTCCAGCTGGGCCCCCGCTAGGAATCAGGATTTTAATTCAATCAATCCACTTTACATTGTATTCTGTTAGGCGCTTTGAGACGTTTCACTGATAAGACGCCATATCAAATGTAAGTATTATAATTATTATTGAGCTTTTGGTCAACAGGAGGTTCAAATTGAAAGAAAAACTGTGGGAAAAATTGAGGTAATTTTTGTGTGTGTTAAGGTCAGTATTGGGGTGGCCAGAGGTGAGGATCAATTGTACCTTCCAGCGGTCACAGCAGACTATGTAGGTACAAGGAACTCCCTGCGAGCTTCCCAGTGGGCAACACATCTCAGCATGAAATATGTAAAAGCATTGCCACTGTCTTCCTGTCTGCAGCTCAAGCACACATCCCTTCCATTTGAGCGATGGTTCCACCAGTTGGAGGTGTGGAGTTTAAGCAGCAGCTGCTTGCCTCTCTGCAGGCCAATCAAGGTGGATTCCAGGCACTGGACGTACAAACGTGTTTTCACAAATTCGGACTCCAGGTCATGCCTTCCAGCAGCTGTTGCCCCAGGCCTCAGAGTTTCCTCAAACAGAACCTGCATGCTTCAGAGGAGGCAAAATAATTGTCATTCGTTTCCATGGCTGTGTGTGCACAGATTGGCCACCACCTTCGCCTACAAAATGCAGTCACTTCATTTTACAGTAATTGCTGTGAAGCATTTTGAATCAACCTCCAGACATGAATGGCCCTGTATCAAATGCAAGGATTACTGTTATTTATCTCGGACCATGGAATCATTGATTCTGCGAGATAATGCAACTTTAAACAGGATACAAGCTTCTCACAAGGTCAATTTTTTGGGGGAAAAAGGTGTTAATATACAAAGCATCCAATTTTTAACAGGTGCTATGATCACTTTAGGCAATAAACCAACACAATTCAGTGTGTTGTGCAATGATAGCACGAACATTAGTCACTGGGGAAATTTGTTGGGTTTGGATCAGAATAATCCAGCTGCTGTGCTTCAAGCAGGAAATCTCCATAATGGAAGTCAGCAGGATGTTGCTAGCCTGGGTTTACACTGTATAAGTTGGACAGTCAGTTCATAATAATACTACTTATGAAACAATACACAGATTGGCATGGCTGGATATTAGCAATTTGATAATACATTGTTAATGTGTGGTGTGCCTCAATCCCACTCTATGTGCAAATTCAACCGTACTCCAGCACACACGTAAAATAATCTATATTTGGAGCTACAGTGCTCTCTGTTGATTTCCACTGGCCTCTACACAGCTGTCATCAACCATTTACCAATTTGTAAAGTTCAGACTGGGGTAATCTCTGCAGAAACCCCCCATAAAAAACACACACAACTGTTAAAGACAGAACATTAGTACTGTGTCTTTAATAGCAAACTAGCTAAAAATAATGGGTGCATGACAGAAACCGAGTTCAATATAAACGCTGAGAATTTCCATAAGACCTTGTGAAAATATTCATTACTTTAACCAATCAGCTACCCTTTAAACATAATAAACATAAATGTGCTTCAAATCAACATGGTGTTTATAAATGAAGATGGGGACGATTAGGTCCAAAGCTATAAAGATCAATCCTCCAGTTAGCAGGAAATTGAGGGCTTGCTCCTTATGTTTGTGTTGATCTTCACCAAGACAGTGTTGGAATATGATTGGAAATGATCAAACAACCCGTACCATCCAACAAACATTTGCAATGACGACTTACGTCTGGAGGCAAATAAAAATATTGTGTATTTTTGATTACAAATGTCACTCTTAGATATATATGTCTATATGTCTATATGTCGATATATATAGATATATATGTCTAAGATATATATAATTCCAGTTTCTTGGTTAAATCTTGGAACACAGATATAGAATCATAGAAGCTGACATCACGGAAGGAAGCCATTCGGCCCATCATGCCTGTGCCGGCTCTTTGAAAGAGCTATCCAACTTGACCCACTCCCCCACTCTTCTCCTTACCCCATATAATCTCTATTAGAACAATAACAACAAAGTATAGTGCCTTTCACGTTAGGAGGACGTTCCAAGGCGAACAGTATTATACTCAACCCATTTCAGGACGTTTTTCCCACGGACAATGAGAAAGAATTATGTTCAGTTTAAATGCTCTGAAGCTAAGGCAGATGCGTAAGTTACATTTCATGTTGATTTTTTTTTAATGAAAGCTTTGTAATAGAAGTTTGAAAATAGACTCAGCATAGTGAACCCGTAAAAGAGACTATAAATACAGAATCCATGAAAGGCATAACCCCATGCTGCAAGGATCAAGTCAACCAGGAACTGCAAGATTTGCATTTGAGTCATTCTTTGTTTCCATGCAGGCCTCTGGATGGGATTGAGTGCACTCTGCCCATAGTAAAAATACAGGAAGACATGAATTATTGAATTGAAAGCAAGGAACGGTGCAATGGCAGGCCATGGGTAATAGTGATACGTCAGGTCACTCAGGATGAGCATGCTGCAGTGATGGTAGACATGTAGGAAGGAGATCTGACGCTTCTTGTGTCTTAGGATCATGAAGACCGTATCAAGGAGTTCCATGTTCTTCAACAGCCAGTAAATGAAGAAGGCACTCTGCAGCTCTGAAATGGGCTCCTTTTGAAAAATGGATGTCGCACTGCGAAGCCCATTGAGAAAGAGGCCGGCAGTGTACAGGCTCAGGACACTACACGTCATGTTATAGACTAATAGGATCTGCAGAATTTAATAAACACAGGCATTTACAAAGGGGAATGTACGCACAGACTGTTCAAATCACATTCTGTTCAATTTTACAAATGACAGCGCCCAAGAAATACGAATTAATTCAGCTTCCAGCAACACAATTATGAAAATATGCTTTATGTTTAAAGACAAACGGGATGACTTTTGAATTTAAATCTATAAATTATTTAACCAGAGGCTTAATTCCTTTTTTTAGCACAGAGTGTTCCTCTGCTGCAGTGTACCCGATTTTCCACTTGAAGAAACACTTCAGCTGGAACGTTGCATCTCAGCACTGAAGGGGTTAAAATCAAAACAAATCTGTGGAAACATTACTTCAGTGAGTGAGTAGTAAATATATGGTACAGGCTCCCTAGGAAGATGGTGGCAGCGGAAAGTGTTGTTTGTTTCAAGAACAAATTAGATAGATTTCTATTAGAAACTATTATCCCTGGATACAATATACACTTTGGGACACAGCATGTCAAACGACTGCCAGTATGGGGGAAGGTGATCTGGGTGGACCTTGGTCTTTTTCACCTAGCAAGTTCAAATGAAAAGACAGACTGAAAAATGTGGCCTGACTGGTGAGATAGCCATGTTGCTAGATTTATGTAAGGTAAGGTTCTTCTGTAGCCAGTAAGTTACATTCAACGTAACCTTATTAAAAATGGAATCCCTATTACAGAATTAGAAATTCAAAGCAATTTATTTCATTAATAATTCTAATTATTCCTTGTTAAAGGACTAAATGTGAATGTGTTTAAGAACTTCACTTCCCTATTATCTAGCTTCCTTCAATATGAGTTGGAAGCTTTTTGGACTATTTTTCTCAGAGACGAGCAGGTATCTTCCACCTTAAGAGGCAGGATATAGGTTTTCGAAATCGAGTCCCGAGCTACAGACTTGCGAGATGATAGATGTACAGCAAATGCTTCAATAAATTCTCAGCAGATCATAATGCCATACGAATGGCAAAAAAACACATCTCAATGCCCAACCACACACTTTACAAGGAAGCTTTTCTGCTATGGAGTTGTTACAGGGTATTGCTAAATCGTTTGCCTGTTTTTTTTTTCCACATTGCAAGAAGAGCTTTCCTGTTCTGAAAGCAAAGTTCATTACAAATGGATACTTATCTAAGTTTGCTGTGTATACTTGCTTGAGATGTCAAATCACACAACCACTGAAATGCTGAAATACACAGAGTAATCAGTGTACAATTAATCTTCAAAACACAAAATCTAAAAACCAAGGAACAACCCATTTTCACTTATTAATGATCTACAACAGAAAATCATGACATTAAATACGGTGGCTCCATTGATATTGAAAACTCAACGATGCCTTGCCTCAATGGCCATTTCAGATTCCTGGCCTGTCGTTATCTGACGTCCGCATAGACAAATTCCAGCAGGAGTCCCCAGACAGTGCCGAAAAGGAGAAACTGATTGTTCCCCTCCCAATACCGGGGAGGTAAAGACAGTGCAGCACTCCAGACAGGATTAGCGATATTACGAGATTAACAAAATAATAATTTCAAGAATAGATTATTCTTTCAAGAATTACATGCTCTGCTGGTGCAACAAAAATAAAATCAGAAAATGTTGATCGAAGCATCAAGTGTGAGGGCAGTATTCCCACATGTCAGTTGCCGCTCTATTAAAAGGTCTTTAAACAGACTGTGTGTTAGGGGAGTCAAGCTTTCATAACAATTTGCAAACTGCTAAATTTACGTATTCAAGATGGCAATAAAATTGGAAACTCCTTGCACCAGTGAAGCATGTAATCTTCAGACAGAAGCTCTTTGAGGAAGATTACACCTTTGAGCCTCTTCACAAACATTGCTTTGTAAAGATCACTTTGGACTGAAATTCTATCATCTCTGACTGAATGAAATGCACGTCATTGCTATGGTAACAACTTATGCTGTTCCAAACAATGCATCAGTGTTGTGCTACTGCCTTAGAAATCCGGATGTGAAAAGTGGCCTCAACCTCCATTCACACACAAGCCTGCCCTCGTGGCAGACTGTCAATCTTTGCTGAGTTCAGTGCAATATTTCAACTTCGAGGTTCTGCACTGCTCCATCTCTGGACTTGTTGTTTATGGCACCACCAGAACTGCTCAATCGAATTGCTGCCGTGTAACTCAAAGCCAACCAAGCAATGACAAGAGCACCACACACGGGCACAAGCAGGAATTATCACTACATTTAATCAACGCATTATTTGCTTGTGGCTTGCTCTGCAGTGACTCCTGCTGGAAAGTGTACATGTGAATACTGGCTGGGTGAGGATAAGTTCAGGCTGAGCTGTAACGCCACCACCAACAACACAGTTGAATGATCTGCCTGCACTCACTGTCTAATAATAATAATTCTGACATTTGACATAGCGCCTCATCACATCTTTGAGATGTCTCAAAGTGCTTCACAGAATATACACTGTAAATAAATTGACTGTATATTTTGTGGGCGAAACGTGGCAGCCAACTGTCCCACAAACAGTTGTGGATTGAATGACCAATGATTATAGTTTTTTAAAAAATTATTTTGAAGGAATTATTCCCCCCCATAAAAGCGATCCACCAATCGACTAACAACTGGGTTCCTACTTACTGCTAGCTAAGCAGAGGCGTGTGGAATAAAGAAACTTGCCCAACATTTCGCTCTGCCCAGGAATCAAACCCAGGTCTTCTAAGCTCATACACGAGGAACTGAATCTTGGGCAAGGACTTGAAAAATAGCCAGCTTCCCCCCAGGGTATCAGACCAGGAATGAGGGGAAGCTGATGAAGAGGGGGTAAATAAAGACTACATTTTGAGGCTTGAATTCAATCGAGAAAGTTTCCCCTTTTTTAAAAAAACTGGAGGCACTGCACACGTTCGCACCTTTTATTTAAGAATTATTTTTGATGACAAACGCAACGTTAAGAAAATGGGGAAAATGAATGCTGTTTGCTGAACATTCTGCTATTTGTTTGGATCACATGTATTCAAATCTTTCACATGCGCTTTTTCACTTTGTGCCACATACGACGGACCGAAGATATATACTAAAAGCCGAAACACAGAGATACACCTGAAGTTACAAATCAATCACATTATTTGCTGCTTCTGCATTGCTGTGACAAGAAAAATTCGACTTAACTGGTGCCCTTTACTCTCTCTCATTCACTCCACCTCACTTCTCTCTTCACCTCAGAATTTATATAGTTTTAGAGGATTGGTAATAAAACCATAAATCTGCTGGCATTTTGTTGGTACAGGCATTACGCATTTACGAACAGCCGTAAAACAATCAAAGAACTACACAGAAAGTGTTACATAGTCAGATAAAGAGGTGTGATCAGTTTAAATCAAGCCATCTCATCTAAACCTGATAAATTTACCCACGGCCTGAAAACTCATTTTTCCTGGGGCTATTGATTTCTGCAGGGTCCCGGAATATGATGCATTTACTGATTCACTCCTGGGCAAAATGTTACATAGTTATACTGCTAATGGCTCCCCTGCTTCCCATACACTAAAAAAATAGTTTAATTTTAGACTTTAGTAATGCTCTTGCAATGTATTTTTTCTGTTTCCGTTCCAAACAATACGCCTGGTTGATTTATCTCGAACGTGGTGTTCAGAATAATATTGCCTGTTTTGTACAGCGCCTGGCTCCAGCTTTGCTGAATGGGCATCTGTTTTCAACTGCATGATGAATGCTGTTTCGGAAAATTAGAATGTGGAATATTATACGTGAAAATAAAACCCAAAAGGCTGAGAATAAAACACAAAGGGGATCACTGTTCTGATTGTTTGCTAAATAATTTGAAATTCAAATGTGGCAGTGTGGTGCCAAAACACTTTCCAGAAAGTATTGGAGGGGCAACCTTTTGAAGGCTGCCATAGCATTTCACTACCAACAGTGAAAGAATATTCCTCTTCCCCTCTCTTCATCTCCACCAAGCCTGGCCGAAGAAGGCAAGCAGCCTTGGTTGGCAGCTGGGCCCCTAATCGCTGGAATTCCCTTCCTCAATCCCACCTTAAGATCTACCTCTTTGCCCGTGCCTATTGTCACCTCTACCTCCCCTCTTACCCGGCATCCAACCCCACCACTGTGCAGCACTCCGAGATGTGATCCTGCATAAAGGGTGTTGTGTGAATGCAAGTTGTAGTAGTTGTCAACCTGCATGTGTCAACACCCTTTACTTAATAATTAACTACTAGGATACTTCAAAAAGAAGAAAATTATAAACAGCAATCATCCTTGTACTTGTTACAGCACCAGTCCTGTCTCAAAGCCCTTCACAGAATTTACCACAAAGTGTAGTGACTGTGTATTATGCAAGCGAATGCCACAGACAATTTTACAGGCAGCAATGTCCCACCAACTGCCATGAAATGAATGACCAATTTTATCTGGGAGGTTGCTGGCCCAATGCCACTGAAAGGGTATGAGCGAGCATAGAAACAGAATGTCCAGCACAGGAGGAGACCCCTCAACCCACTCTGTCTGTGCCATTGTTATCTCTTTGTGCGTCTTAAAACAGAGAAACACCAGCAAAAACTCAATGGGCCGAACGGCCCGTTTCTGTGCTGTAACTTTGTAGGAGAATTGCTGATGTGCGGCTCGCCGGTGATTGCCCTCTTAACCTTAGCTCGCTCTCCGTGGGGGAAAAGCCAACGGCTCTGGCACAGCAAAGACTGAGTAGCTCACCATGCAACAAGCTCCAGTGAACCCAAGTCCAAGTGTCCCCACGGCACAGCACTTCAGAGAAGTTTGGAAGAGGGTTAATTTTAAAAAAACGAGGTAGATAATTGATAGCCAAGTTTCCTGCTTATGAAACCCGCTGCTAATGTCCCTGTTTAGTTGGCATTGAGTTACAAGTCAGCAGTTAAATAATCAGTTCTCTTTGATGCCGTAAGCAAAAATAAATGTGAAACTGGAGCATTCAGTGAACGCCAGAAGAAGCCCAGAGCTGAATCTGGATTTTAAACTCACTGCCAACAAGCTGTTGTTCTTTTGATGTCCTATTTACACTGCCCATTTAATGCTGAATCACCACTAATAGTGCAGTGTAAATCAGGTTTCAGAGGCATCGATTTGATTCCGAGCCCAGTTTGGAAATTCATTTAATGAATCAGCTGTTGTGAAATAATTTAAAGGAATTTCTTTGAAAAAAGCAGTTGAAAGGTTCGGGGAGAGGGTTGGAATGGCAAGGAGTTGGTTGAGGAATGGGAACTACACCCTCATTTTGCTGCTCTGAATTGCTTTGTTGCTGGAAGTGATAAGCAGTGTAAATGCCCGACGAATATATGCTGAATTTAAGGCCTTTTTTTAAAAAAAACATCCCCAAGATATGGTGAGGTGTCTGTTAAGAGTGAATGTCGGTTAAAAAACTGTTGACAGAAGCTGAAGCTGTACGGTTTTATGTAAGTGGTACGTTAGCCAGTTTTCTTTTGTAACAGATTACAAGTATGGTATAGTGTAAAAAGATTGATGTGCGAAGTTTGACGGCTGTCTGAGAGTCACGGAACCATCATCCAAAACATTGTTGAGCAAAGACAGGCCGAATCCTAAACAAGCTCCGTGTTCTGCTGACTTCAGTGTGACTGTAAAAATGGGTTGCCTGAATGCCAAACCTTATAATAGACTGCGCTGAATTTAAATGCCTTCCAAATCAGCTGCAAAAAATTTAAATTTAATAATAGAAGCATCCGTTCATATCGACTATCGAGACTGCACTTAACCACTGTTTCAGGAAAAATATTTTTTTTAAAGAACAGAAAATTCTAGCATGTTCTTTATAGACTAAATGCAAGTTGTTGTTGTATTTCTGTATTTTGTTTTTAAAAATGGCAATGGTTTGCTGTATCAACTTTGATTTTCTTCAGTCGGGTTTCCGTGCTGCCCATAGCACAGAAACCGCCCTGGTCAAGGTCACCAATGACATCTTGACCATCTGTGACCTTGTCCTATCAACAACATTCGATACGGTCGACCACGCTATCCTCCTCCACCGCTTGTCCTCCCACCTCAACCTTCAAGGCCCTGTCCTTGAGTGGTTTAGGTCGTACCTCTCCCACCGTCTTCATTTTGTTTCCACACAAGGCTTTTCCTCCAGCCCCCGCACTGTCTCATGTGGTGTCCCTCAGGGCTCTGTCCCCTCTTCTTCACCCTCTATATGCTCCCCCTTAGTGACATCATCCGCAGACATGGGGTTAACTTCCACATGTATGAGGATGACACCCAACTCTACCTTTCCTCCTCTACCTTCAACTCCTCGACCACCGATGTCCTCACAGCCTGCCTGTCCGACATCGAGTCCTGGACGAGAGACAACTTTCTTCAGCTCAACGTGCGCAAAACTGAGGCCCTCCTGATTGGCTCACGTCAGCGCTTCCGCACCTCAGGCGCTGACAGCATCAGCATCCAAGGCTGCACTCTCCACCTCTCAAAGCCAGTCAGGAACCTCGGCGTTCTGTTCGATCCTGAGCTGTCCTTTCTTCCTCATATCCGCGCCACAACTGGCACCGACTTCCATCACCTCCGGAACATCACCAGACGACGGCATTACCTCACCCCTCACGCTGCTGAAACTCTGGTCCATGCCTTTATCACCTCAAGGCTGGACTATGGGAACTCTCTCCTCGCCGGCCTTCCCGCCACCTCCCTCCACAAGCTGCAGGTCATTCAGAACTCTGCAGCTCGTGTACTGTCCCGCACCAGGCTTCGGGACCACATCACACCCACCCTCGCTCGCCTCCACTGGCTCCCCATCCCCCAGAGGATCGAATTCAAGATCCTCATCCTCACCTACAAGGCCATTCACGGCCTCGCTCCCTCCTACCTCTCCGACCTACTATCCCCCTACCTACCTGCCCGTACCCTCCGTTCCTCTGGCTCCGGTCTGCTCCACATTCCCCGCCCCAACCGCCCTACCATCGGTGGCCGGGCCTTCAGCCTCTCAGCCCCGAGGCTCTGGAACTCCATCCCCCAGTGCCTTCGCCGCCTCCTCCCTTTCCTCCTTCAAGGCCGGTCTCAAGACCTTTCTCTTTGACCGAGCCTTCAGCTCCCCTCTCGACTCTCTACCCCTTCCTCGCTCCCTCCCTTCCCTCCCCTCACCCTGACCATTTCCCCCCACCCCCCCCTCCCAATGCTCGGGTTCTGACCCAACTGTACAGCGCCTTGGGACGTCCTCCCGACGTGAAAGGCGCTCTATAAATGAAATCTTGTTGTTGTTGTTTCTGTTTGTACCTATCTAATGATACTCGAATTTGACAAAGCGCCTCATCATGTCATCAAAACATCTCAAAGCACTTCACAGGATATATTTTAAAGTCATGTAGCTGTGTATATTTTGTGGGTGAATGTTTCACAAGTGTACAAAAATGTTGTACGTTTGTAGGCACAATGCCACAGTTCCTAAGATGGCTTAGCTTTTTGCCTTGCGTTACTGAATTTACTGCACTGCGCCATTGCCAGTTTATTTGCTTCCTTTCTTAAAATATCTTGCACATTTCTCTACCTTCTTTTACATTATTCCCAATCTAAACTATAGCTGCACAATATCAGTCTGACATTGGTACGCCCTGCGATAAAGCTGCAATACTTGCCTCTGGGAGTTTTGCTGCTCAATAGATTTGTTGAAAACAAAGAGGTTTGATTGAAATTAAATGCTTCTGTTTTCATTTATATTGTCTGGAGAGAGAATCGTTTTGTAAAAATTATTGGTTATCCACATGAGCTCTGGTGGGTGCAAATCTGTCCCTATTTGCAATCCATCAACCTCATTAATCCATCAGAATTTGGTTCTGACAAAGAGCAAATTAGAGCGAGCACTACTGTAATTAATTTGATAACTTTTTTAAACATGAAAACATATTGTAACAATCTGCATATTAACACACCCTGTCTTGCAGTTAGCATGTTCTTACAGATAATTTGTTGCAACAATGTGCGACTGCTACTTAGTAACTCAACACAGCAGCTGATTACAGTTGAGTGAGCAATATAGCAATAAAACGATAGAAATAAATTAGTGTATTACAGAAACACATGTGTCTTCACAATTAATAAATTCCACTCCATCAAACTGTGATTTAATTATACATTATGTATGTTAGGCATGAATCATTCATGTACATTATTATCCATGTGGGAAAATAGCAAATAGACTTATCAACAGGATTCAGATTCCATTTTTTTCAAAGCAAACATCCAGATTTTTTTTTACTCTAGCCACTGAGGCAGATATCTATTGCAATGCACTCTCACTTTTTAATAAATCAAATATAAAACCAGTTAATCAGATCAGCAGTAATAAGGAATGCAGGAGTTTGCATTGGTCTGACAAAAAGGAAGTTTGGACATAGATGCAATGCATATTCTTCAACTTAATTTGCAAAGGAAGGAAAACAGTTTACAGGGTGTTTGTGCCTGAACAAGGACACGGGTTGCGTACTACTCACCTTTAAAGAGAATGCCAACTGGATCCATCAGCTGCAACAACAAAGCTTTGGATTCCCAACCCAGGGAAAGAAAATGTAACCCACATTCCAACTGAACGCATCCCCCTCACCAGGAATGTGCTGGGAGTTGCCAGATGCAAAACGCATCAGCCAGCAGCCAAGTGCTGGGTCCTGAAGGGAGGAATAGAGAGCCCAAGTGCAAAATTGGCCATCCTTGGAAGTGGTGCCTGTCTTGCCCCTGTTCACAGAACACGTGGACAGCCAAGATAAGCCCATTCTTCGGAATAACTTTCCTTTCATTCATCTTTCCCCTCCCCATCCCCAAATCAGATGGCCAGACAGCATTGTCAAATGCTTTGATACCATCCTTCTGACGTGAAAAAACTGCATAAATGTAAATTACAATGCAATAAAGGTGGACAATAATGCAATGGACAGCACTAATATTTACAGCAAAGTGTTTTCACCTCTGCCATTCAGGATTGAATCCCAGTTTGACAGCTTTGAAACCTTAAGTGCGGTGAGATCATGTGGTCTTAATCCAGTTCTGTGTGAAGCAGGAATTGGTACGAACAGGGATTGTCCAACCCAGACAAAAAACCTGCCAGCTCTCTCAAAGATGATCTCTGGCTCATTTTTCTCCCTAACTCTTATCTTATCGACATTGACAAAGAAGCCGCCTCTATTGTTCCACTCTGTTCTATCTTTATGAGCGGCATTACTTACACGCGTGCCGCTTTTGTACAAGTCTTATCTCCCTCGACTCAAAGTCCCCTGTTTCCTCTATTCCTGTTGATGTTCTTCAAGAGATACTACTACAACCATTGTCCTTGTCTTATGCCACACCTTCAGACTCGGTCCCAGTTTATAATTTCTGGGAGATTTACTGCAACTACTCCTAAATTATGATCCTTTGTACCATTCACACTGCCATCCACTTTTTGTGTATTCAAGTCATAGCAGCTGCTGTCAACTCAAATTACTCATCACACTTGTAACAGATCTACGCTCGTCCATCATGGCAACTGCGCTGATAATCTTCTTACATAACTATATAAATTAATTGGCAACTTGACATCTAGCACAGATGTACGCTATAATTTTCAGCAATGCAAGCCACATTAAACTGTTACAATGGTTTCCTCTAGACAGTGATGTGCTGAACTGGAGCAGATTGTCAGTCACCAACCACACAGAGTCACCACTGGCAATGGTGGGAATCACAAAATGATGGGTTGGGGTGGGGTGGGGGGGGGGGGGGGGAATCACAGCCACACAGGTGCAGCACCTCCTAGTGGACACATCAGGACCAGCTCCCATTACATGACAAACACATATTGCTCTATTCTGTACCTCAATTTAGAAGATAAACTACTGTACGAGGGAATTCACTGCAGCCACTTTTAATATTTTACTTCTGAGTTTTCTATAAATTTTAAGGTTAAAAAAAAGATAAAGTGTCGAGCAACTAGAAGTGGTTCCTCCTCTCTCTGCAAATATTTTGCTGTTGAGCAGAAGAGAGCCGAGCCTGTTTATTTATTTCATGTTCAGAGTGGCTTTAGTTCAACAAGGATGTCAAAGCTGGACCAAAGCAACAAAGTATGACAGTGCACATCAACCAAACCTAATTTACGTTAGCTCAGCTGCCATCTTTATAGCCACCGAACAAGAGTTAACCTGACATGGATTCTGCGAGTGAGACAATGAGGTACCAACATTCTCACCTTCTTCAACTCCAGAGGTTTTGTGAATTTCTGCCAGTAGGTGGAAAAGAGGATCATTCCAATGTAGGTACACGCCATTGGAACAGACGGCAAACCCAGGGCCTTGCTGAGAAAGTGCCCTCTGGTGGGCGACATAACATTTACATTCTGCAACTCTTCCATGGTAAGATACTGGAAAGAAATGTAAACAGAGATGTCTTGAAATTCAGATATGGTTATGCTGTATGCTGGGGGGCAATTTTATTTGTTACTAACACATCTTATACTTCTCAGGTGTCAATCTGACTCAGCTGATAGCATTCTCGTCTCTGAGTCTCATGAAGCATTAAACAGAGGTCCCTCTTGCCTGTTCAGGTGAGTATTAAAGATCTCGTGGCACTATTCGAAAAGAGAAGGGAGTTTCTCCTGGTGTCTTGAGCAACAAGTCCCCCAAGTAAAAATTGTTCACTCACTCCATGGCTGTTTGGGATATTGCTGTGTGCAAATTGGCCTCCACGTTTCACGCACAAAATATAGTCAACGTCTTTACAGTATATCCTCCGAAATGCTTTGAGATGTTACGACGACATAAGACGCTATATCAAATGCAAGGATTATTATTATTAAGATGGCAGATTCAAGTCCCACATCAGGACTTTCAGCTCATCGTCTGGGCTGACATTCCAATGCAGTGCAGGGGTGTGCTGCATTGTTGGAGGGGCCTTAGTTCTGTTGAGACATTAAATTATGTTTCCGTCTGCCTGTTCAGTGAAGAAAGTTTATCCCAGTGTCGTGGCCAACAATCCTCCAGATAAAAATTAGTGATTCACTTCAAGGCTGTTTGTGGGACTTCACTGTATTCAAATTGGTTACCGTATTTGCCAACAATCACAACACTTTACGGTAAATTATGTGGAGTGCTTCGAAATGTTCTATTGACGCATCAAATGCAAAAATTATGATTATTACTCGCAGAACACTTTAATGTGCTTATCTCAAGAGGTAAAACATTTACAATGAGGCTTAATGTTTACTCTAATGTATATAATCCCCAGGAAAATTTTCGTACTTATGATCAATTAGATTTCTGCATCTTAACCATTACATTTTATATAGTGCCTTTCATGTTGAGAGGACATCTCAAAGCGCTTCACTGGATATAGCGTAAAGCGTAGTGTGCAATTTGCAGACATAAGCTGCAATCAATTCACTTCTTCTTTCCTTGTACCCTTGAAACGTATTTATTCAAATTTCTTTTAAATGCAGTCATTAAAGAATTCTGTGAAATGTAATGATGTAATTACGTAATGTCATTTGTGGAAAAACACAGCATCCAATTTACTCCTTTTCAATACTGTGGTGTGATCTTTAATGTCTCCTGAACAGGTAGATTTCTGGATTACTTACTTCACAGATCACGGTAAAGAAATGTTTGCAAGAGAGAGATGCATGCAGGTACTTTTCAAGTTGGAATTTCTTCCAGGTTTCAAGTACAGTAGCATTCATATAATTGACAATAATTTTATTTTAAAAGAGTCACTTTTTTATACAAAAGATGAATGAAACACAGTAAATGCTGTGAAGCGCTTTGAGATATCCTCCACACGTGAAAGACGCCATATCAAATGCAAGGATTATTGTAAACCCATGCAGTTTACAAGTCAACAATGGAAAATATTGCGTGCAGTTTACCCCTGCTCTGATTCCATGGCTGAAGTATCTGCAATGCTATGGAAACTTGTATACACCAACACAGCAGAGAAATAAACAGGAAAAGGATTAGCGGATTGTTAATGAACAAGAATAGACTATTGTTTGCTCCTGTTTATGACCTTTATCAAAAACCGATCAACCTAAACACCACCATGTGCCAGACTGAGTAAATTGACTCATACCTTCCAACAATACCTTAGGCCAGAGTAAAGAATCCTGTAATACACTCATATCCAATATTAGACACTAGACATAACTTCTTCAAGATAATTGTACAGCAATGAAACAAACATCTGTCTTAATAGTTACCCTTTCGTAACACACCTATCAGAGAGAATACAGTCCTGTGAAGATCATCAAACCAACGGCAATCTTTGTTGACTTGTGGACCATGTGAGCAGTGTTACACATCCCTCCTTCCCCACTCCCAACACAGGAATTGCTAGATGAAAAAAGACCATCTAGTTCGCCTTCTACCATCCTGCTTGTCACGTGCTACAATAATGGAGATTTTGATAGCAATTAATTCTGTATGGATTAGTCTCCAATCTTAGCTTTGGGAACCTTAGACGCAAAGTTGCTTGGCTCTTCCAAGCATTTTACACTTACAATACGTCATGTCTCAAATTACTCAAATACTGTATCTCAAAATATTATTGTCTGAAAGAAATCTATCTAAATTGTATTTGAATGAATCGAATCAACATTGTATCCAATCAGAGAAAACTATGGCTTCTGGATTTAGCTCTTTGCTACTTCATGTGAGCTTTGCACATGCAAAGTGCTTTCCATTCATACTTCATGCAACTCCACTTTAGCTCTATAACCGAAGAACATGCATTGGAGTACAACCAAAGGAATAAGCATGCATGCTATTTTACAGAATTTTTCACTATCCTAAAATATCAACAGAAAGCCCAAGGTCACCTTAGCCTCACACACCACACACACACACATTGTTCAGATTAATCGGCTTCCAGATAAACATCATCTGTACCAGAGCAGGGACAATATGTTACTTCATTCAGCTTTTGAAATGAAGTACACCTGAACTGGCACGAGTGTCAAGGAGTCTTTAAAAAAAATAATGCTTGCATTTAGTATACTGACTTTTATGTTGGGAAGACATCTCAAACCGCTTCACAGCATTTTACTACACAAATTGTGACTTTGTAGACAAACACAGCAGCTAATTTGCGCACAGCAATCTCCCACAAACAGCCATGAAATGAATGACCAATTTTAGCTTGTTGGCCAGGACACTTCGAGAAACTCTGTACTCTTATCCAATGCCAAGGCATCTTTATTATCCAGGTGAATAGGCAGACGGGACCTTGGTTTAACATTTCATCTGGAGGATGTAAAGTTCAGAGCTAAGGTGAAATGTGCAAGATGTTTTAGATTTGCTCATCCAGAGGATGGCACCCCCGACGATGCAGCATTTCCCGTGCATTGGCATATAACCAAAGGAACGTAAGGCATGAACTCACAACCTTCTGATTCACAACCGACAGTGCTACCTACTGAGCCTGGCTGACACCTACTGTGCTTACAGCTGCTCATGTTCTGCCAAGCTCATGCTACTAATGAAGATGACAGTCAATTTCTATTTGAAATAAACCTAAGAACAGACGTGTTATTTTTAAGCAATGATGGTATTTTTTTCCAACCCTGTCCATTTATCTTTTGCTCTTCTCTTTGGAGGTCATAACTCCACGTTCACATTCAAGAAAAAAAAACTATTTTTTATGGGGTACATAAATGGTGCTGTCTTGCTATCTAGACCGGATATTTTATAAGTTAATGCCGAATTATCACATTAACATCATGTCCTGAGCTTCTGGTATTAATTAGCGGTAATTTTCTTCAATGACCAAAGTGGCAATGGGAGTTATCATTCTCTGAAATAATTCTCTGTTGCATTTTGCTTGATATAATAGGAAGAGGCCTGCCTGCTTTCTTACACAGATTCCACAACCTTGTTTGAAAAGGTGAAGTGGAAGTTCACCAATGGCTGCAGGATACTGAGAGAAAGCAAATCAGATACAAATCATTGCCCTGAAAAGTTCGTGCTCCGCAGCACTAAAAATAAACCCTGGTGCTCACTGGCTAGTTGACATTTAAGGTTTGTTCATTACTTCTGAAATTAAGTAAATGAAACGTTAATTCGTTTGCAAGTAGTTGGTCGGCGTGCACAACTCCTTTAGTGAGCAACACAGTTTCTGGGACGTTGCTGTGCGCAACATTGGCTGCTGTGTTAGCCTACAAACTACACAGTCATTACACTTTACAGAGTATATCCTGCAAAGTGCGTTGAATAAAATGAAAGATTGGCTATTAACAGGCACAGTGACTCTTTTTTTGTTTATCCTAAGTGCTGTCACCGAAAGTAAAACAAAAAAGTACACCGAAAAAACTTACTTATTTCATTCACTTAAAAAAAATCTAATGGCACACACAACTTTTGATTGGGGACAGACTGAGAAAATGTCAGTTTGGCTCAGTTGGTAGTACTCTCGCCTCTGGGTCAGGAGGTTGTGCATTCAAGCCCTACACTGGGATTCAAGCTCATAATGTGGGTTGACAACTCCTTTGCAGCACTGAATGACCACTGTATTGTTGAAGGTGCCACCCTTCGGATTAGATGTTGAACCCAGGTCCCGTCTGATGATTCAGGTAGACATTAAAGATCCTGTGGCATTATTTCAAAGAAAAGCAGGGACTTTTCACTGGCATTCTGGCCAATACTCATCCCTCAACCAAATTCACAAGAACAAAAAAGGAATAAAATTGGCAATTAATTTCATTGCTATATGTGGGACATTAGCGTAGATTACTTGCTGGATTTACCTGCATCATAGCAGTCACTACTCTTCAAAGTGAAGCACTTTGAGAGCTTTAGGGAATGAGGCATTAAATCAATTGCAAGAATTATTACTCAATGACTCTCTGATGTCTGACCATCCCACAGGATGCTGAGGGCTCTAAATAAAAATTCAATCGCAAGATTATTTTGTGACTTACCTTTTTGCTATGCGTTGGAGAAGACACAAGGCAAGGGTAAAAACCGCCTCAGACCAGAGCAGACCTGCAAAGAGGCACATAAAAAGATCCAAACCTTGTGAGAAATTAGATTAGGAAATGGTACCTTGCAACATCTGTCAATTTACAGATAAAGTCAGGAAACACAAGATTTTAAAATCAGAAAATGGTGGTACTAACTGCAGAACTTCCAGTACGTCAGACCAGAAAATCTGAACAGAGAGTTCCTCAGAAGTTATGCCATCACTTCGAGGAGTTCACACAATATCATAAACCATGGCAGCAAATCTAAAGCATCCTATCAAGGTCACCTCAGCTCCAAACTTTCCATTCTTCGGATGAAATATAAAACTGAGGTCCTGTCTGCCTGTTCAGATGGATGTTAAAATCTCACAATGCTACCTGAAAAGAAAAGGGAGCTTCTCTCTCCCAACAAGCGACCCCTCCCACTCCTCAGATAAAATTGGTCATTTTGGTTTATGGGACACTGTTGTGCGCAAATTGGCTACTATAATCACCTAGAAAATGCAGTCACAACACTTTGCAGTAAATCCCGCAAAGCGCTTGGTATATAGCAAAGAATTATGACTCTTACATCCACTTTAACGTACACTAAAAGTCTACATTATTCTTTATAATAATAATCCTTGCATTTGATATAGTGATTATCATGTTTTCAAGACGTCTCAAAGTACTTCACAGAATATATTGTAATGTGACCTTGTAGCCTATCATAACAGCTGAGCCACCAGGTTCAGTGAAGGACCTCATAAAAGAGGACCTCATGACTGCAGAGATGGATGTGAACTGAATTATGAGAGAAGCGTGTTTCATTTCACTGTACGTTGAACTGAGAATTGGGACTGGAGTAGATGACGTTTCACCCACAAAATAAGCAGTCAATTCACTTAACAGTATATTCTGTGAAATGCTTTGAGATGTCTCTGACGACATGATAAGGTGCTATATCAAATGGAAGGTTTATTATTATTATGGCTCAGGTGGAGGATCTAGCTGTGACACCAACTTGGGCTGAACGGCTTTTTATGTTGTCATTTATAATAATAATATCCTTGCATTTGATATAGCGCCTTATCATGTCATTGAGACGTCTCAAAGCACATCACAGAACATACTGTGTATTCTGTGGGGAAACCTGTCCTGAGTGTATTAGTGTACAATAAGTAAATTGTTTCTATCACACTCTTGCAGCCCTATAACTCCCTGGAATCGGAAAAATCCTGAGAACAAAGGTATCTGAATCCCATATGACCGGACCTTTCCTGAACTGAAATCTGTGGCTAACAAATGGATTCCACCAGGAGCACTCAGTGGCAAAGAAAAATGCAGATATAGGGGTTGGGTGCATTCACATTTTGCTCTGCACAGCTTGTGCCAAATAACTTGACTAAGTTTTGCCCCGCCCAGGAATCAAACCTGGGTTCTTTCGTTTTCAAGGTGAGCGCACTAACCACTACAGGACTCTGCTCTGGAAAACCAGAAGAAAGAAGAGAACTGGAAGCACAGTATGTTCATCACCGCCCAACCAGACTTCTCAAATGCCCTCTTTGCCGGTCATCCCAACTCCACCATGCACAGGATCCAGCTGATCCCAAACTGTGCTGCCCGGTCCCCCATCACACCAGTTCTAGCCAGGCTCCACTGGCTCCCTATCGCTGAACAGATCAATTTCAAGATCCTCATACGCGTTTTCGAATACCTTCGTGCCCTGGCATCTTCCTACCTCTCCGACCCACTTACCTCTCAACCCACTGCCTCTGCTGGACTGGCTCCAGCCTCTGCATATAAATGCAAGTTGCTGTTGTTGTAATGTACAGCAATGCACATGGAACCTGTTACAGTCCTACCTGGCCAGGATTTCCACGACTCAGCTTGTAGAACAACAGAAAGTGAAGTCAGGAACTCTCAGCTCAGCTCAGCTCACTCCCAGGTGAAATTTGACTTTTATCCTGAATTAACAAACACATTATCAGGGAACCCTCAAAATACACAGGAATTGGGGAGGAAGGGAGGGGGTTAGGTAGTTGGGTCGACAGTGCAATTTTAGATTTTGCCACGATTTATTAAAGACTTATTAAATCTGGAAAACATTCGTACGAACCAGCCCCCACAAGTCCATCCCTGAACAAAAACCCATCGGTCAATAAAACACCGCACAAGGCAGGAGCTGTGAGCAACACAAGGAAAGCACAGGACAGACAGACAGACAGAGAAACAGAGAGAGAGAGAGAGAGTGAGAGAGGCGCTTCCTTTTTGATTTAGTTTAATAATTCCCGCCTTTACATTTCCGCGATAAACAAAGCAGCAGCAGCACAAAAAAAAGGATCGCGAGATATCCTGCAAAACAGGGGAAAGGCGGTGCAAGACTTATCACTGAAAAAGGGACGCTTTTTAAACAGTTGGTTGCAAACGCTGCACCAAACAAAAGCAGAATAAAGAACCTGGTTTTGCAGTTGAAATAACTCCCCCCCAATACTGTCCTGGAGGCCTGTGAGACTGCACACCAACGTGTTCCCGGAAGAAACTGGTGCATTGACATTTAACCCCTTGTATTGGGAGCACGCAAACCAGAGGCTGCTACATCCATTGCAAACACAAAGCACTTGTGCAGAGTAAGTGGAAAGCGAATGGACTGTGTACGTGGCCCTGACACTGCACTGGTTTGCTTAAGTTCTTGTGCACTTTAGGGGCTGCCTTTGTAGTCCTGCAAGGTAAAGGTGAGACAGGGCAATGAATAATTCAGTGGGAATGGTTGCCACAGCTCTTCTCTGAGCTCCCCCCCCCCCCCCCCAACACCGAAACCACGACTGTCTTACCTTGATGTGGTGGTTCATCCGCTGATCAAGTCATCCCTCGACTGAACAGGATTACACCAATGCACCAGCTCTAGTTCTTCACCCATTGTCTATAGTTGGCAGAACTGGATTGGTGGTGAAGTTGATTAGTGAACTGGTTATCACTGTAACCTGGTATGTGTGGGCAGGTGGTAGGAACTGGGTCCAACTGGACAGAAAATCCTCCCTTCCCCCCCCTCCCCACACACCAAATGCTAACGTAGCGAGATAACCAGAACATTTCAAGTGCCCTTTTACACCCTTTCACCTACAAAATAGTCACTGCACAGTGAAATTCTATTAAACTATATATTATTATTATTATAGTCAAATGCAAGGATTGAGACTTTTCGCCCAGAAGCTGGATCCGAACTCAAGCTCTGGGGGTCAAAACGCTGTTATACAATTTAGTTCCAATTGGAAAATGTGTCACCTTTTCAGTGTTGCTTATCCCGTGCGCTTCACATGTTTTCACTGTGGATGATGTGTTACTGGGAATAGGCACTTAGTCACCAGTATCTCACTCACAGTATCTCAACTCAAACCAGGGTTAGTGAAAGGCTAGAGAAAGAAATGCAAGTGGCTTTCTTGCTCTTTCACTGCACAAACTATAGAACCTGTACAGAATTTCATGCTTGCGATATAGTTCATCTGATAGTTCACTAAGGATAAACTTTCACCTCAACTCGATGAGCAGCAAAGACAGTCTTACAGTATTCAATGCAGAGGAAACACATGAGTGTAAATGTATAGATGACCTGTTGGCAATGGCCATTTTACCTGAACAATCAAGTGGCAAAATACATTTCAGGCTTTTATCATTAGAAATGTCAGCATCTATTTTTAGTTGGAGAATAACCTAATAATCCGAAAACATATCCCAAATAGTTTACTTTCAAATGATCCAAAGAAACTGAGCACATGGTATCAAAATAAGTTTATTTTTGTGACAGATGTTGAAAAAGAATATTTCGTGCCTCTAATTTCACATTACAAAATTGTTCTTAGTGGCTTAAATTCTTTTCTCAAAGCCTCTCTCCAAGAACATTTGATTTGGGGGCATGAATTTAACTCAATAGTCCACAAAAGCATCTTACAAAATGAACTTAACACTTAGATCTTGTGTTAAGTCAGAAATTGGCAGATTTTTCAAAAATGGTGTTGTAAACTTAAACTCAACCAAGTTCCATTAATTCCTAGAAGCATTAAAATAAACTTTGACTTTCCTGAAAGTAATCAGAACAACATTACACAACATTGGAACCCTGGGAAGTGTAAATACCTTTTTATTTGCTTCCCAAATCAAAAAGAGTTAATCTGCAAATATTAATCTGCATTGTATGGCCTGTGTCAAAAAAGCAAAATAAACCCCCTACACCTAAAACCACACAAAGAATTATTTTTGTGGTATGTAATTTTTATAAAATTGTATATTCATTTGAGACAGGCACTGCTTTATACTTTTGAGAAATATTTCATATTCAAAAGAACAGTTGTTCAATTGACATCAAAACCTTAAGAAACATGGAAAAATCCAGTGGCAGCTCAATACAAATGTTTTTGCATATAAAAGCTAAAAGAGCACTACAAGAGGAAAGTAACTACACAGCATGATGTGAAAGGTTTTCATCTAAGAACTGTATCAAAAATAAATTAGTATATGCTTATACTAAATTATCTTAACAGGAGTAGGAGTCTTTGCAGTGGAATGTAGAGTTAATGCATCCATGTATTTGTTTTCAATTCACTTTCTCAACCTATTTAGTAGAAGAGTTCAATCAAATTTATTGATAGATTAATGCTTTGACATCCATTGGGAATGTGGATGACACCTGCAGGCAACTTTAAGGGTTAATCCCAAACTCTGTTCATACAATTGTACCAAATTCAACTATTTAAGTGTTTAAATAATTAAGTCATTTTAAGAGCTCAAAGGGCACCAACACCATTTAGAAATACATGGCAATACTTTTCAGCGCCATTTTGTACACCGTTCTTCATTTGAGGTTACTTTGAGGTGAGGTTTTGTAACATATTAAATGACTAATTAACACTGCAAACATATCACAAAATGTTAACCCACTGGTGCATATGATGGCTTGAAACTGAACATTGCAGAACAGGCTACCCCCACTGAGCCTAAAAAAAGGTGACGGTCCTTCAATAAGACGCGACTTGCATTACAAAAACAACATACGGATGCTTTCTGGACAATGTTTAACTCGCTCATGCTACAGACCAATTTTATAGACCGCCATGAACATCACCTTTCCAGAGTTCCCAAATCCAACTGAAAATTCAGGAAAAATGTTTTATGGATGATATACGGTATCAGCGAACAGGTGGTGAAGCAGGAGAGATGTTAGCTCACAGTTTCAAATAGTGTTTAGGTAACAGGAATACTAAAATAGCTATCATGTTGTAACCCTATTACAGCATTTTTCTATCGACCCGTTATCAAGGTATTAGTCTGTCCAGTTATTTTATTTTAAAGCCTCGTTTACATCTGTCCAAATTATTTCTTCCTTTCGGCTTTATCTAATGCGTTTGATATCCCGACAGATCATAATATTGTGATGTCCCTACAAGCACACAAAGTAATCCCTACTGCCGGCCTTTGTAAATTCAAAAAAGACCTAAACATCCATTTTGTGTCCAGACATTCAGGAGCAACAGGATACATCAGACAGAGCAGCTTTGTTGTGTAGTATTAATGTTATGGGGAAAATGCACACATAGACAGTAAATGTCAGTACTGCGTAGAAATTTCACATGGATGCTATTTTAGCATTCATTATTGTATAAAACCCATTGGGTATCCCTCACCCTATGTGTAATACTTTACCCAATGTTTTAGTGCATGGTTCTTGACCAAAGTTCATCTTATCACAACCCAACAACATTGTGCAATCAGTATTCTGCATTATTTAACAAAGCAGTGTGTCATCTTTGCTTTAAACTAAGGTCCTCTCTCAGAGAAGTCCTTTTTTATTTCTTATTTGGTGTTGCTTCAGATGTGAATCCAACGGAGTCATCACCCTCACTGGAAGCTTGATTGGTCCTCATTCCAGCATTGTGCTGAAAAGCACTGGTATCCACAAACATATCCGGGATATCACTGCCAAAATAGACCTTGCTGTTCGCTGCGATGGCTTGGTATTTGATGAGCTCCAAATACTCCTTAGTTAGTTTCATCTGTTGATTTTAAGAGGAAGAAACAGACAAGAGGAAGATAAAATACTCAGAATCTCTATCAACATCTAGAGCATCAAGATCACAGATTGAAAACACATTATTTGCAATGACTGCAAAGAATTATAAATATATATTAACAATAAATGCGACGGAGAATTGCAATGTTATTACAAGAGAGATGCTGCCACAGCATTAGGTTTTGCCTGAAAGTCTGAATGAGTTATAATTCATGCAAAATTAACTTTTCCAATACATTTAGGGCATCCAATTATTTTTCCCCCTTTAATTTTGTTTCCATTGGCAGATGCCTCCATTCTCTGGTCTCCTCTTGCTGGGAGGTGGCTCCACAGGCAATGTTGCCCTCCCATACCAACAACAATCAAATCTTTGCATTTACTACAGCAACTTTCACATCAGGAGGATATCTCGATGCTTCAGATGATTTACTGTAATTATTTATAGGTGAACGTGGCAGCCAATTTACATACAGCAATAACTATTACCTTCCCCAAGTGATCACAATTCATGCATGAGCCTTAGCAGTAAATGTCAGCAGGCTACTCAACTGTAAAGATCGTCACTGGCAAGCCTGAAGTCTCCCCGGTCATCTGCCACCCGTACACACACGCACGCACACAGTAGAGGGTAATGTAGGTGCAACAACGAGCAACAATAACGTGCACTTATAGGGCAGAAATCCTGGCTGTCTTTGCACCCCTCCCCCCACCCCAAAACCAGGCCCAATTCTGCTTCCCTTCTGCAGCTCAGCTGAGGCAAGCAAACTCAACAGACTGGAATGTGAACCAGCAACATCCTTTCAAACACATATCAGATATGTTTTCTTTTAGGAAGTAATACTATGGAAAATAACACTATGTACATAGGTAGCTTGGGACATATGTGCATGCGACCACCAGGAAGGTGGAGGGCAAACTAGATGGACCATGGTCTTTTTCGTCTTAATATTTCTTATGTTCTTATCCTGGTCCACAAGCTGCATATCGCTTGCCTGTGAAACCCCAGCAAGAGTCATTTATAGTTGATTGCATCTCTGTACCCACAGTGTTGTAGGCTGGGCCAATAGAAAGGTGCAATTTTTCCGTGGAATCCACAACAAACACCCCAATCCACTGCAAACAAACCTGTAAAACCCAGTGAGCCTGGGGCCCCGGGACCTCTGTTCGCTCGTCACCGCTACTGTGGGTGGGGCGGCTCCGGATGCGCATGAGTGGTGTGAAATGGGCTTTCTTCACCCATGGCCCTGCTGCCGTGATTATCTGTGTGTCTCTCTCTCTCTGCATCTGTGAGTTTGTGTGCATCTCTCGCTCTCTCTGTGTGAGAGGCACACAAACTCAGTCTGTGAGTGTGTGTGTGTGTATCTCTCTCTCTGTCTGTGAGTGTGGCTCTCTCTGTGACTATGTGTGGGTGTGTGTGTGTGAGATGGTGGGCCACAAAAGGCAGGAGGTGGTGACCTACTGGAGTGCCGCACCAAGATACTGGCCTTCAAATATGTAGTGGGGGTGGAAATGGACCCATTTAGGCTTTTGGGCCTGCGCTAGTGTTTCCCCTCCCCAGCCCCCCACCCCCGTTTAGTCTTTTATCAATAAAGTGAAAAAAAAGTAGGTTGACAGCAAAATATACCACTCGATAACACCAATCAACACCCCGTAAAATTTGGCGAATTTCCCCGCCCTTGCGAACATTTCCACAATTTTTGCCAAATATTTCCACAAAATTCTATTGGCCCTGGTTATAGGCAACACTTACCACTTTCATCGTAAACCATTCTGCAGCAATGGACTAAGTAAAACTTAAATGTATTTACGAATTATCGACAAGGGTAATCAAATCCAGAGAACATGAAAAGAAAATGTCTCAACCTTATTTGCCAGTGCAGCTTTCTGAGCAGTGTAAAATTCAGCATCCGCCTTCACTTTTTGTCTGGCTAGAAATGCAAAATCTGCAAGCAAAGACGACAATTAAATCTTTGCATATCACATTAAACATGAACGTTCAATAATGATCAGTGCTAAAAAGGTGGAATTAACCAACGAATTGGTCAATAATTGCTGACACCAGTTCTACCAGCAGTGCTGTTCACTGTTAATATTGAACAGGGTTTAAACAGACTCTTTTACAGGGCATGGATTTTAAAATCTTATCTGAACAAAAATGTTTGCCAGTAATCACAAATTTATCTGAAGTACTGTAATTAATAAAAAATGATACTTGCATTTGATATGACGTCTTTCACATCAGTAGCACATCTCAAAGTGTTTCACAGGATATACTGTAAAATCCAATGACTGTGGGTATTTTGTGGGAAAATGTGGCAACCAAGTTGCACACTGCAATGTCCCACAAACAACCATGAAGTGAATGAGCAATTTTATTTGGGGAATTGTTTAACATCCACAGGAAGTTGAGGGTCTCAGTTTAATGTCTCAACCCAGGTTTTAATTGGAAATAAATGATTTTAACGAATTTCAGCACTGGGAGGCCAGCCAAGATTTCTTTCCAAGTAGTACTTCTCTCCTCTACCCCACCTCCCAAACACAAATAATTGTCTTAAAAAATGAGAAAGCAGAAACGCTTTAAATTGGACATTAACATAGGAATAGCTTGGTGAAAAAAGCCTTCCATCATCCTGGTAGTTCTATGCTACATTAAATACAAGGCCTGCTGGAATCTGTGATGGACATGGTGTTCCCAGTAAGTCACGAATTTACACTCCACCCAGCGGAGATATGCGTCACAAATTTAAATGGAAATTGTGTTATATCATATTCAGGTTGTTAGTTACCCAAGGTTACACTGTTTCCAAAATTTAACAGTTTGTTGATAAATACAAATTTTAAGATGCAACCTGATCTGATGTTGCCAAAACACTCACCTTCAATTTCTGAAATCTTTTTCTCAGTTTCCTTTTCCATTACCTTTTGCTGAAACTGAATCGATGCTACCTGAGCAAATTTCTCTGCCTCTGTGCAATAGTAAAAATATTTTTATGTACCAAACTGCACAACATATAATGTGCAAAATCAACTTGACAAAGGTTTAAATAACTTAATGTAAACAGTTTTATTTGTTGATTGATACAGATAGACTTTATAAACATTGTGATATAACAGCAGGATAGAAACATACCAATAATAGCTCTCTTTCTTTCAGTTTCAGCCTCTTTTTCTACAACCTTTTGCCTCTGTGCCGAAATAAGCAACTTGGTCTTCTCTCCTTCCCTGAAATAAATAAAGGTGACAATCAATTAAAAACACACTACAAATAATTAGAAAATAAATTATTTTTGATCTGCAAGATGTAATTTTTTGTTAAATACTAAAAATGCCTTTACGTTTATTGAAAATAAATTTGTGTAAAAGATGAATCATTCAGGGGCTGAGCAAATGACCCGCAGAATTATTTCAAGAGACAGAATCTGTGCACCAATCTACTTACATAAGTTCAAAATTTCTTCGAATCGCCTCTGGTATTTTAGGCTTTGTAACTCGCACTGCCTGATGGGTTAAACATAAAATTATTCAAAATGACTTTTATTAAACAGTGACAAATTACACTAGTTATCCACATTCCATTATCCACACATCTGTTTATTAGGTTGATACTTAGGTGGATTGGGGAACTGTAAGATAGTGGGCAAGGTTACTTGAGACCAAAGTTAGCTATGCTGCGCAATTAAATTTCACCCCAAGTCAGAGATACAGAAAGAGAGTACTCAAAAGCATCATAGTGAGAAAGAATGAGCAAAAAAGTCTGGTACAGTGTAATACTATAGTGGCAGTATATTCCTGGTGAAATAATTTTGTATTTAGAGTGCAGCCAATCTGTATTTTGTTACACCCAATTATTTGATAATTTCTCCCGAATGTAAAATATTTGAACTTAATAAATCTACTTATTATGTTATGTAAATATGTAAAACTCAGCAAAAGTCTCCATAACTAAGAGTATCAAAGTTATCACCTTAATAAACATTAAGTTCAGAAATGTAAACAAAGAGAATCCAATAATAATAACCCTTGCATTTGATATGCTACTTTATTACATTCATGTGGATTAATTGGAGAAGGATTCAGATCAACAAGGACCACATTTGCATAGCACCTTAAAATGCCGTTTAAACTTCTCCCATTTAAAGAGTTTGCATAAAATAGATACCTAACAATTAAAAGAAGGTATTGTAAAGTAGGGAAAGTTTCACCTACCTGTACAGTAAGCCCAGGTGCCATAACATTCAGGTCTTTTTGTAGAGCCAACTTCAGGTTTTCATCTATCTGATCTAAAGTAGAAACCAAGCAGACACACATGAAAAGGGATCGTGATAGTTAAGACAGGCCACATTTTTTTTATAAACCACGTAAAACGAAATATTTTTGAAGGCAAAACTCTCGTCAATTTTCACACAACAATGGCCTGCGAACTGCTATGAAATGACCAATTTTATTATGGATATTGTACAGGTGATTTTTAGCATCCATCTTAAAATGACAGAAGGAACCTCAGTTTAACATGTCATCAAAAGGACAACAGCTCCAACAATGCAACCCATCCCTAGGATTATCGTGAAGTGTCAGCCTGGACTGTGTGAGTTCTATGTTCCTGACATGGGTCTTGAACCCTCAACCTTCTAATAACCTTCAGGTGGGAGTGCTACCAAGCTGCCATAATTAATAAGTAATAAATAATAATCTTTGCACTTGATATAGCACTTTTCATGTCTTCTAGACATCTCAAAGCGCTTCACAGAATATACTGCAAAGTAAATTGACTGTATATTTATGGGTGAAATGTAGAGTACAGATATCAGTCTAATTTTGCCTAAACATTCAGATTGCTTATTAATCTTGCTACTGCCAGAGCTGTATAGATCAGGACTAACTTTTCAGGCAGACTTCCATTAGATTTAAAACTCTACATCATTAAGATTGTAAAATCCCTTACCAAACAATTCAATGTAGACCTCCTGCAAGGTATGGACACTGCAGAACTGGTTCAATTCATGATGAATTTTGTTGAAAATCAACGCCTTGTCATAATCTGCTGTGTAGTTCTTAACAATATCATACACTTTCAAAAAAGCCAAGAGGAAAAAAAACAAATGAACATGCACATAATGAAATCAAGATAATACAGTAAACAGCAATAAATAGCATTTTCAGATTGGAGGTCCTGTTCTCAAAATCTGCATTGGCTTTACTCATCCTATCCTGACCATCAGGATTCACTTCTAGAATTTTTTTTACAGCACAGAAAATGACTATTCAGCACTTCTCCCATGTGACTTTTGGTACTTTGGAAAATAATTTAAAATAATAGGCAATTTTCATATGCTGAACTGTTTCCTCTTGATAAAATGAAGCTCAATCTCATGAATAGAGCGCAGGAGGCCATTCGCCCCATTCGTTTCTGTGCCTGCTGTTTGAAAATCAATTCCACTCCCCTTCTCTCTCCGCATAGCCGTGCAAGCTTGTCCTCCCCAAATAAACAGAATAAAGTACATGCACTCAACAGCTTGCCGAATGTTCAGAGCCTTGGGACGTTCTCCCGACGCGAAAGGTGCTTTACAAATGTAATTTTGTTGTTACCTGATTGCACCATGACTAATGGCCATTCGAGTCAGTTTTTACCGATCTTCACTGATAAATATTTTTTGGTGAAAAGCATAAATAATTTTCACCCAAATTTAATTTTTAAATCTCAATATTGCATATTTATTTTGGCATCCATGACTGTGTGTAGTATACACATGTGTGTGTGTGCATCCTGAAACCCACCCAGCATTCACATACACTTTCATAACTGGCATTGCAGCCAGGCGAATTTCGGGATTAAGCAAATGCTCCAAATTAAATCTGTTTTGTTGGGTTACATTCTCCCCCTCCCACACCTCAATTTTCTCCTGTTAAGACAGAAAATATATCCCCTCACCCAAAAAAGTGAAAATAAAAACTAATTTGTACTTTGTTATGAAAAAAAGACTCATGGTTTTTAACAATAACTGATCCTACTGAGACATGAAGTCAATGCAAATGATAGTTCAAATGTAATCTATTAATGATTCTCTAAGATGCTTTGCTCAGTGCTCAAAGGTTGTACACACATTGGCTGTATTTCAGGGGCTGAAAACAAAACAGTACCATTTCCACAGTCCTAAATCTGATTGCAAAATAGCACTGGCAACTCTTTTCCTTAGTAATTGGTTAGCAGTGATTTTCGTTTTGAGAAACAGGGGAACAGAGATAGAAGTAAAAATCAGCTTTACTGTGCTTGGTTTTAGTTGTGATATCATTCTGCAGTCATTTGAATTATATGATTTACCTGGTTACACACATACTGTAAACTATCCAGTTGTGCCTAAATGTTTTATAACAGTGGTTTAAAAAGTCTGTACAATTACACCAGTGACCAATGCAGAGTTTAGCTCAACTTTCACCAAGCACCTCAAGTCTCACCATGTGCTGACCTGCACTTGGAGCAAGCATATTCACCACTTCTATTCTGTCGAAATAGATCATGACTCCACCACTGTACAAGAGAAAAACAGAGAAGTCTTCAGATAAAAAGCAAAAGCACTTCATTAAGAAACAACAATTTCAACTAGAATAATTCACCAAAACTTTACAACAGCAGTAACTTCAGGCAATAAACCATTGCTCTATCGGATTTACCCATCCAAGTTGCCACAAGATTCCATTGTTGCATTAATCCTGTCAACCATCTTTTTTTATGTATAACATGTATTTTTTTAAATTAAAAAAAAAACTGTTTTGGTGAATTTTGTAGTACATCACATACTTCCATGATAAGTACTTTTATTATATACAAACAAAACGTTCCCATGATTAATCACAACTTGGAAACAAAGTTTAAGGTCTGTACAGTTTAGTATAAGTAAAAAATAAACTAATGATTTTCTACCCATAATACAAAGATTCACACCTTGTTCCACAAGGTACATTTTTCACCTCATCAGTCTGCAATGTTGTCTGAAAGAAAAATAAATGTTAGTCTGGTTCAATTTTTTTAGAAAAATTGCAGTTTCAAGGCTCCTTCAGTGTTAGCAGAGAATATGCAATATTTGATATGTGACTGAGCCAAAGAGGCTATGGATCGAACAATTGGCTTCCATGTTCTCAGGATAGGAAATCGATGGAAAAAGACAGCGACCATGTTTTTTCTTCCTAATGACGAATCGAACTCCACCTAACAAAAAGCTACCAGACCTCCAGTGAACAGATGATTGAGCTCAGCTGTGATGCACCATGATCAAATAACCTGTTGACACTCATGCCTCAACTCATGCAAGAACAAGGGACACTTGGGAGAGGAGTCAAGACGGCTGCTGGTGATTCGAGAACCACATTGCAGCACAGGGAATTGCCAGGACAGCAGAAGGGAAGAAGAAAACAAGAAAAACAATGTTCATATGAATGCTGTGATTCACAATGCACATAAGGGCAATTTCTAACACTTTAAAATCATATCTGAAAAGGTTTATGAAAATAGCCGCATTCCAAACAGTAAAAAGCAACGAGCCATGCAATGCTAGCGCTCATCACAAGTGTAAAGCAACATGCAAGTCACAAGTGTAATGCAGTTCAGATCCACAAGAAATTTAAGAAATTCACAAACCTGAACAGATCGGAAGCTAGTGATGAACGGGATCATAATGTGGTACCCTGGGCTACTTGGACTGATTAATAAAGCACCACCTCTAAAGAAAAGCCAAAAATATATATTTTTAAAATATTAAATGCAAAATTAAACATTCCTCACCAACCAAAACACAAAAACCTGGTACAAAATAATAGATAACATGGCAACAATACATCAAAGGGGACAGTTTAAGTGAAACTCCTTGATAAAGTTCTCTATAAAAGAAGGCAGAGAGAAGGGAGTCTATGTTTAATCCTACATATGCAGTGGTGCAATATTGCAACATCAGCTCCAATGCAATTCAAAGCTGAGAATGACTCAATTTGAAGCACAGAGAGCTGCCTTTAATGCTTGGAATGCACACACCCAAATGTATTTATAAACTCCTGCTTCTTTCAAAACTTTAGGTGCCATGGCATATGTGCAAGAATGAACATGAAACAGCAGGCTTCAAAAGTTTAATTGATTTTGATGTGTCTCACTTGAGCCACCAGGATACATAAAACAAAGAAAATGGAGTGAATCAATAGATTGGATTATCAACTCACAGGGAGGGAGAAAACAAGGTGAATTAAATACAAGGGGGAAATGTGAAGACTGGGAGGAGGGGAAAGAAAATCGCAAATAGGGCAAGCGCACATTTTAAAACCTTTTCAAAATCAAATCTGTAGTTAGTTATTAATTCATTTTCCATTGCTGCAAGGAAGCAGAGCATTGTGGAAGTTGAATGAGAGATAGATCAAATTCTTGATAGTTTCACGACGAGATCAAAAGGACACCGGGCATCAGATCAATGAATAAATCCATGCAGATAAGCATAAGTATTGATGTGTGTAAGAAAACTATTTCACAGTGAATGGAGAAAGCATAAGGTATGGCTGACAGAAAGAATGGCTCTTGGCTAACCAGTTAGGTTAGACACATTTTTCAACATCTAGAATCGAGTTGCTCTCTGGGTTGTTGACAAGCGTAACTTACACAAATGAATGAAACTACATAAAATACCTATAAGGCATTGGAGTGATTTCTACAACGGCCAATACTATTTTTTAGTATTAACAGCATCTGTGGTAGTCTTAACACTGTAGGCAACTTATAGAAAGTAAATGGCACAATACATTGTTAAAAAAATCTCAGAAAGGGATGCAAAAAATACACTGTACTCCTTTTAGAAGTGGTAAGCGACAATTTTTTCACATACTTGAGCAGGATGTATGCTGCAGTGTGACAAAATTTATAAACCTGTCATTTTTGGTAAATCTTTTTACTGTTTACTGACACTGTTTACTGACATTTGCAAGCATGTCACTTACATTGGCCGAACTCCAGTAGATAAAAAAAAGTTGTTTGCAAACGTTAAACAATCTAGAAAGATACAGGATGTTAACTGTTTAAATACAAATTTTCTTAGGAATTAAAAGGGCAACATATTCAGAATTGGAGAATAAAAACAGCACATTTAGGGATCTTTAAAAAGTTGCATTCTAAGGATACGGCAACAATATTAATGAGCAAATTGTGACATTTTGGGTGGGTTAAGAATTTCCAGATAAAACTGAACTATATAAACCGCTTTGTTCCTCTTTCTCATTACCACAACTGTTTACTGACATTTGCAAGCATGTCATTTACATTGGCCAAACTGAATATGTAGAGTTGGAGTGAGAAATGTAAACAAGATATTATTCACTCCAACAAATGGAGAACATAAAATGGGAAAGAATGAAAGACCATATGAATCAAATCTGTGTAGTCAATTTTACACAAGTTATTTATATTGAACATGTATTTTCTGGTTATTTTAATTCCCTTTTCCCTGAAGCAAAATGTGTCTGAATTCCAAATGTCCATCTCAAAATGGCTTGGAGTTGACTTGTTGCATACTGCTTCCAAGAGGTTTCATCGAGCTTCAACTTTTGATCAAAGGTAAACTGTGTAAGATTTACTGAATAACACAACGTACATTCACAGACTTGCTTGGGGATGTCTTTTTACTTCTTTGAAGCAATTTTGCTGTAATTTACGTATTACAATGACATGTGTGCTTAACACTGTGACCATGTGGCCATGAATGTTTTTGGCCAAAAGAAAAATTCAAGGCCAGAGTGAAAAGTTAAGAACAAATGGCTCAATAGCTGATCCCTCGATTTACAGAAAGGATGGCTAAAGTCAGAATTGTTTTTGAATGCTTAAGATTTGGAGTGAGAAATGTGAACAAGGTCAATGAAGTCAGAAAAAAAATGTTCAAATGTTTTTGATCTTTTTGATTTCAAGAGCAGGGAGGGATCAATTCTGGAAAATACTTCCGATTCTGTGGAGTTCAATGTTAACAGGAATCACACATTGGAGAAGTATGATAGCTTAGAGGAAACAAAGCAAAAAATAGTTGTGGCAAAAGATGCAAAGCACCAATGTGTTTGATGGTTTGAACAAAGTGCAGCATGAGTCCTTTGAAAGCAACAATTATTGATCCAACTATCAGAAGGCAAGAATATAATTATCAATGATGACAACTAGATATGGTAAAACTGGTCTGAAATGATCACTTGGAAAGTGACTTGAAAATGATCAAGCGAATAAGACTTTTTTTGCCCAGCTGGCCATCTGACACCCGTGGAAACCCATCCCCATGCTTAAGAATATCCAAACCAGACCAAGTTCCATGCATACCACTCTCCCCCCAGAGACACGCCTGCTTATACTCTCAGGAATTAGATAAGTGCAAGATGACAAGAGTCAAGACTTGGGGACCCCAGACTGGCTTCTAACAGAATTACAGCAAACTCCTGAGTCACTCTAAGGAAAAAGGGCTCAGTAACAAGTCATCTGGAGTGGGGAGTTAGGCATACGTATTAATACAAAAATAAATGCGGCCAGTATATTGATAGTATGGTGAGTTAAGTGGTTGTGACAAGTTAAGCAAGGGTCAAGTGGACAGAAAGGTATACAATGTTGTATTCCTGCAAGTTTGCCATTTTTCAGTACCTGTAATAAACACCAAGATGCCCTTCTTCTATCCTATGTATAGAAGAGTAAAGGAAGAAAGCTACTACTCCAGCAACTGCAGCCACTACTGCTCCAGCATGAGTCATTGTCATCCTTGCTTATCTGCAAGAAAGTGAAGATAGATTTATTGCAAGCTACAGAATAGGCAACGAGGCTCGAGAACTGGATCACACAATACAAAACCCAATGTGGTTTTAACCAACCACTGTTAGAATTTAAGACACCCAAAAATAAAAGTGCAGGCTCAGTAACTACAGCAATCGGAGAAGCAATCTTAGGATGCCTGCCCAACAATCTAAGTGTTCATTTACTTCATGGCTGCTGTGCTTGCCAATAAATACACAGGCAGCAAAATGTAGCATATTGAGACATTTTGATGTGACAGGGAGAGCGGAGGGGCTGGGGAGAGTGGAGTACTGGAGAGGGGATTACGAGGGCGGATGCTCATAGGTGCAAGTATGGACATTGACACAAAATAGTTGGGCTGTTTTGGTGCTCCAGCAAATTATGTAAATCTTCACACTACACCAAATTCATTATCAATTTACAAGACACAAATGCTAATTTTTAAAATGACAATTATAAATTACCCTAACCTAAAAAAAATCCTTAATTGACGGGAATGAGTCCATAATGGAAATAATTACGGAATTGCAATATCCAGCTAACTTATGTTACCAAATGATTTGTTCCTTACAGCCACGGTCTTAAAATCAAAATTGTGCCAGGTTCTGTTTACATCAAATATTGCAACACAACAAACATTATGACTTGCTCGTTTCTCAATTCTTCACTGGTCCTAGAATTTTGTAATAAACAAAAAGCCATTGTCAGTGAAGAATCCAGAGTAAATAATGAACAAAGCAAAATAAGCAAATCAATTTAACAATCAGCTTTTCCATAGTCAACTACTTTTGAGGAATCGGCTTAAAGAGTACAAGTCTTTTTTCTGCACAGTCCAAGTACGTGTCAGCTTCAAGACTGCAACTTCCTGGTTTCTCAAGATCAAATAACTTTATAACTCCAATCCTCAGTGCACTTTTAACATGGAAATTTGAACACAATGAAAAAGGATTGTAAACCGATTATGTTTGCAAATTAAAATGTTAAGTATTAACTGCTGATACTTATTTGTAGTAAAGCAATTATATTGTGCAATATACTGGAGTTTTATTAATTTTTTGGCTGTTAATTCTGGACATAGATAAATGGCTACATCAGAAGAAACAACATGAAAAACATATGGTGAGCAGATTCCTTAAAATCACAACTAATTAAATGTTACCCTGGTTGTCAGTCACACATAATACACGTATGTTTTGAATTTCAGTACTTAAACAATTCAGACTTTATACTTAACCACAAAGTCTGGGCTTAGGGCTCAAGATACTATTTCATCTAAATATCACTTGCATTTTCTGCAACAAAGACGAATTCATACATGAATTATTTTAAAATTTCATTTCAACCAATTATACATTTGATACACAATTTTACAGGAAGTGGGGGAAGGGTAATGGCTAGTAAGACATATGAAAGTCCCACATGCCCAATTGAGTTATGTCATTCGCACCTCAATTTTCCAATTTCATCATGGTCAACATTTTGTACCAGACGTTCTGATCTGTAAACCCCCCACCCCCCACCTCTCCTAAGGGTACTGGCTCAGGAGAGTGTGATTTTCACGGGTAATGGTTATTAACCAGACCCTAATCCAAGTGGTCAATCTTCATGCATAACCTTAATGTTAAGTGTCAGCAAACTGCTGAAATTGGGAACCGTAATTGAGCCTGATTGTGATCAAATGCAGAACCATGACAGATTCTTCCCTCCCTAGCCCAGGGATATGGAGAAAAATTGCAGTGCCACAGTAAGTGTTGTGCTCAACCGGTGAATCAGCTTCCACAGCAGAGATGAAGATTCAAACTGAAACTTTCTGGGTTGTATAGATTAATACATCAGGAGGTTTCAGTTGTATTTTAGATATAATGGACAGCTGGCGCCTTGATAATACAAGTTATGGGGGCGATTGCACACCAGTGTCAGTCATATTTACACTACTCAAACAAGAATAAAAGTGAGTGAGAATGGAATGACAGCGCCAAGCACTTGGGCGATCAGGAAAATAGCAACATTTAGGAGGGAAACAAAGAGCCGTGTGGGCTGAAAATGTGACTCCTATTACACAGCCGAAAAGCACACAAGGACAGAGAATAGTTATCAAAGAAATAGGTTGCAATCTCACTGGCGCTAAAACAATATAATTGTACCTCAGTACAAGAGTACACCACTGATTGTAAACTATTGCTGATTAAATAAAAGTCAAGTGCAACCCTAACTCCAATATTTCACTTAGAAGCTTTCTCCTATGAAACTTTACAATTAAGTTAGAAAAAAAGCCTTGGGAGGTTATAAGTTTAAAATATTTTTTTAAACTAATATTCAATCCTTTTATCCATTTGGCACAGTGTTATATGCCATTGAGCAATTCACAATTTTCCATGTTTACTTGGGATAGATGGGAGCTTCAAAATAAACAGTTGGGTAGTTTTCTTTCAAACTGTTCAAGCTTCAAGAGTAATAGATATTTCCTTCCTGCCCATTAACTTCTTGGGCTTGGCAATGTACTGAAAAAGTCTCCAGTCAGTCTCCAGAGTTGGAGAAGGCTGTGAAATCCTCTGGAAAGCTGGAATACCCTGAAAATGCAGAGCAATTGGCGTCTGTCTAGTCGGCAGGCAGGAGAGTGGCAAGAAAGTGGTGGGATCTGAAGATTTTAAAGAGTTAAAATTCATAAATTGTTTTTCTAAATAAACAGTGCAACCTGAAAAAAAAGGAGGAAAAGTTGAGCAAAGTTTATGAGGGTTCTCCCCCCCCACACCCTTTCTCGACTCATTTAATTTACACACATACACACACCTCTCTGGCTGTTTAAAAACAAATGTGCACTCGCAGCTCAAGGCATTGCTTGTTTGTGTTTTTGCTGCACCGCACATTAACAACAACAACAACAGCAACAATAAACCAGGAATCTGCCATTATTTTTTTTTAAAAAATTCCCACCTCTCACCCACCCTTTCTCCAAAAAAAAAGCTCCCCACGTGTGGCTGGTAAAGTGTGTGCGTGTGGGGTGGGGGGTGTGTGGGGGGGATCTCATTTACAAGTGATTAATAAAGGTCTCCCCCCCCTCCCTCCTCCCCCTCTCCCCCTTCCTCGGTGGTGAAGAGCAAACGCTCTCATGGCTTCAGCAGAGCTTTCAGACGCTGCGAAAGAGAATTGTCCGCGGAGCGCGCGCCGCGCGGGGCCCAGAGGCGGCGGCGGCAGCGGCGGCGGCGGCAACTGCCACGGCGGAGCCTCCCCCTCCCCCTCCCCGGGGATACCCCAACACCCGAGCGGTCCCCCGCTCCACAACCCCCTCTTTCTCTCTCTCTCTCCCCCCACCACCGGCCGCCTCCTCCCCCCTTACCTTCCCTTCCCTCGCACTCACCCCCCCCCCACCCCCGGACTCACCCCAGAGCCCCGCGAGTCCCTGTGCGAAACCGGTCACCGCCACTCCTCATCTCATCGCCCCGCCCGACACCGCCTCCAGAAGCTGGGCCTCTCCCGCCCCTCCCCCCCCCCACACACCCACACACCCACTGACCTGGCCGCCTCCACATCCGGGTCACCTCCACATCCGGGTCACCTCCCCGGCCCCTCCCTCTTCTCTGCTCTAAAAGGGAACGCCGCCGCCGAACCGCTTCTGTTTCTGATTCGTGCCGGAAATTGATGAATTTTTTTTGGAAAAAAAATGAGCCGACAAGTATTCGCACCACAATCGGCCTCACCGGGGATGGGTGGGGGGAAGGAGGGACGTTTGGGTGCACAGAAAGAGGGGGAAATTGCGAGGACTCTCCAGGAGTTTTGGGGGGAATTTTAACGCGGACGAGAAACTGTTTTTTAAGTTTATTATTTTTTTTTGGGGGGTGGGGCAGCGTTGCTAATTTCTCCCCCAAAAAAAAACTGCTCTCCGTATTGTGTGTTGAACAATTTCCCGGTCATTGTATTTGTATTTAAATGTGTCGAATTGCTGACAAACGCGAAGATAAATATATATGTGTGTGTGTATGTGTGTGTGTGTGGGTTGTTTTGCTTACTCCCCCCCCCCCCCCCCACACACACACACACACACACAAACGGATGGAAGAAATGACACAATAATTTCTAATAGTAAAATATAATAATAATAATAATAAAGAGACGCCCTTTCGAAATTCTGAGTTAATGACAAGAGGACAACTGAAGCCAATCATCAATCAAACAGTTCGACTCCTAAACCACGACGTGGCTTTAAAGTCTTAAACCTAAGAGTAGAAACAATTATGAGAGAGAGGGGTGAGGGGTCATTGATCAGTGTCCCCTTCTGGAAAGTTTGTACATAAATGGAGTTGGATGGTTGGTTGGTTGGATGGTTGGGGGTAGCGTTGGGTTGAGCTGTGATGTCCCGCCTCACAAACTGCTGAGTAGCTTCTTGGACTTTGCAGTGTGGGCTCAGCATAAGAGATAACTGGTGACCGATAGTACCTGTGCACCGTAAACAAGGATCTTGAAAAGAAGAGATAAAAGGGGGGAAAAAATGTTTTGATGGTAATTAACCCACCTCTCCCAACTAAAACTGTTTTATTGTATTTGTATTCCTAATATTGTATTCAAAGTAACAAGGCTAAGAATAATAATCCCTCCAAAACCCCCCAAAAAACAATAATAAATTGGTCATTTTCAATCTACGACGGTTTGTGGGACATTGCTGCGCGCAATTGGCTGCCGCGTTCGCCCACAAATATACAGTCAATTCACTTTACAGTGCGTTCTGTGAAGCGCTTTGGGACGTCCTCCCGACGTGAAAAGCACTATATCAAATGCAAGGATTATTATTTGTATAATTAATTTCGGAAGAGAGGAAAACGCTGTCGAACAGAAGTTTGTAATTAGCATTTATTCTATGTGAGTGTCCAATAATTTTTTATGATCACAATTAGTATCATGTTGAGCTGGGTCCATTTGCCTGATGGAAAGAACTCTACTGCAGTGGAGCAGGTAACAGGAATGCCATCCATCAATTAACTGGTAGGATTTAAACACTGGCTTTGCCAATCAGGGAGTGGAAAGTTTCAGGGAGATTTCATACAAATCATTCATTTGAGATCTGCACAAATTGTCTGAGTGATAGTTGGCGATTACAGTATGGAGGGAAACGAGGAAAACAAAAAAAGCAACATAAAACCATTTTATGCAAGTTTTTTTAAAAAAAACTTTTAACAAAATAACCTGCACTATTTAACCATCAATGGATGTGAGAAGCATTTGAATAGAATTCATTTTAATACATTACTCTTTGAGGTTTCAAATGGTAACAATTAATATCCAAAATAAGATAAGTACATTTGAATTATGCAGAAATAAGCTCCATAAAAAACAAATATATAATTTTGCAATATTTTAGATATATACAAATTTGAGTGCACTGCTCGATTTAATAAACACAGAAAATAAAAGAAAATCAACAATTACAGCCTGAACATCATCCATTTAGGAATTTAAAATCCAACAAACCAACAAATTACAATATTAAATGTATTAACAAAATGTAATTTGTTAAGAGTTGATATGCACATCAGTAACAGAAGGTAACAGAAGTCACACAGATAAGTCACCGCATTTTTCATTAAACATATTCTTCACAAGTAATCCATTCAAACTCCCTTACATATTAAATCATATCTTTAGTTTTTGTTGCACTTGATTAAACCAAATTACACATCAGTTTATGTATTCTGAGTTAAAGATACTGTGTCCAACTCTTTGATACAATTGATTGGCCAGTTCAGTGATGTGCAAGTATTCATTTTAGCTACTGAAAGAAAAGCTGTAAGAGGTTTCCAAATTACACCTTAAAAGTGAGGCCACACAAATATAATTGCACAACGTATAATGTATACAAAATGAGAAACCCATTCATTGTGCAAATCACAGACTTAAAGGTGAAGACAGTCACAGATATAAAGGTGAAGTGAACACCGCACAACATCTCTTGATCATTTTATTTGCCCTTTATACAACAGAGGGGGGAAAAAAACATATTTTTAAAAATGTATTCACCCATCAAAGTGCCTAGAACCAGTATTTGCTCTTGTTCCATGGAGTTCACATTGATACAATACACACTGACTTTGTAGAAGTGCTTTGTCTTCACTGTACTGCCACTGGAATGTCCCCCTTATTGCATTATTGTAGACATGCGCAGACCAATCCATTGCATTACAGACCAATTCTGTCATGGAATCTGTATCAACGTTAAGTTTACAACCGCTCAAAAAAAATTGGTAAAGAAAGTATCATTCCCATTATAATTTTGTAACAATTTTATAGTATCTTATTTTTCAAGATCCAGCCTTTGCTGAGAGCACAGTCATAGAAATTTGAAGGTCCAGTAAAGAATAATACAGTATATAAAATTAATCCCATTCACCTCCTGTATGGGTATACAGTAGACATTGAGGATTAGTGATTAGTCTAAAATAAACCACTTGTGATAGGGTTCAAAACTGATTTACACAACCTGCAGTCCTCCAATTTAAATTCTCTTTGTAAACACTATATGTATTTGTTTGCTCAAAATAACCTTTGAATAATATTTACCAAATAACGCCTATGCTGACCAGGAATACGTCTCCTGTGGAGGAATCTAAATTTTGCCTGCAAAAAAAAAAACAAGCATAATCTGCAACAGTTCACGGTAAACTCTTTCCGACACATTAAGAATTTAACTGTTGGGTCACTGAGATGAAAACATTTAACCAATGAACTGTGAAAACCGTTTTGATGCTGTAATTAATACTTGAACCTCAACATAAAGGATTTCAATACATTAGATACTGCTTTGAAGAGCAAGGAAATTGGTCACATACAACCGTCAGGAAAGTATCAAAACACAATAACTCCTGCTTAAAAAAGTTAGCAATTTTTTGTGCAGAAGCCAGATGCAAAGTAAACCACTGCCCTGCCTCAACATCTCAAGAGAGAATGCACCCCCTAATTAAATTAAATCTGTACTATATTTACAGCATTAAAACCGAACCAAAAAGATGACAGAAACAGATGTGGTGCTAGTCACTGTGTGTTTTACTGCAATTGTTAGAACAACTTGTGGGATTAAAATTTGAATCCAACAGTATTGTGTTGTATATGATTAACAGAAATGCGTAAGAATTGATTTTGTGTCAATACTCCACTGAAAGCTATTTATTACATTTATGTGACCTTGTAAGAAACTCGTTATGCCAGAAGCAATCCAGTAACACCAGTTTTAGTGAAATTTGGTTAGATTGATTTGACCAGATCGTTTCAACGCTTTGATCACTTTTCCTGAGGTCCGTTTATATTCAATGTCAGCTACGCTTGACAATGGCATTAAACAAAAACGATTATTCAATCTAAATTCCATTGTTAGCTGGAGGGGGAACAACAGCCTGATATTCAAATGTGTCCACAAAATACCACATTTCTGTGGAGATTCCACTGAATGCAGAGCCTCCCCACCACCCCTAAGGAATTTCATAGATATTTTGTAATGATTTTCCCTAATCTGGCTGTATATTGTGTTCCACATTTTTTTCTCTAATCTTTTAAAATAATTTCGAAGACAGAGGAAATGAGAATTGGGAGTTGGATGGAATTAGAGCGCCAACATTAAAACTACTGTAAAAAGGTTTGGGTTATATCTCCAGTTTTACCTCAAATTCTTGCCATTAGAATATTCCAAAAGCAAAATTCAATTTCTTTTTAGTAATTTTATAAATCATGAATTGTTAAATAAAAATATAGGTTATTGTGATGGTTTACTAAATGCACAATTGCATTGGTTAGCTGCTCTGAATCCAAATTATAAATGATAGTGTACCTCACCAATGCCCGAATGGGTAAAGGCACTAAGCAAATAGACCAGAAGGTACAAGGTTGGAATCTAAGTCTGTACTGAGTGAGCTGTTCTCAGCTGGGTAGTAGTTGGGGTTGTTATACTTGGCTGGGGAACAGAAAATAAACGTTAAGACAAGGCTCTTGCTCGAAATCATTATCCAGAGATTTCTGCTGCTTAATTCACAAGTGGACATCGAATGAGGTCACAATTACTGCCTTTCATAGATGAATAGCCCGTCAACATGCACCGTCAAGCCTTATACACACGGATTGTGGCCACTTGGTAAAGCAGTGGTGGGCAATCTGTAGGAGTGGAACTGTATCCCAGTAAAAAGTGAGTAAAAGGAGTCAAACACGTTTAGTAGAAGAGGAAGAAATATACTGCAGCTGAATAATTTGCAGAAAAATAAAAATTACAGTTCATGTAACACTAACCAATGTTGGACAATGTTGACTACACCGGGTGGCATGAAAAACATTTTGCACTTAGTTCCTTTCAACAAATGGAGCTTCTTAGTATTTTTCTTTCATTAGCGTGTGCATCTGTGCTGTGCCTGTTCTTTTTGGTGTTTTGAACTTAGTTATTGCTGGTTTAAATATTGTGGTAGCTTGTAAAAGAGAAAAAAGTTAACTGTGGAGAGTAAGTTTGGTAAAAATGGTAAAAAGAAAATGACAACAGAATTCTATTTAAACATTTGTAACTGTATCTGGATTAACAATAGATATGCTATGACAATGCCAATAAGTGGCCAAACATTCACAACTAATACTTTCCCATGTTGTCCATCAGATTCTCAACAATGCAATCACATTCCAAGGGGCTGGGTCAGAGTTCAGGTTTCCAGACTACAGAAAGATGATTTCCTTTACATAGTGTTCATAACAGCAAAACCACTTTGACTTTCAGTTGTCAGCATTCAGATATTCACCACCAAAGAGAAAAATTGGATTTAAAGTCCATCTGATGATTTTCCTTCAAGCCAACTCCATTCAAGAGACTGAAAAAGAAAAGTTAATGGCTCATTTTATAACGACTGTAGTTATAATGAAAATTGATTTTTCACCCACTTCATCCATCACATAAGCAAGTTGTCTAGTACCTTATATTGTTTAAGGGCTAAAGTCCAAACTTGCTAACATAGATACAGATAAATCTTCATATTAACCAAGGAACACAGAGTCAGAGTTCAGGAGGTTACAAAATATGAAATGGCTCATGTGCTGAGCAAACACGTTATAGGCTAAGATGTTCATTGCCGAGCAGCTTAATGCACAGTAACCTCTTGAACTCCAACGTCCATCACTATCACACTTTCTATAAATGTTTAAAGATTTTATTATTGCAGAAGATTGCAATTCTAGAGGGCGAACGTTTGATTTTACATACTGCTGCAGCATCAGAGTGGTGAAATCCTGCATGGTCTTAATGTTAGCTCTGCTGACTTGCTAAATAAGACCATGTGTCAATAAAAGTATTCCAAAATTTGATGCCAGTTTCCCCCCTCCCCCAATGGTTTTAAATTACAGTCAGGGGTATGTAAGCAGTTAAATCAATCCTTACAGCTGGCAAGTAGCCAATGTTTCTGTGAATGCATATTTCCAAATGGACTAAAAGAGGTGGTCTACAAATAAGTGCACACTTGTGAAAGCACGAGTGGACATTTTGAAGAAGGTTCGATTGGATTTTCCATGTTTCTGGAAGAATGGCGACCTATATTTGTTTGAATAAGTAACTGCTGGAATGTGGTTATTTATCTCAAAAACAATACTCTTTTAGAGAATAGAATCAGGTTAAAAGAACAAACAGTTACATCAACCAAAACAAAGCTCTGTTACGATTCTAAATGTTACACTATTAAAATGCTCGGAAGTGTTTGTGACTATTGAATCAGTATAAGCCAAAACATAGTTAAAATACTAAACATTTCTTACCAACATGCTGTTCCTCTGTTCCAACAGGGTTTCCTGCATCAAGCTATTCAATTTACTGCTGAAATTTTGGTTCTCTTCTATTATAGTAATTGAATCACTGTGTGGAAGACAAGTGCATCACAACTCCGATTTTGTAATATTTACAGCTTAGCAACATATGAATTTTTTGATATATTTTGATCTTCAACGAATAAAATTATTTTAAACTAAACAGCAATTCCAGATTTAAACAACATGGTTGAAAACAAAAACATTTTGAACGAAAAGCAAATAAATATACATAATACTATATTTATCAGCTGAACAAGGAATCATATTTGTGTACTGTAACTTCAGTACATTTCTGAATGTATGGCAAACATTTAAGAAAACTCCCATATCTGTTTTTTCCTGTTGCCCTAATGGGTAGAGACTCTACCACTAGTTTAGCATTGAGCAACACAGACCAGAAAGCACAGGTTTAATTCATGAGCTGGGTTCACTTTATAGTTACTGACTTCACTGAACTAGGGAGAATGAAATAAAAGTCAGTCGTGGATCCCAATTGCTTTCAAGCGACTCCTGCTGTAAAGTGGAGTCGCTTGACACAGGATCATGCTCAGCTGTGGTCTCCACTGTACATGTCTAAATTGCTTGGATGAGAGGGGGGCTGACACCTGGTTAACTCTTGCCCCCAAGAGGCAGTATCTTCAGGAGAGGAGCACTGAAAATTGAAAGCAAAGCCCGTTGCTAACATTCACAGAACAAACCAAATTTGCTGAGCATAACCTGGTATTGTTCCAACCAGAGAGCAATATGACACCTTCATTTTACACATTCTTTCCACTTCATATATATTTTTTCACAGTTTTCGCAACAGCTATTTAGAGTCTTAAACATCTAAATTGTAAATATTTGAATACAATAGAAATAAAATCCTCCCCTTCAATGGAGAAGGATATTGTACCTGTTTTTCAGCACAGGCATTGAGGTCAACGGGTCAGGCATAGAGCCTTGAGGCATTAAAGTCTCTCCTTGCTGTGTCCATCCTAACCCGTGGGGTGAACCAGAAGACTCAGGACTGCCATTTCCAGGGCCTCGAGCTGTGCTCTGAAAGGAAATCAAAACACAGAGGCTTTTAAAGCTCAAGTCATAGGAGAACTCAAATCTGTAAACTTTTAAATAAAGACCGTAGAATCATACTTGTGAAAAAGTCATAGAAAAGTGCCAAATACAGGAGGCCACTCAGCCCATCGTGTCTGTGCCAGCTCTTTGAAAAGTGCTACCCAAATAAATCCCATTCTCCCGCTCTCTCCCCATAGCCCTGCAAACTTGTCTTCCCCAAATAATTATCTACTTCTCTCTTAAAAGTTGTTATCGAATCCACCACCTTTTCAGGCAATGCATTTAAATCTATTATTAGGTTTTTAAATTCAATATTAATTACTGGAATGAGTAAATGTCCAATTGGAAGGGCGAGGTGAGAAAGACAAGTGAAAAATACAACAGGACTTAAGAAACATGTCAGAACGATTGGGACGAATGACACTCTGAAAAAAAGTGATATTTGCTACATTTATAGAAGGAATAAAAGAGAAAATGGCCAGTTTTTCACCAACGTATCACTGGTTGGTGGCAATTCAAAATGAGATCAAACCTATCCCATCATATTGAGGGTAAATAAGATCAGTATTATTAGAGTACTGACCAAATGTAATGCAAATTTTTTTTACAAATGTCAAAAAAGTACTTTGCATAAGGCTAATAAGTTCAGACTGAAGGTACTTACACAAGCAATTTTTAACAAATACCAGATTTCTTTCTGCCGCTTCTCTTGTAACCTCAGCAACATTTTTTCATTCTCTCTGATGTTGTCAAGAGTTTGCTCTATGTTTGGAAGAAGGTCAATGATTTTCTGTTTGCAGGCCAACAGTTTACTGTAAGTCAAAAACAAAGGCAATGATCAGATAGCTCAAGGTATAAATCTAGTCTTAAAATCATTTGGATTGTCATTCCAAGAAAGATTGCAAAGAAACGTGAAAGAAAGAAGGTAAAATCTTTAGCTGGATTATTAAGGAGGCTTTGCATTCCTGAGTTAATACAGTAAATCTGTTTGCATATTCAAAAGGTATGAAACAGAAAAAGTATAGTTTCGGAAGTGTAAGAAAATCTGGATTTTCTGACTAATTATCTTGATTAATCCCAACTAACCCAAGATGATCCCAGATTGGCTCACTACCTCGGTGATCTGTGCCTTTTCCTTCACTAAACTCACTCCACATCCAAATATAATAGATTCAACATGACTAATATATGAAGCCACAGAGATCTGTGTTTGTATATTCTTCACTAAAGGTATAATTGGCCTGAGTGCCATGTTACTCACTGTTCAAAAACTTGTGAAAGTCATAAAAAAGTGCCAAAAACAGAAATTAAAAATAGAGTGATACAACACTTCGAAATCTGACACCATTTCAATGTAGCAAAACAATTATTGGTTCTCTTGTTGTTACCATAGCTGTGAGTGTGGGTATCCTGTTAATTGGTTAGTTTAGGTTAGTTTCTGTTCTTCGGTGCCAGTGTGGTTGCAAAGGGAATATCTGTTGTGCAGTGCCAGATATTTCTACCACATGGTAGAAAGGAATACAGAATTTTGTATTTGAACAGGATCCGCTAAATACACCATGAGAAACTATAGCACCTTCTAGGTCGAACAATCCACAATGCAAAGAGTATTATTATTTTGTCAGACAGAATGTATTTTATAAATCCTCAACATAAAGAGGATCACGTCATTAAGGAAGCAATAGAAAACATAATTTGCGTTTAATACTCACTGTCATACCATCTATATTTTTAAGAAAAATATATGCCCAGAGAGACCAATTTGTCAAAACATTCTGTTAACTCGTTAACAAATGTTATAAGGGGCCATATCAGGGATTTAATCTGTCTATTTTACTTTTTAAAATAGAAAAGGTTAACAGTAATATCATTTTTATTGTAAAAGTCATACTTATAAAATTAAAACCACTGTTTTGCCCCTTTTAAAACAGCAGATCCTCCAAGGAAATGTATAAAAGATACAATGTACAGGGTGACCAAAAAGTCATATACATTATCTAAAAAAAACATAATTTCTCTAAGACTTATTAGACACTGCAATGGTATCCCGACTTAATGGTCACCCAGTAGTTCATCAATCAAAGTGTTCTCCATCAAGAATGATGGAGCTTATTCTGCAGTGGGAGTGGAGAAATGTTTAAGCAGAAGGTTCAGAAGAGTGTTTGAATCACATTTAAATGTCTTTGTTAAAGTGGAGTAGTAACACTTGGTGTAGTTATTAAGAAACAGAATTTTCAGATCTATTTTTGTTATAAGATATTTTACACATGCCGTGGATCAAAAGCATTTGATTCAGGAAAGCAGATTTATTGCTGGATGAATTAATTATTGACCTCTTGACCAAGCTGATAGCTCACTTCCGTTGACAATGTACGCTGGGTTAACACCATGGCGGCATGATAATCAGGGTGACATCCACTTGGCCAAATTTTCTGCAGCCGTTTATAATTTTAATATTACTAATAACAATCCTATTTATTGTTCCTTTCCCTAATCTCTGCATTCACTTCACTGTAGTTATCTAGAGTTGTAGTTATGAGAACATTAAGTATTTGTACCTGAGATGGCCATACAGCTCCTTCAGCACCCGATCTTGATTCTGAACTGTTTGAACAATGATCTTCACCATATCTGTACTGTCCTCATAGTGGTGTGAATCTAGAAAAAAAGTTTGAAAAAAAGTAGCTTTCACATGCAAGAAAAATACATTGAAAATTCAGTCTCTGATATTTAATATGAATTTAGTAACTGAAAACAAATTATTTTGTTATTGTGAATCGGATAAAACAGACCACCAATCCAAATGGATATTTGTGTTGTAACATTTTGACCCTTTGCCAGGACATGTTAATCATGGCAAGGTGGTTCTGAGTTTTGTATTCAAGAGCCATTTCAACAAGAAGCAGCTCTGTAATATTTAAGCCTCTGGTGCCGAGAAATCTGCCTAATAAACATGGTGTGCTGGTTTGCATTGCACTGGGGCAACAGAAATTTCTACAGGAAAGTATTTGGCATTAAAACAGAGATATATACCAGCAGGTTCTTAACCTTTAAAAAACATAAAATTACTTTCTACTGAAAATATTTACTCTAGAACTTCCTTTGATATTTATTGTGCATTATAATTATAGATATGATATTTATCCAATATCTAAATAGACATGTTGATGCTTATGTGGTCAAGTACACCAGTTAGAATAAATGTCACATCCAGCAAATCACTATGTATTTCTCTATATCAAATAAATGTTCTTTTGCAGTAAATACATGATTTTCACATCTGAAGCCGCAGTCTCTGTTGCTTGAGAACTATCAGTCCAGCCCATCTGTGGGATTAAACAAGGTTACCACCATCTTCTAATTCTACTCTTTCAGTAAATGTGTTAAGAGATCTGCTTAAAATACTGCTGTGTGCACAAAATACAAAGGTTGAAATGTAATCTATAGAGTTAAAAACATGATCCTATACCTTTTGATTTTCCCTTGAGTTTCCTGTATAAATCAATGGCCTTCTGTTCTCTGGAAAGGAAAATTATGATTAGTGAAGTGATTTATTGCTCCAACCTAATCCTAAATCAGTCTAATGAATTGTTCTGTCTGTTAATGGAGGAAAATTTAACATAAATAATTTATTTCATAAATTACCCACACATGTGGTTGATTGCTCTTTTGCTTTGGTGGTGATAGTTATTGATTTTCAGTCTTCTAATCAACCCAAAGTGCATTCAGAACACTTATATTTTGTGAAAATTGAGAACCAATTCTGTTCCTGTTCAATGGCACAATACCTTTTTTGTTTATGGTTAGGGGTCTTTATGCAATGATTATTATTATGTCCTGCTTGCTCAACAATCATTTCTCAACTCTGTGACTTCAAGTCCAGAACAGCCTGACAACTGCAGATGTGGTATTAAATGACACCGGTTATCAACATGCTTTGGGATTTCTTTTTAACCTATAATAAGTCTAAGATAAGAGTGGACCTCAATATTTTAAGACATTCTATAACAACATTTGTTAATCACCTGTGGCCATTCTCTTTGGAAAACAGATAATTGAGGTTTGTATCAATGTAGCTGAGCTGGCCCCTAAGTAACATGCTCAACAACGAAATGTCAGAATCAAGGCAACCCTCTGTGACAGAGTTAGCAGTCTGGTTCCTGAGCCAGGCAGGTCTGAGGTACTCCAGGCCACTGCTGATGATAGACAAGCCAGCCTGGCTCATTGGCAGGGCTTGGAGGAGCAGACTAGACACTGGGGCAGGCATTCTTCCCACCCAGCTCCAGTAACCCTACAAGCAAAAGCCAAAATGGCCAGACTGGTCCTTGTTGAATAAGCAGCAAGAAGCTCGCTAGATAATTCTTTCCACCAACATTGCAACTATAGCTGGTTAAACCAAGCAGTACCCCAACGCACACTCTGAGTCACCAAGCCTTGTTTCTTGCCAACCTACGCCCAATACTCTCCGGAACCAGGTAAGCAGAGTGCGTTCCTCTAGGGAGAGTGTACATTCCACTCCAGGCACAGGGAAGTTTCCTTATGTAGTTTGCATACATATGTGAAACATTGTCTGATTTGGAATACTCTGAAGATGATCAAAACAAATCTGTTGATCATGAAGAGAAGCAATTAAATTACCATTATCAAAACAAAAGCATTGCTGGGTACTTTTTTAAAAAAACTTATTTAATCTTTTGAAGAAGATAAACAGTTACAGGTCAATCTGCCAAGAGGCAAATATGACATTTCTTCTCAATCCGTAAAGATGCCTGAGCCAAAGTGACAAGTGATCAATGCACCATTAGCACAAAACATGTACCAGAGGAATTGTCTGTTGTACAACTCCACTTTCCAGAATAATGATCATATTGTGCAGTTCTAAGTCATGAGTGAGAAGCCTAAATTCATATTTATTAAGAAAAACATGATTGACATAATATGTATTTTTGTTGTGACAGACAGGCAGTGGATTAGATAATCAATAAACATGCTGGGACTCTTCCACCTTCACTGATAGGGTCATCAAGACACTCTCAAGTGCTATAGAGCTGTCAGACATCAGTCTATCAATTTCATTGTGCGTACAAGAGTGGAAAAACACAAAAAGACGAATCTTCCGATGTATTCAGCTTTGCATTAACATGAACAAATTCTGTAAGAGAATTGCTGTATTTACCTTGCAGGCCAAAGCTAAGATCAGTACCATTTTATAAAACAGGTATTACTTTTCTCTCTCACTCACAGGCTGATTCTCCGTGCAGCCATTGTTTGCTTTGACACTTATGCCCTTCAAAGTGCATATGCATACTTCCATTATTGTTGCCATAGCAGCCGAGACGTGTGGGAACTATTAACAATTCTCTACACTATTTCATTTTGTAGGATACTATCACTCTTGTCACTCTTGATTGGAGAAGAACAACATGATTTATAACACAAGAGATTAAACAGAAACTGACAAGACTGATTTTGTAGTGACTATTAACAGCCATCCGTGAGTCACTGGTAGACTTCTGTCACTTACCAGGGGAATAGATATTTTGAATTTAAATGCAATGCATTTGACTGCAACTGGAGAACCAAACTTGCGCTGTTTCTTAATGGGATTCTTACTAAGGATAGAAAGTATCATTCTTACTATGATAAGGAATCCCATTAGAATTCTGATCAACTCTCAGGAATCCTGTGCTGGAAGCAGATAAATTTCAGAGTGGAGTTTGGGTTACCATAAGGCCTTCCCATTTGTATAACTTGAATCCTTTATTTAGGAAACCGTTTAAATAAACGCAATTTAGATTCACATATTTCACGGTCCTATTTAATCTCTCCGATTTCCATAATTTGCACATTTTGTGCTCAAAGTAGTTATCAGCTTAAAATAAATAAATGTTAAAGAATTATTAATCTTACAAGGCTTCCATGACTTCTCCATGACGCCTTGCATATGGACTTCTCTGTAACTCCACTATTTCACTGTGTAGACCTACGATCCTTTCTTCCAAGTGACCAATTTCAGCAGCCTTAAATGTCAATAAAGGAAGAAATTTTGATTTAACATAAGAATAAGATTAATACATTAAAACATCATTTTTTAAAAATTATTGTGCCATAGGAACAAAAATATGAACTTGGGGAAAGGTTAGTTAAATTCACAGCCCCATTCACTCATCTATCTACTTTAGTTAAATAATAAAATTGATCTACTCACATGTCGACAAGCTTCTGCCTTCTCTTCCATCTCTTTCCATGCTTTCAGCATCTTCTCAGAAGCTTAGGAAAAGATATATACTTAGGGATCACCTCAAATTTCAGAGATTTTATAAGATATATGGATTATATCACATTATAAGCAAAGCACGAAAAATGGCCAAATTCTAGGTCAGGTTGCTGCTCACATCTCACGCTGTGAATGCACATTACAATGCTCAGAGCAGGTGGCGTAGATTATGTCATTTCCTGTGTTGCATGCACGCATTGCATACAAAGTGCCACTGATGACACTTCCTGCGCAAAGGAACGTCAGCTACAGCCTGACATTATGAAGTTGGCCATTTGTTGGTGTGGGAAGTCAGCACCAGAAACTGAGTGCGCTGTGTTTCCAGTTATCGCTGGTCCACAGTTGACCCAAACCATTTTCTACTTAAATTAACGCATGTGCTGAAGTTTCTTGTACATGTGGAACATCTGTTTGATATTCACTGTTGTAATGGAAACACATCTGTTGGTCAAAACAGTTTGAAAAAAAAGTAGCTCTTGCAGTACTCATTCAGCAATAAAATATTCACACCTTTGCATCCCAGCCTTGACAAGCATTCAAACAGGCCTGCTCTCATTGAGCATTCTGACAGCTCCGAGCCTGGTTCCAAATATGGCTCCCAACACAGCAGCGGAACATTCCTTCTCAGGAGAGAGAAGCGTTCCTTCTCAGGAGAGAGAAAGATTCCTTCTCAGGAGAGAGAAACAATTCAGGCACAAATCCTACCTCACAGAGCACACCTCTCACCTGCCAAACATGGAATTCCTAACAGTGCTGGACATCAATTTGTCACCCAGATGAACATGCAAGTGTGGCAACAGGAACTGTGTTGGCAAAACACTGCAATTGTTGACTGGCCTTACGTCCACTCAATGTCATAAAGGAGTAAAAAGTACTTTGCCTCATGGTATACACAAGGTCATGGTCAGTCTAAGAATTATTCTCCGTTCATCTAACAGGCAATATTGACATAATAGAAAGCGCTGTATTAAATTATGCCAAAGTAAACAATTTTATACCTTGCATGTAAATCCGCAAGTATTAATAATGTCAGTTTTAGACATTATGCGTCAGTCAAGTCTAATTAATGTGCTGACATACCAACTCTGAAATTATACAGATTATTTTATTAAATGACAAAAATGACAGCCCTCTAGAGCTATAAATATAACTCCAGATTCCAGCATTCAGGGAGCAATAACTAACTTTGCTGTGTTGAAAAAGCTTACTGCATTTTGAATTTACAAATGCTCTGGGTGACAAAATGCAAAGTTCCCAACTGTTGCTCAGAATCTCAGGAGTATTAGTGGACAAGGGGCAATTGAGACGAGGATGGATGGCTTGGAAGAATGAACATCAAACAAAAAAACAGCCAAATGCCTATCTACTGTGTTATATATTTCTATGGTTCTATTGTCCAGTCACATTTCTGGATCATCTTAAATCAATAACAATAACAACAAGCATTCATATAGCGCCCCCCACGCAGGGCAGTGTCTCAAAGCAATCATGCTACGAATGCACAAAACACCAAAAATCAGACCTATTTTTAAGGAAACACAAGATTCCTGCAGCATACACTGGAGTAAAGTGGCTTCACTTTCGGGAGTATAAACATAGCCCTGGCAAACTCTCAAAAAAGAACATTAAGAGCAGATTAGATTCCTTATTAGCTGCCTTTTACAGCTTAAACAAGATTCTAGAAGCATCATGTTGTCCATCTTTGAATCTTTTTATTCAGTGACCAATATATTTTTTTAAAACAAAATAACATGACAAATCAAAAGGATGAATCTGAAATTTGTTTTGTTGTAAAAAAAACAGGAAGATCAATATCATTCTTACTCACTAATATAAATGCACAATGGGAAACAAGCTGAACAATACTTACATATTCCATATGCCATTTGTTCACTGTACTTTTCCAGATCAAGCTTTATGCTACACTGAAAAAAATCCAACTTGGCTTTTAGCTGCTGGGAATTGGAAAACATAGTCATCTTCATTTTTGTCAGGTTACTGTTGTAACGGAGGAGACTCAGCCTGGAAATCAATTACAGCCAAGAATCATTCCAATGTGTCAGAACTTTCACACACACAAAACAAAATATTTACTTTCAGGCTTCCCCTGCAATTGTTTTCAGTAGGAACCCCCCACCACCAAAGTAACTCTTTCAATACCAGTCATTGTACCAAATTAATATTTAATCTTAATAATAATAATCCTTGCATTTGATATCACGCTTTTCACATCTTCTAGATGTTTCAAAGCGCTTCACAGAATAGACTGTAAAGTGAATTGACTGTATATTTGTGGGCAAAATGTGGTAGCCAATTGCGCAAAAGCAGTGTCCCACAAACAGTTGTGGATTGAAATGACCAATTTATTATTGTTTTTTTTGAGGGATTATTATTAGGCGTGTGGAATAAGGAAACTTGCCCAAGGTTTCACCCTGCCGGGAATCGAACCCAGGTCTCTCGCTTGCAAAGCGAGTGCTCTAATCACTGAGCTACAGGACTCTAATAATAATAATCCAATAATAATTAATAATCTTAAAATTAAATTTAAAAATTGTAAATATTAGGATTTGTTGCACGCAGGGGTTTAATCACTGCAGCCAAGATTACTTCTCCCCTCAAACAAAAAACAAAATAAAAAAACTGCTCATCTTATTCAGAGTTCTAAGCTAAGCCAAAGGATATCCTAAGGTTTCCCACATCATGATTCACATTCCAATGCTACCAGTTCCACACGTAAATTTGATGGTTCTACTCTGCATTTTTAACAAAGATCAGAAACATGATTGATAGTATCAGATAAATTGCGTTGTCGTTGGTTAGCAGATTATGGAAATAAGGGACTCCACGGTCATATGCAATAATAGAGCTGCTGAGATAGTTGTAAGCACTTGTTTCTATTGAAGTAAATATACTCATGTCCTCCAAGAAGCACATACCTCCTCCCAGCCAGCAGAGTCACTAGAATAGCTTAGCGCAAGAGTCCGAAATGGTGCGTCTCTATGGTCCTTGAATTACGAGGCCAAATAGCTCACAGTTGGTGGGAACATATCCCATTTCTTCAACGTCCCCCTCCCTCCACTCACGTGCCTTGGAGTTCCTCTATTTGAAAATAGACAAAATCCACTTGGCTTCATCCTCCTCTTCTCCCCCACCCCCCGTCTGCTAATGTCCCTACCCTGCACACTTTTACCCACATTTCTCCAATATCCCTTGCCACCCTCATAAATGAAACCCACCAATCTCCTCCCTTGATCCCCTTCCCACGTAGGCATTGACCACTCAATTACCCCTCCTCTGTCCACTGCTGGCGGTACAGACAACCTATATCTCTATTCCAGCACTGTCCCTATTAATGTCAGTACCCCCTCCTCAAAAAAAAATCCTTGATTCTTCCAAACTCGCCAACTTTGTCTCCTCTATTGGTTTCCTTGCCCTGTCACCTACGGTGCACTACAGGGTTCACCTCAGCCCCATCCTATTCCTCCTCCGCCCCTTTATCTATTTTTAAATCACACCTGAAAACCTGCCCGTTCGACTGTACCTACGGTAATCTCCTATTCCTCCTTCTCTCTTGCTTGGCGACCAACCCCACCAACTTACAGCTTTCCAAGATGTTATCTTACATGATTGCACTGTATAAATGCAAGTTGCTACTGTTGATATGATATTTTTAAGACAAATGGAAAAATACTTCCACACCGAGCTTTAGACTGCATGTGAAATATAAAATGAAAATAATTGTACAACATATTCTAAATAATTACAATAAAGCAAACAGGCAAATTAAAGTGCTGGTAAACTCATCTTTGCAACACTTGTGATTTTTTACATTTTTTTTCTGGCAGATGAATAAAACTTTTTGCAGCTGGGTACACAATTTGAAAAATTCCTTCCTCAGACATGGTTAAATTAATTTGAGATTCTAACACCATTGAGCACAGTGAGACTGTGTCACTGTTCTTTGTGAAGTCCATGAACAGAAGGAGCCAGCCCTTTGGGACTCAGCAGATTCACTCCATTGGTCTCTTCCAGTCCTGTGCATTCCGATCTTCCTAAGGAATGCACAGATGGCTGCACCAAATTAATAAGCTCCTGAGTGCACCTTCCTTATTTTTAAAGGAAGTGTATAATTTGTACAACCAAATTAAATGATGAGAAATGTAGGTATCTGTATGTGTGCATATATAATATATATATATAGAGAGAGCGCGCATTTTTTTTCATGGATGGTTTTGAAATGAATTGAGTTGGTCATATCTGTTGGAATAAACATTTCAAAGATAACCAGGGATTGACACAAAGACATCAATGAAATCTACCGTTTCTTGAACAGACCTTGTCAAAGTATATGATGTGTGGAAAAATAATACAGAACAATCAATTGAATTTATTGCCTTAATCTATGAAGGTTCTTCTTTTAATGTTTTGTTTGTTTCTGGCTTGATTTACTGAGTTTAATTGATGTTTCAAAATAAATCTTGAATTTTATCTTTGCCTTGGGGCAGATGGCAACATTTGAGAATGCACTTGAGGAAACAAATTTGAAAACCTCTTATGAAAAGTAATATTCCTGCAAATTATTCCTTTTGTTAAAGTTGGTTACAAACGGCCCGAGTACACTTGGAGAGTTGGAGATGGGGAGGAAAGGTTAAATCACTGAGTGTGATCATCCTGAAATTAATTTTGTATGGCACCTAATGGTGGCTCACAGAGTTACTGGTTGAGGCCAAGAAACAAGTTGCAGTCACAGCTGATGCTTGCCATGTATTGAAGGCAAAAGAAGCTGATTCTGTACTTTGATTCATGAATAAACTTGTAAGCAGTAAAACTAATCAGTCCAACAATTAGAGAATTTCAAGCTAGATTCTGAGCTTTGAGCGACTGTTCTCAAACTCCACCTTTTTTGGATATGTCATGAAATGCTGCTTATCAGCAAACTGCTTTCATTTCACATGGAGTAAATATAATAATCCCTCAAGAAAAAAAACAATAATAATTTGGTCATTTAATCCACGACTGATTGTGAGACACTGTTGTGCGCAATTAATTGGCTGCTGCGCTTCGCCCAAATTATACAGTAAATTCACTTTATAGTATATTCTGTGAAGCGCTTTGAGACGTCTAGAAGACATGAAAAGCGCTATAACAAAAGCAAGGATTATTATTATTATTATAGTATTATTATTGGAAACACCAGTCCCAACTCGCTGAAATACGCAGTTTAAACATTCGCAGATCAGCACAGATAGCTGCAATGAAGCAAAAACAGGTCCAGTCGTTCCCAACATCTGGACTCAAAGTAAAGGTCATGTTATTTTAAAATCACAATTTAGACAGTAAAACGTACACCCCACTCCCAAATAAAGCCAGAAATCAAGAAAGTTATTGTAAAATAATCTCCCCCCAGTAAAATTAATCTGAAATATTAAAACAGTAAATGATTGAAACTTAATGTAGTTAGGTCTTTTGTGAGTTATGAAGTCACATGTATTAGTATCAACAACAAGAAGATTACATTTGTACAGTCCCTTTCACGTCGGGAGGACGTCCCAAGTTGCTGGACAGTGTACAGCATTTCAGACCCGAGCTGGGGTCAGGGGGGAGAAGGGAGGGAAGGGGAGTGATCAATGGCATGGTCGAAGAGGAGGGTTTTGAGGACGGACTTCTTCCCAATTTTTATCAGTCTTCTTTCCACTGGATTACTTACATTGCTGCTCTCTGTCCCTGGAAAAGTCTGCTATAATCATCCTTCAATCCACAGACATAATTCACAGCTTCACCCCAGACTTTTCTCAGCTGTACATTGGGCAATAATACCTTTGCGTCCCTTACTGCAGAAAACATAATGTTGCAAAGCATTAATTTTAAGCAAATTCACAAAATACAATAAATGCATCATTTCTGCAAAAGCAATTACGAAACAAAAAGATTAAGATTTTAATGTAAGTTTTCAATTTTAATTAATCTACTTTATTTACACTTACACAATCTATTATTAACCTATCTATCATCACCATTTGAATAATTAAATCCATTGTTTGTGCATTCTATTTCCCTTGAAACATGTTATGTGTTCCTGGTTATAATAATAATAATTGGTTATGTGATAAGGTGCTATATCAAATGCAAGGATTATTATTATTACGTTAATCAATAATAAATACAGATTCAACTGCGGAATCAGGGGCAAAGCAGGTGAGTCTGATCTTGTTCTCACCAAAGACTACAACCACTCACCTCGGCAGTGATATTTCTACTTCTACAGTTCACTTCAAAGCATTTTATATGCTTTGTATGAAACATGGATAAACTATATGCCAGTTTATCTTGTACAAAATGTTTATGAAGATGTTACTTTTTTTTAAAAATCAGCCATACTTTCTCAATAGTTTCGAGTCCACATGTGCAAGATAAGCATAGCCAAATACCTAACATCTTACAAACTGCTCCTTCAGATTCATCTAAAGTTCAAGTCACCACTGTACTAAGATTAATTTTTAAAGAATTCTGTTTCGCTTAGGAATTTCTGACTATTCCGGCTGACACAACTGCAGCTGCTGTGCTTTAAAATAGCTGCACTCTTTGACTTTTAAGACTTTATTCTACCAGAAAATCCTTGATCCTTGTTTCAAAATCATGGAGGATTATAAATGGCCATAGCAGCTGCATAATGATTCATCGAAACGTTGGGAGGAAATGGAAAAGCCTTGTTCAGTTTTATAATGATTTCACAAAGAGCATCGGGATCAAGATATATCAAGTTTCAAAACTGAGATGTTTATAGTACCGTGGTTGGTAATTGCCAAGCACACTTACATAGGTTTAGGGTGATTCCTACGTCCTATAAAAGGACCTCAGTTTTTACACTAGGTTTCGGGTTTTAATTGTTTTTTTAAAACGTTTTTCAAGGGAGAATATCAACTTTTCATTTAGCTATATAATTTTCTGAATTTTAGTGACTCTCACTTGTAAATTGCCACAGATGTCACATCCACCCTGCATCTGTGTGCTATGTGCAGACAGTGCCACTAATGTTAGAGACCTCCCCCATCCATGCCTATAGCGCTCGTGCACAGTGTGCAGCAAGTGACATCTGTGGCAAACTTACGACCCAGAAGTTGGCTCTCTTTCTAGTTCAAACCTAGTTTTTTTTTAAGCAATGTTTTAAACGATGTAAATCATTTCCCTAGATTTAGAGAACATTGGAAAATTTGATAAAAACCAATTTTTACTGATTAAATTGACAGAAACTGGCATTGCATTAGGGCAGCATAGGAGCTGCACAGGCCCTGCTCAGGCTGGGCTAACTTCCAGCAACTGATGCATGAACAAAAACTGTAGAACATCTACTTATTGTAGAATGCGAATGGTCTACAATAAGTGACTTTAAACCCATTGTATAATTTTAGCAAAATGCCAGGGGATTGGTCAGCAATGACACTCCTTCATTGGGACAACCGCGGTGTGACCAGGAAAACATCAGAAGTTCAAAAGCACATACAGAATATTTAGCGCTTGACTGGGACATCCAACTGATAAATGTAAAGGTTATGAAGATACTATATACCAAATTTTAGAAATAACTTACCAACATAATTGACATGTTCTGGTAATTTTCTACCAGCAAAAGGTCCTTCATAGACAGAGCTGCTTTTATCAAATAGGTACACCATGTAGCTGTCCCATCCTCTCTGCAACAGTGATAAGATCTCATTTCAAAACAGAGTATTATCCACTTTAAAAAAACAGTATGGTAAATGTACAACAGAACATAAAGAAGATTGTTTTATTCTTCAGACTCAATTAATAGTGCCTATTACATTTCCAGCACTTCTACCCCTGATATTTTCTTAAAATAGTCATTGGTTATACTTCTGATCATTCACAAACTTTAATCTCTTTTTTTACTGTACAAATAGACACCAAATTGCAGCCGTTTATCCTTCACAATTCGCCCGCACAAATACAGTTACACAATAGAGTAAATCCTGCGAAGTGTTGTAAGATGTCCTCCGAACATGAAAGAAGCTATAACAAATGCAAGGATTATTATTAGGATTATTATTTTAGTATACATGAATTCAGTTCCAAGTTCTGCTCCTGAATCTACCTTAGGAAGTATTTTTGTGAATTGAATCAATGCTTCAGCTGCAGTCTAAAATCAGGTTTGCACTGCAGCTCATTTAAATTGTACTTCCAATCTTTAAAAAGTCCTTGTATAATCCTTTCGATTACATTTTTATAACATAATAAGTTTATGACATTAAAGTTCTTGATATTAAAAAACTGACATAATTCAGCAAGTCATGTTTTAACCCACTCAGCTCCAGGAAATTTCAACGAATTTTACTCAGCCTCTCATCATACCAAATCATAGTGCTGGAAATGATGCTGAGGCAAGACAAACATTTAATGAAAAGCAAAAAAAACCTTCTGCACTATAATAGGCCAACAAAGTTGAATCCATTCAATGCTTAATATACTTATTGTCAAGATTCACATATGTGCAAAACCTTCTAAGGCAAGGCACCCAGCTCCCAAGAAATCAAACTCCAGAAGATTAATACCCTTGAGTTGAGGGGGAGAAAATAGAAAACTTTATAAATATAGTTACAAATCTAAAATAGAACAAGGGAGGAAGTTCAATTGTTCTGTCCTGAAGCACTTGTCTTGCACCAAGTGCTTCAATACAGAAATTATTGTTGCAGACCTTATAAATTTTAAAGACCATACCACTCCATCCAGCACACACTGACTGGCAGGTTTACGGGGATCAAGGGAAATTCCAGTCTCCAGGAGTAGTTCTTGATTTGCTGCAGCAATTCCTGTTTCAGTTTCAATGTGCATTTGAAGAGACAGAAGACTTTCGTCAGGTTTGATGAGGAAGGAATGAATACGGGCAGAGGTCATGTTCAATATATGCACGTACTGTAACAAAAAACATATGGTTTAGAGAAGGTAGTTTTCGAACACATATGGTGGAGAAAAAATGATTCTTACTCCCCTTTTACATAACGTAAAGGCCCTGTAACATTACAAAATCACAAAGTCAACATGTGTCAGGCTGAAAGCTTCTTTTAAATTCCATTTGTTCCTCGTTGCAGTAACTGAAGGATGCAACTTTGAATTTGGAGGCAGAAAATGGAAGACAGCAAATAAAAAATAATTTAATTAGTTTAAATTGCATCCACAAAAGCATCCAGAACTGCAAACTTAAATTTTAACTTTCCATTCAATAACATTACACAATTGATAGAACCACCAATACTTTACTGAAAAACTCTCAATTGACAGCATATTTTCACACATTATTTGCATTTGTCCACCAGAGGGCACTGTTAGATCATATTGCACTTCAAGAAAACGTGAAGGGTCATAATTAGTAAAGAAAAAGGCTTTTTTTTAAAAAAATTGTAATTTAGGTTTGGATGTAAATTAAAAGCCCATAAAGATGAAGGATAACATTGGAAGAGTTCAGGGCCAACAATGCCGCTCAGAGTTCATGTCTGTTCATCTGCCAAGAATCAACTGAAAATGAACAGTTTAATCAGGGTAGGATCCTGTACAAAAAGGCATCAGTGAAAATTATAATAATAATAATCCTTGCATTTGATATAGCGCTTTCCACGTCGGGAGGACGTCCCAAAGCGCTTCACAGAACACACTGTAAAGTGAATTGACTGTATATTTGTGGGCGAACGCGGCAGCCAATTGCGCACAGCAATGTCCCACAAACAGTCGTGGATTGAAAATGATCAATTTATTATTGTTTTTGGTTTTGGAGGGATTATTATTAGGCGTGTGGAGTAAGGAAACTTGCCCAAGGTTTCGCACTGCCTGGAATTGAACTCAGGTCTCTCACTTGCAAAGCGAGTGCTCTAACCACTGAGCTGCAGGACTCCACAGTTATACAAAGAATACACCAATCATTGAGAAATAAAGTAAACTCCTCTCTCCGTTATCAATAATATGGTGACTCCACAACAAAGAAAACAGTAAACATCAACTGAAGATTTTTTGGTGGAGAAGACAAGACGCTGCTTAACAATGGGAGAAAAAGTATACCCAAAGGGCAGAACTGAGAAAAAGGTGAAACTGTTATGGACTTGAACTAAAGATAAAAGCAAAAAGACTGTAAATCAAGCATAAATTTTCAAAAAGAGAAGGGTGTTTCTCCCAGTATCCTGGCCAACGATATACCCAAATAAACATTGTTCACTCATTCCATGGCTATTTGTGGGACAACTAGTTTCCACATTTCACCTACAAAATATAGTTAATCTGCTTTGGAGACATCTCAAATATCAACATATAATAAACACATCTATAGTTGTATCAAATGCAAGTATTATTATTATAATCAATGCCATTTCATTATTTTTCTCATCACTATTACCAACCTTCTGGCTCAAAATGGTGTCCATTAACATAAAGCATGTTGCACGATTTGTGGTAGGCTCCATGCTTCCACCTCGTTGAATTGGATCCCATCTCAGCAACACTTGTAGCAATGATTCTAGTTGTTCTGTTATGAAGCTTTGGGATAAGAACGGCATTGTTAACAAAAATGAAAACACTTGTGAGATTCTGAAACAAAATAATTCAGCTTATTAAAAATATTATTTCCAATTAGCTAAAAAATGTGGACAAAATGATTTTATGGAATTATCTATAGATCTATAATGGCTCCTCAATATGTAACTAGTGGTTATTTGTGGGGTTCTGTATTTAGTGGTGAGATCACTCGCCTCGCAAGCAAGAGAACCTGGGTTTGATTCCCGGACAGGGTGAAACGTTGTTCAAGTTTCCTTACTCTACACGCCTGGTTACCTCGCAGTAAGTAGGAACCTGGTTGTTAAGTCGATTGGTGGATCGCTTTTCTGGGGGTAATAATTGCTTCAAAAAAAATAATAATTTGGTCACTCAATCTATGACTGTTTATGGGACACTGCTGTGTGCAATAGGCTGCCGTGTTTCGCCCACAAAATACTCAATTAACTTTACAGTTTATTCTGTGAAGCTCTTTGGGACGTCTTGAAGACATGATAAGTCTCTATATCAAATGCAAGTATTATTATTATGTCAATGTAATATTCTGTTACATTGCACTAAGTTCATTTTGAACACAAGAGCCAGGTACTTATAGAGAAGGTAGAAGGTGAACGTGCATTATTTGAAATATTCTGAATACTCACCTGCTAAGGCAATTGGGCTGTGGTAAATTCATAGAGAAACTTGTTTCACCATTCATCCCCTCAATACCCGTGATATCCTTTGGGCCTTTGAGTTTAACTTTGCTGTGCCTGGAAAAAACAATGGATGCAGTTACCTATTTAATTCTTCCCGAACAAACAACAGTGGTTTATTCTTTCAAGCAAAGACAAAACACAGATTGATGCAAGATTACTTTAACCATTAAAGATCATTTGCAGCATTGAACTGACCATTCAATGATCACATTTGAAGTAGTTCCTTATGTATGAACAAATATTTTCTAATGAATGAATATTGTAAATGTTTAATCACCTTTTGAATGAAATCATAGATCACACAAACAGACAATGAACTAATCTGAGCATTTTTCATGTGGGATGGATGTATTGACATGCTTTATAAAGATGATGGGGATCACTGAACAGGGAGGGAAGGATGGCAGTTTTCCAAAAGCATGGTCTAAAATCGGGTTTTAAAAGACCCTGTGGTTGAAAGCTCGGCCAATGATGATGGAGTGGAGGAAGTAAGAAGCAATAAACTAGTCAGAGGAGTACAGGCAAGAGCAAAAGGCTACAAGAGATTGCAGATTAGGATGGAAATCATTTGTTGTTTATCAGGAAGAATTTGCAACACTTATACTATTGCACAGAAGCAAAACAAAACACAGGCCTATAACAAGAAAGCGCTCACAACACAGTACAAATTGCTACTCTCACTCAAAGAAGCCAGGAGGAATGACGGCTGTAGGACATTGGAAACATGTTCATTTCTGGAGCCAGAGAGGTTAAGGTAAAGTGAATGGGCATTCATAGAACTTCATTGGTATGGCCCTTAATTGACGCAATATTAATGCTCAATTTAAATAGATTAAAAAAATCCAAATTATCTCCTTACCACTGGATAGGCTGTTGATTATGCAAAAATGGTCTAAATCCCGAAATGCATTCAAATAATAGTGTTCCAAAACTCCAGTAGTCCACCGTGACTGTATATGATAGATTCCTATCAAACAATTCTGGAGCCTGAGGTAAATACAAAGACCGGAACTCATTTCTACAAAAATGACTCAATAACTACTATCAAAAAAAGATAAACAGTTGCATATTATTTTTAATAATACTTGCATTTGATATAGCGCCTTATCACATCTTCGAGAAGTCTCAAAGCGCCTTATAGAAAATACTGTGAAGTGAATTGACTGTGTATTTTGTGGGCGAAACTCAGCAGCCAATTGCACACAGCAGTGTCCCACAAACTGTGGTGGATTCAGTGACATTTTTTTNGTCCTCAACCAAAACCCCTACTTGGACAAGGTATGGAAACCTCTCTCTTGCTTGTTGACATATACCATCAAGTTTTCAACAACTTACACAATTTATAAAGCTAAGTACAGATCAGCACAGATCTAGCCAGATTTTATGATACATTGTAATTCTGAATGCAGAAACAAACAATACCAATATAGCTTGCTGAAAGAACTGGGCTTTGAACTGCATTGCTAGAAGCTTCAGCCAAAGTACATTTGGCAGTTCTTCAAATTACTTAACAAATAGGGCACGTTCCAGACAACATAAAATGTTATATTGTAGAGAGTGCTTTGACTGTTGCTCAAGTGTGGTTCCATACCTTGTCCAAGTGCCTATTATTCATATGTGTATCGAAACAGTGAGTGTCAGTCGGCCATTTGACCGACGAGGCCATAACAACTGAGGCCATAACAATCTTGTCGTCAACCAAGATCCCCACACACATTTTTTGCAAAAGAGATCAGTGAAGTGTGTTCACGAATGAGAATGTTTCCTTCTTCTCGGTTTCTGCTGTTACACTAACTGAAATCAGCAGGCAGGGGATCAAACATGAGACTTTTTGGTCTCTATGGTTTACTGCTATCCTGGGCTCTGTGCCTTGACTACAAGGTAATTGTAACTTCTAAGTAAGCATTTTTTTCAAAAGTGTAAAAATAATGGACCTGTAGAATAATTACAATTTAAACTGAAGTATCAAGCGGTTTGAAGAAGGCAAATGATTAGGTGTTACACATGGCAATGCTATGCTGGGAACATTTTATGATACCAAACACATCTTTAAAGCATTTCATTTTCACCAATATGTTAAGAAAAATTAAGTCGTCAAATAATATTTATTTTATATTAAATCAATTCATTAGTTCAAAATAACTAACATGAATGTACAAAAAACATAAAGCATACTCAGGTCATGAGTAAATTTAGAGTGAAGGAAAACTAAATACTTACTAGGTATTGCAAGGTTCCTACAAATGATGTACAAAGACTTCCTTGGTCCAGATCTTTAGCGTAGCCCAAATCAATTATTTTGTGTACAAACTATAAGAAAATAGAAAGATATATTCACTCCATCTTGTCTATTGGGTTTCAATTTCAACATAGATGTACTTCGAAAAAGAAATTTGTACTGTAACTAATAAGGGAAAAGGAGTCAAAGTATTAAGGTAAAGAAGAATGGAAGGGAATATTGCATTAGAACCATCTTCTTTCAGCATGGAGAAAAAGCATGACTGAAGTGTCAATGTTTCTTGGAAACTATTACTTTTAATAAAAAAATTGGCAACTTCTCACGGATAAACATACACAAATAGCGTTCCTATCCTCACAAATCAGATGACCTATGATTTACAGCATTTCAAATCATATTATGGCAAAGAACACTGGAGAAATGCATTTAGAGTAAGTCAAAACAGAGACTATGTATTTTTCACTTTTTTGGAATTGGACGAGTTGTTTTTTTCTTAGAAATACCTTAAATGTGATACACATCAACTCCATGTTAACAAATATTTACAAATTAGGGGAATTATAGAGGGAAAATTTAGATTACAGAAGTAATAGTAAGAAAGACACTTCAGAAACATCGTGTTGAAACATGTGACTGTTGTTTGTAGTATAACTGGCATGGAATGTTTTCTGTGGTCAAGAATGCACAGGTTCTTGTTCATATTTTTGTTAAGATTCTTCGATCGATAAAATCCCAACCTGAACTTTTAAAATGTGTGTTACCTGTGCAAACATGCAGACAATCAGGTCACTCCCTGTTCACCGACTGTTCCCGTACATGGATAAGGCAGAAAGTGAAGTCACTGTTGACTTCACTCAGAGGTTGGCATTGTTTAGTGCAGAAGCCAAAATTGCCAGCTTCTGGGTCATTGAATCACCACCATCCCAGAAGTTGGCCATTGTGGAGCAAAACATTTTTTTTAGGACCAGGAAATGAGCATGCTGGCTGCATGTATGTGCAATGAATGGGGGCCACAACAACAACAACAAGATTCCATTTATAGAGCGCCTTTCACGTCGGGAGGACGTTCCAAGGCGCTGGACAGTTGGGTCAGGACCCGAGCAGGGGGGAAATGGTCAGGGTGAGGGGAGGGAAGGAAGGGAGCGAGGAGGGGGGAAATGGTGAGGGGAGGGAAGGGAGGGGGCGAGGAGGGGGTAGAGAATTGAGAGGGGAGCTGAAGGCACGGTCAAAGAGAAAGGTCTTGAGACCGGCCTTGAAGGAGGAAAGGGAGGAAACAAGGCGAAGGCACTGGGGGATGGAGTTCCAGAGCCTCGGGGCTGAGAGGCTGAAGGCCCGGCCACCGATGGTAGGGAGGTTGGGGCGGGGAATGTAGAGCAGACCAGAGCCAGAGGAACGGAGGGTACGGGCAGTAAAGTAGGGGGATAGTAGGTCAGAGAGGTAGGAGGGAGCAAGGCCGTGAATGGCCTTGTAGGCGAGGATGCAAATCTTGAATTCAATCCTCTGGGGGATGGGAAGCCAGTGGAGGCGAGCGAGGGTGAAAGTGATGTGGTCGCAAAGCCTGGTGCGGGACATTACACGAGCTGCAGAGTTCTGAATGACCTGCAGCTTGTGGAGGGAGGTGCCGGGAAGGCCGGCGAGGAGAGAGTTCCCATAGTCCAGCCTTGAGGTGATAAAGGCGTGGACCAGAGTTTCAGCAGCGTAAGGGGTGAGGTAGTGCCGTAGTCTGGCAGCACTACCTCACCCCTTGCAACGCTTGCACTTTAAAGCCCACAGTAATGGGGCTGCACTGTACCTAGAAATTAGGTAGTCTTCCTAACCTTGGGATGTATCTAAGGCAGGGTTCGGCAAAAGACGGCCCGCGGGCCATATTCGGCCGGCCAAATGATTCTATCCAGCCCATCATTGTGTCTATCAATGGAAAAAATTATAGTTCGGTTAGTCCCAGAAAGTCTCACAAATCTCACATTTGAATCTGACCGGGAACATCAGCCAATCACATGGCTTAGTTGCACGCGCGCTCCCTTAAGTGTTGAATCAGGCTGACGTCAGAAATGTACGGATCTTCAAATTTTCAAACGCGTGCGCAGCAACTGCGGCAATATTTTTCAGCGGCAACTGCGGCAATATTTTTAACTGAAGAGGACGTTAATGCGAAATAAGTTTATCAAAGAAGCGGAAAGTGGACGCTGAAAGCTGAATATTCAACAAAGAATGGACTTCGAAATTTTTTTTTAAACCAGTGTGGGTGGAAAAGTTGTGTGCTTAATTTGCAAAGAATGTGTGGCAGTGCTCAAAGACTACAACTTGAATTGCCATTTGAGAGCAAACATGCTTGCAAATATAAGAGCGTTTCAGCCGAGGATAAAGGAAAGAAAGCTGATGAGAGGGTTGTTTGAATACAAAAAGAGCAAAGCATTTTCACAAAACAATTTGCGTCCGAGGATGAGATTACAAGAGTGAGTTACGTGATTGCACGAACAGCAAACCATTCTCTGAAGGAGAATTTATAAAGGAATGTATGGTTGACTCTGCCTGGATTTTATGCCCAGACAAGAAAAAACAGTTTGAGAACATTAGCTTGTCAAGGCGAACTATTGTGAGACATGTCGAAGATATCTCCGAGAACTTGTATCTGCAGTTACAAAATAAAGTAAACAATATTGCATGTTTTTCACTGGCACTCAATGAGAGTTGTGATGTCAAAGACACAGCCTAGTTGATCATTTTTATTTGAGATATCACCAAATATTTTGAGCTCACAGAAGAATTGGCATCAATGCAGTCAATGAAAGATACAACTGCAGAAGACTTTTTGGAGGCAGTAAATAAGTGCATCTTAAAATTAGGAGTGGAGTGGAAAAAAATCGGTGAATATGACCACCGATGGAAGCCCAAATCTGACAGGCAAAAATGTTGGGTTACTGAAAAGAATTCAAGATCAAGTCAAAGAAACAAATCCAGAACAGAATATTGTTTTTCTACACTGCATTATCCACCAAGAGGTCCTCTGTAAGAGTGTTCTAAAACTAAGCAATGTTGTGGACACAGTTACAAAAGTGGTCAACTACATTGAAGCAAGAGGATTAAACCACAGGCAATTTATAACTCTGCTTGAGGAATTGGAATCCGAGCACACGGATGTTCTGTATCACACGAATGTAAGATGGCTTAGTTTAGGAAAGGTCTTGAAAAGAGTGTGGGAACTGAGAACAGAGATTGATTGATTTTGGGGCATGAAAAAAAAGATTTGTATTTCCCACAGCTGAATGATGCAAATTGGCTCTCTGATTTCACATTTGCGTTGATATCATGGGACACATGAATGAGCTGAATTCAAAACTGCAACGGAAGGGGGTCTTTGTGCACAAGTCATTTATAACAAAATAATTTATTTTAACGCGTCAGATAGGAAACAGGCTGTTTGCCCACTTTCCAACTTTGCAGCAGATTACTGTTTGCGATCAAAGCCTTAAAAAGTATACTTTGTCACTACTTGACTTACATGCCGAATTTTCTCGCCGACTCCAGGATTTCAATTTGATCAAAAATGACCTGTTTTTGGTCTCTTCACCTTTCTCATTTGATGTTGACAAAGCCCCATTTGACCTCCAACTCAAGCTTATTGACCTGCAATGTGATCCATTGCTTGCGGAGCTATTCAAATCAGTGCCGCTTCCCAGTTTTTATGCCTCTCTTAATGAATATACCTTTCCAAAAATAAAGGCTCATGCCCGGAGGATGCTTGTGCTGTTTGGATCAACATACATATGCAAGGAGACATTTTCTGTGATGAAATTCAATAAATCAAAATATAGATCTGTGATGACTGATGACCACCTTGCAGCAGTACTCCGGATTGCAACAAACGGAGACGATGCCTGACTTCAATTATCTGGCTAATGCACTTCAGTGCTTTCATTCTTCACATTCTCATCAATATGTGAATAAATGAATAAATATCAAATAAATGTCTACTCAATGAGTTATTATTTTGCCTAACTTTAATGAATGTCAATAATGTAGAATTTATTTTATGCATGTGCAAGTGTAAGACTTGATTTTAAGCTATTATTAAGCATTTGCATCTATATTAATTTTGTGGCCCACGAAGCTTACTAAAATTCGTGAAGTGGCCCGCCAGCCAAAATAATTGCCCACCTTTGATCTAAGGGATATGGGAAAAATGTGGGGAAATTGGGTTAAAAGTTCTGACCTGACCCATTTTATTGCTGCAGTGACAAGAAGAATCGCCTATTAAAATATAGTAACACAATCTAAAATTCATCACAAGTCAACAAACTATTTTACTAAAAGGCACTTCCTTCTTAAAAAAAATTGACAAAATGGATCTAACTTTTGTAGTTTTGCCTACAATTTATATCCGAGTTGAAGTTTTAGCTGGTTCTGCAAGGATGAAGAAAAGCAACCATGGTAACACACAAATATTATACAGTTAACAATTTTGTCATCAAGAAACTAATCTGAAAATCTGTTCAAAGAAATAAGTTTTGTTTTCCTTCAGGTAAATTTCTCTGCAATATGCATGCTATGAACCTAACAAGAACCTCTCTTGCTTACCTTCCCGTTGGTTTCTTGCAGGACAATGTTCTCAGGTTTCAGATCTCTGTGGATAATTCTGTGCTCATGTAAATACTGGATGCCAGAACCTAACACAAAACAAATGCAAAAATAATTACTAAAATTAACAGTGTCCAAATATCACCATATTATTTTTCAATTGATGAAGTAAATAACTTACAACCTTCAAAGCTCAAAAAGCAAACAACTTTTTCAAGAATCCAAAGAATTTTAACTCTTCTTAATTCACCCATTTGCTTTTAAAAATATTTTTCCTTTGCACTCACCACAAACAATTGAGTATTTTGGAGAATTATCTGCATATAAGTTTCTTTGAGGTTCATGGAGATGACGCTAGGTTAGTTCATCCAATGATTGCCTCCTCTCTTCCAAACAAAATCCAGTTGTCTCTCCGCCCAACAATCCTCTCAAATTGTTAACTCAGGAATTGGGAATCATAGAAACTAACCTCGTTCTGCAATTCTCATAGACAAGGAATTTGCCAAACTACTGCATTCTAGGCTTCTCAATGCGGAATGATTGCTTCCAATATTGGTCTAACTCTTACGTCAGTTGTGTGTTTGGACAATGGAATTTTCAGAAATTATTTCAATCTTTGGAGCATGATATTCAATTTACTAATATTTACTTCATTCCAACTATTTAACTTGAGAAGCAGCTACATACCTACGTCGTGTAACAAGCTGAGAACTTGACTTTCTTTCAGTCCACAGCAGTTTTCAGGCTTGTTCAATAGCTTGAAAACACAAATCACACTATGAATAAAGAATTACCAAAAGAGATACAAGAGAAAAACTCACAGTCTTCTCATCCAAAAGAATCAGACAATAATATATATTTCTCGGTCACTGTACAACCTGGATGAAGAAACAAGGCTCATATTGTAAGGTACAAGGGGAAAATATTTATCTTGTGAAAGGTTAAAAAAAGTACAATATTCTATCAATTCACTGAAAATGTAAACTTAAATGTTACCTTACGCAGGTCACCTCCGGAGCAGTACTCCATGACAAGGAAAGGGACATCATTAATTGCAAGACTCTTCATTTCTACTGGAACTTCACGTGCTGCTACAACATTTGGATGGCTCAACCTTTGTGGGAGACAAAGATAAATAGGGAGGTAAACCTCAAAGTGCGCTCAATATAATTTATGTGTAACTTATACACAAGTGAAAGATGCAGGCACTGTAATGGACCACACCAAAACACAAACTTGAACCTTCACTATCTTATAAGAAAAACCTGGAACAGCTAAAGGCCAATGTTCAACTCATAGCTTACAAGAAAAATAACTTGCATTTATATAGGTGTCCTTCACGTGGGGTAGTGACCAGGAGCTTATGCATGATGATTCTGTTGTTTCTCCGAATAAACTACTCAGGGAGGCAGATTGTGTCAGCAATGGTGAATTGGTAAAAAATTAGATAAACAAATTGATTAAGGAATAAGAAAGATGCAATGGATTATTTCTAAATTTTCTTACTTGAGCAAGTTTACTGGCCACGGGACTGTAAATCTTTAATAGAGAGAGAATATTTGTTCGAGGTGGAATGAAGAGGGAAGTTTAAAAGATAGATGTTTACTTGGCTGACAGAGGTATTAAGTAATATGGCAAAAAGGCAAAGCATTAGGATTTAAAGAAGCTAATGAACTAGTGGAACAGGCTTAATTCTGTTTGTGTTTTCTTAAAATTGTTTTAAATTTTCAAATACTGCAGCTGAATTTGGAGCTGTTGTTTCAACCACACACCATTAAAAAGTGCTACAGTGATCCCAACAAGTTTAAAGATCCACTCACTTTTCCATGATTTGAATCTCATGGCACCATCTCTGTTTGTTTCTGGCGCTCAACTCCAAACGGCAAACTTTCACTGCAATCCTTTCTATGGTGTCCTGGAAGAGACGTTCAGATCCTCAAGTATATTTGAGAAGAGAATGTATGATAATCATTTAAACCATGGAGTATTTTACTTCATTGATTTCTTTTAACTGGAATATGAATTCAGTCTCCCACAAGCCCCACAAATATTGCACCACTGCTGCTGAGAGTTAACAAGCATCAAGAGTGGATAGTCAGACTGGAGCGAGAAGTTGAAAACTGACTCAAATTATTTTTAATCAAATTAGATTATTTGTTCAGTCTTGACTGGACATGTATCATACTTCAAGGAGCTTCAAGAAACACATAATGTAAGATGACACTCCAACGCAGAGACGAGGATGTGTTGCATTGTCGGAGGTGGCATCCTTTAGACGAGACGTTAAACCAAGGTCCTGTCTGTCTGTTCAGGTGGACTTTAAAGATCCTATGGCACTCTTTGAAAAGATAAGGGAATTTCTCCCAGTGTCCTAGCCAACAATCCCTCAAATAAAATTGATCACTCACTTCACGATTGTTGGGCTGTGGGACATTCCTGCGCGTAACTGGCTGCTGCGTTTCACCCACAAAATACAGTCACTGCACTTTACAGTATATCCTGTGAAGCACTGTCTCGATGATGTGATAAGGATATATATCAAATGCAAGGATTATTATTCCCATGCTACTAAAATTCATATAACTGCTGAACACATGATGCAATATTTCTATGGTAGAGTGAGACAGAACTCCATTTGTCTTTCTCAACAACAGCAACTTGCATTTTATAGTGCTCTTCACTTGGGGTAGTGTCTCAGAGCGCTTAATAGAGTTTGATGCTGAGAGGAGAGAGGTGACTGTTGACACAGTGGAAGAGAAACATCTTCAGGCATGATTTGAAGATGGTAAAGAAGAGGCAAGACAGAGGGTTTGAGGCAGGACGTTCTGTGGCGCTATCCGCTGACTTCCCTAATTGGAATCAATGGATACCTCCACAGAACTCTAAACAGGAAAAAATGCAGGCAAATTCAAGCCCAGTCTTGAGTACCTCGAAGCAACTGACCCAGTAAGGCATTGGCAGAAACTGGAATCAGGTTGTTTACTCACTTGGTTGAACTTATGTGACTCAAGGAGATTTGGAGCATTTTCTTCCCATCCATAACCACAAGCTGCAAAGCAGCTGAAAGAGAGGACTTTTTTTCTTGCTTGATTTCACAAAGACTGAGCATACATCACATGCTGGAATTGAATAGGCACTGAGATACATTAAATCATCTCAGCTACAAACCTCAATTTCTGTGCATACTCCATTCCTGTTAGCCAACCACACCACAAAACATGCTCACATGGCCATGGAGTGGGAAGCAATTGTGAATCACATTCTCATTATAACTCTACTCTTTCTGGAGGAGGGCAAGAAAGAATTTCTGATTTTGAACACCATACCCACCACTTCCTCCAAACAATGATTTTCTTTTTCTGATATCGAAATAATACTCCTTGCATTTGACATCGTGCTTTATCATATCATTGAGAAGTTGTATTTTCCAGCATTGTGTAATACTATATTTACCTTATTTTCATACATGTAGACATTTCCAAAACCTCCTGTTCCAAGCCGTTCCTTTGGAACCCAGGCCCCACACATTTGGAGCTGGTTGAAGGGCGTTTTATCCATGCCTAGTCAGGAACTTTACCACTGCAATTAAAAAAAACATTTTAGTATGTTTCATCAGGATACCTGAACTGCACATTTTTTTAACTGTAACTGATCAAAGAGTCGCACAGTATTTGATTTTGCAATAAGACTGATAAGAGTCCGTACAAATCAAATCGATAACTGTGGCATACAGCAACTGATCTTCCAGTAGCACATCGTTTGGTTGAAACAAACATTCGGTCAAAATACCAGACCATAGTAATTATGCACAAACCCTTTCCAAAACTGAAGAACAATTAACTGGAAATCTTTGTTAATTGTTCTCAGTCTGTCACTTTTTACAAAACAAGAGAAATTGTAAGAACTGGCATACTGCCACTCAAGCTATACAGTGCTCTGGTCAGGCTGCTTCTAGATTAGTTCATATCGTGTTAGTCACCCAACATGAGGCGCCTTCGAGGCAGTGCAGAGGAGAGCAACAAGGATGATCCCCAGAAATGAGCTTTGAACAATAATTACATGACCCGGTACTCTACAGTCATGAGAGAAGACATCTCACAATCTTTCAGAAGATAGTATATGAGATTTTAAATGGGATTAAAAAAGTAAACCTATTATAATACTTTAGGATGTACCAAGGCAAGAAAACAAGAAAACATAGGTTTAGAGTTGCAAAGGACATTTTCAGGACAGAAAGAAAACCAGGACATTTTTCTTCACCTAAGGGTAATTAATGACAAGAAAGCTACCAGGAAAGATGGTTGAAGTCAGGACTCGTTTAAAGAAGCTTGATGCTGCGATGCGATATAACGGTAGGGTGAGTATTCTGGAAGAATCAGATCAGATGGTCCAAAGAGCCTTCTTCAACCAAACAAAACTTGTGATACCTGCCTCACCAGGAGAAATGAAAAACTCATATTGAAAAATACCTTTAACGATATCTTGGTGCCAAGCTTGGCTCAGTTGAAAGCCTCTATCTGAAAATTGTGGGTTGAAATTGAAACCTGAGTGCAATGTCTCAGATGACACTCCCAATGCAATACAACTGAGGTGCCAGATTATGTGATGCAATTGAACAACTTCCAGATAAGCCGGTCATTCACCCCAAAGCTGTTTTCAACACCTTGCTGCACGTAAAATAGCTGTTGGATTTTCCTAGAATTTATCCGCTACGTACAACAGTTACGATGTTTGACAGCAATTACAGTAAATTTCTTTGAAGCATTTCAACATGATCACGTGTTGTAATGTGCAAGTTTCCTTCCTTTAAATTAAATAATATTATTGAATTACCCATTGGATTACACAAGCAATCCTTTTTATATATTTTAGTGAATTTCTTCCAATTTCCATTTATAAAATCACAGCTGTTTTTATACTGCAACAAACATGACAAAATATTTTAAAAATTTAAAAACAGGGAATATTGGATTTGAGAGCAGTATAAGTCTAGCTTTCCCCTCCAAAAGTGTCTGATTGTTGACTTAAAATCCTCCAAGCAGCTAAAAAAAATTAATTGATAGGTATGGCTAACCCAAATAAATCTGTAGTGAGGCATGGAGAGTAGGAATTATTAGTCTCTAGACAAATAGAATTTAAAAATGTTATTAGCCATTTAATGTACAAAGAAAACCCTACTTTTTCACATAGCAACCCTCAAGCTTAGCATCACTGCCCTTTCCTGAAATACACATCAAACGTCTTGGAGCATTTGAATAAGTGCAGAGGTGAAAGAGCCCCAAGTGCCTATTCTGGTCAACAGTCTATCCTGATCCCACTTTAGGTGCTGGAAACAAATTTGTTGCTCTTGCTCTGTGCCATGAGTCAATACAAAGTCTGCAACACATTCTCCTATGCTGTATCTACACTAAGGGTTTTGGTCCTCTGATAGAAGGGCTGAATGCAAGTTTGTGACAGGAGTATATAATCGTACTTCGAAGACACGATCCCCAATAAAACCTTGTCTGCCCCAACTGTAAAAATACCTGATGTCTTTGGTACTTCGGTGATGTATGGGGGCTGTGGACACAAGAGAGATCACCCCACAATGTGGTAGGTGAGGTTACCCTTATGCTTTGCTGTTGCTGATTAAATCTGGATAAGAAAAAGCAAATAACTTTGTTTTCTGATGATCCAAACTTCAACTTCAGAGATAAATCAATAGACAAAACCCAGTCCTGTGACTTGAAGTAAGCTTCAGGCACAATTCCACCAGTCAGTTGAATGAATAAGGTGGACCAAGAAAGTAGTGATGTCTATATCTTTCTTTATGTAAACATAGGAGCCAAATAGCCTCTTTCTATGCTGCAAAATTGTATGATTGGGGATTTTTATAAACAGTGATTACAGACAGTCTTCTTACTGAATTTGAAAGAGGGTATTAGGAATGACACCGAGGGACATGGAATAAATTTTGAGGTAACAGATCACATGGAGTCTGAGAAAAGCACATGACTAAATACCAATATTTTTAAAATAATCAGCTAAAAAATAATTGTCATATTTCACGCCAAAAAAGGTAAACAGAATTAGTTTGCGTCACACATGTCAACTTCCTATTGACTGACGTTGCAAATGACATACTTTTTGACAGTGGTGGTGGGGGCGTAAAGCTTGCTGTGCGGAATGGTCTGTGGTGCTGCATTGGGTTTTGGCAGCCGTGTCAGACTTCCTGCTGACCAAAAAAAGTCTAGCGCAGGACACGCCATTTTGCAGATTTCTTCCCTGCCCCAACCAGATGTTTCACAATGGAACATTGCTCAATGCATTGTATTTATTAACATCCATAACTCATTGATAATAAAATGCCATATCAATGAATTATGCAAGGGGTAATTTTTCCAACTGCAATAAATTGTACGTAATGTACCCATTACTGCCAAGAATCTCGTAAGAACAATGGCCTATTCAGTCAGACACCAGACACCTGTGAACCTCAACGGAAGCAAAAGGGATCAAATACATTCTGGGGGAAAAGGAAGAAAATTAGCAAGCAAGAAAAAAAAATTAACACAAATCAGCTCTGATTTCTTTGTGATACTATGTTTTGAAATGAGCGGTTGGCTTGGTTTTTTAGAAAACCAAAGAAATGGAGGGCAATGACTAGCAGTGTTACATTACAGTCTGTACCAGATTGCCTGCAGTTCATAAATGATTTGGAAAAGAGCACTTCATGTAAAATTTCAAACAACTCAAATTTTTATTGCCAGATGAACAATTTAAGAATAAACAGCATTTGAGAAATTCTAGACCGATTCAACAGATGGACTGAGAAACAACAGATGAATTTTAATATAAATATAATAATGTAATACAATGCATATTGGAATACGTCTGCTCAGTGAGACAGCCTTCAGAAGTAGAGTTGAAATGGGATTTTTGTGAAATATTGACCATTCCCTGAAAGTTTGCAATTGGTATCAAGCTGCTTTCTACAAAGCCATTCAAATATTAGGTTGTATATTTGCACCATACTCTGCGACCCTATGACCCCCATCCTCGCCCGACTCCACTGGCTTCCCATCACACAGAGGATACAGTTCAAGATCCTGACCTTCAAAGCATTCCATGGCCTTGCTCCCCCCGACCTCTGCGACCCCCTACCAACCTGCCCGCTCCCTCCACTCAGTGGGCTCCGGCCTGCTTCATGTCCCCCACCTCGCCCATTCCACCATTGGCAGGCGGGCCTTCTGCCATTCTGCCCCCACTTTCTTGAACTCCATCCTGCAGTCCCTCTGCCTCCCCCCCTCTCTTGCCTCCTCCAAGACCCATCTCAAGATGCTCCTCTTTGACCGTGCCTTCGGTCATCCTCCTTCCCCCCCCGCCCTTCACCCTCCCCCCTCTGCCCTTCACCCTCCCCCCTCTGCCCTTCACCCTCCCTGATCCCAACCCCCAGCTTGGGTCCAAAACATTGATTGTTCAGTGGCTTGAAACGTCCTCGCGAGGTGAAAGGTGCTATACAAATATAATTTTGTTGTTGTTGTATCTCAAAGGGAGCAGATAGTGTAACAGTGTATGGATCACTTGTGAGCCCACGTTTGGATGTTGGCCTAAACACAAATTCCTGGGTGTGGTGGAAGCATAACAATACTAACATCTGCTTCATCAAGTTTTAATGTACAAAAGAACACATTTGTGGCTGAGGTCACAATTAGTCATTCGCACTAAACAAAATGGAGGAATTAAAGCTCTGAACAAATATAGCATTACCCACCACCCTATTTTTGACAAAAAAATGATTCATGCCACTGAGTATGGGCAAAAATATTTTACCTGAAACTATTTGTATCCTGTTCCACAGAGCAAAGATTCCAAGCCCTAATTACATTTTTTGCACCAAAAGAGCTAATTCAACTTTGGAGGAATTCAGTCATTGAAACAGAACTTTCAATTCCATTCACTACAAATATGTAATTTTATCCATTAATGTGAGACAAAGACTGAACAAATAAAGAAAAATGGTGTGCAAATGGTGATGGTGGGGAAGTGGTGGTGTTATGAACCTTTAGTATCTAATACAATGACAGGCACAATACTAAATAAATTAACTCCTGCTAATATGAATACCAAAGTTCAACTGCCCATCCTGACTGATAGTTTCTTAGTCTAGAGAGTAAATTTCATTAGTATAAGAGGTTTGCCAGCCTGAGCTAGGCTGTGGTCCCATGAATTGTCCCATACGATTTAAAGCATTCCTTGAAGTTAAATTCAACAGAAAGTAATTTGGAGAAAGCAGAAGGATGCATAAGCTTCCTTCTCAACTGAGCACAATATAAATGAGGGGAGAAGCAGGAAACCTCCCTTCAAATTATTTCCTACTGAAAAATATTACAAAAACAATTACAATGCTTTCATCAGAAATAAACTCTTCTGAACAATCATATATCTCTGTCTTCTGGAAATCCAAGAATACTGTATTCGATAAAATGAAGAAAACACAGTGGGTCTGTGAAAACCATGCTGTCTCATCTTTGTGGACTCTCAAGGTTGAGGTGAGTTTCAGCAGCAACGCATAAAACTAATTGTTGTTGTTGGATTCAACCAATACAGATCCCAGCTTCATACTGTATTTAACTCTTAAATAATGATTAGGTCAAACCTCTGTGTTTCTGCCAAGTCCTCTCAATTCACAAATATACAAACACATTAACCACAGCCTCACCCATTTCCTTGAGCAACTTATCTGAGGGATACCTCAGCCATTGCAGAAATTTAGAATTTCAAATCTGTCTGCAGTCATCATTTGAGAAGACTAATTAAAAATCTACAGTATTTAGACATATTTCACAATTTATCTAGAGGAATTATACTGTTTCTCAAAGGCTTTTTAAAATTCTACTTTAAACCTTTCACATTATCTCTGACTTGTTCACTGCGCCAGGATATTAAAATTCCAAGGATTGTCACGTGATGCTTCATCATAGCTTTCCTCACTTACCTAAAGAGTTTTTCATTAACTGGTTCTCTTAAAGATGGAAGTTAACATCAGCTGTTATCTTATCATACCATGCCTGTTTAACCAACGACAATAACCACAATCGCAGACGCCCACTTCCTATTGCACAACGCTTTTTTAAAAAAAAGCTAAATCATTCTTATTTGGCCTTATTTTAATGCATTATTTTCAGGTCTTTTCAGGAAACTATTTCACCTCCCAGGAGTAGAGTGATATGAGATTTCTCATTTCTGATTCCATTAACTGTACTGATTTTATTTAAAAGCAAACAGTCTTTCAAATTTTAACTATCATCATTTTACAACTCTTCATTGTGCCCAAGAAATTTAAGGTGACCATTTGGTAGTGCAGACAAAAATCAATATGCGTTTACAATGACGACAAAAACTTGCACTTAATATTGCACCCTTCACGAAGGGTAGCATCCCGGAGCGCTTGTACTGGAGTGTGTGAACATAAGCCCACTGGACCACAGTCTCCTTCACAGCCAAAGCTTTAATTTATAAGTAAAACATAAGTCATCAATTGATGCTGTCAGTCTGACCCAGTTGGTAGTGCTCTCGCCTCTGATTTGGAAGGGTGTGGATTGAAGCCTCTGGTCAGAACTTTGAGCTCATCATCTCATTTGACCCTCTAAATGTAGCGCTGGAGGAGTGCTTCATTGTCATGAATGCCATCATTTGCATAGAATGTAGACAGACCTAAGTCCTTGCTGTCTGTTCAGATAAACAATATAGATCTCATGGCATTATATGAAGGGAGTTTCTCTCTTGCCAACAATCCATATATAAAATTGTTTGTCTACATCATGGCTGTTTGGGGGACACTGTTGAGTATAAATTGGCAGCCATGTTTACCCAGTAATACATAGTCACTACACTTTGCAGATAACTCTGAAGTGCTTCAGTCATTTTGATGTGATCACGTGATACATCAAATTCAAAGATTTGTTTTCATTTGTGCTACTTCATTGCTCATCTCCAGTTTAAATCACATAAAGAAAACGCATACACATACTTCCACTTCAATCTTGGAAGCAGCAATTGGTAACAATCTGTACTTTCTCTTATTGTGTTAGTCTTCATATATTTATTCCAAAATATTAATTTTAAAATTCAACATTTTGGTTTGCGTAGGAATTAATAATCACTCTTTGGATTTTTTAGAACCTCCATTCGGAGGCATAAAGATTGAAACGCCTAATTCCTATTTGTTCTGAAGACATTGCATCCTTCAATTTGTTGAAGGACCTAATTGAAAAGATGTACAAGATAAATTGGGATGCAGTTGAAGTACTGCTGTCAAGCTTCTCCAAGATTGACTGCCACAGTGAAATTATTCAATAAGTACAAATTATATCTTTGTATATGTTTATCCAAATATAAATACACTTGTCTATGACAACAAGAAAACTGGAGAAAGCCAGAAGTGAAATTAACAAATTGGTTACAAATACAAGATTAATTCCAGACTAGGAGTACCTTGCTCTCCAAATTATTTGTTTCAACAAGTATTAGTTGTTTATCAATACTGCTGTAAAGTATCAAAAATGTCACTGAAAAGAAAACAAACATAGGAGTGCAACTTGTCTTTACCCAAGGATATATTCTTGCACCTGAAATTTCTGATATAAAGCTCTGGTGCAAAATACTTTTTATGAGATTTACTGGTTTGGGCAGAACAACTATTACTAGAGCAGAGCTCAAAGCCAGAATGCAGACAATCTTGTATTAATCCCAACTCCACTCTGGAGGCCACTTTATTTAGCTCCCTTGCAACACACAATAAATCATAGGTTTTAACATAACTATGACCATTTCTTAATTGAACATCCAACAAAAAAGCATGTAACATGGCTGCTGGCTGTGCTCATCTACATACTGCAAAATATCATCTCAACCAGCATTCCCTTGGCAAACCATTGCATATCACTGTACAAAACCTAACTTGTATCTGCAGTGAGCTTTCCTTCAAAATTAAAACAGCATAAGAGAACATCATCTGATATTGACTATTACAACTGATAAGATACAATATTTATCCAGCTGAGAGGAGGCCTAAAATCTCAATACCAATCTGCTGTCCACAAACTATGTCATTTCCTTGTTGGGATAAATACTGTAGCTCTAATTCTACGTTGAAGTAACTCAGTTAATTTCTCATCCCCTTCCTGATTACTTCTCCTTCTCAATTCGCTCATTTTCTATTTCTTTTCATTCCACTCCTTTTTCCCTTTATAGCAAAGCTGGACTTCACTTTGCTTTTTAAAAAAATGTATTCCCTCCTTCACTGACTGCCCCTTCCCTCCCTCCCTCCCTCCCCCACACACACTCTGTACCTACGAGTTTAGGGCTCAACTGGTTTGCTGACCCTCGAGCAGCGCATCTCTGGGATGTAAAACCATTAAAAAAAACCGCAATAAGTCGTTTAATTGTACAGAAACGAATTGTGAAAAAAAAATCCCCTTTTTCTTTGTTAAGGCTTTACTGAAGCCGATGCTTTCAAGAAGTTGACTTACAGTGAACTTCAGAGCCAAGAAACCTCCACAATCAGTGAGTGAGTGAGTGAGTGACAGACAAGTGACAATTTAGGCCTCATTTTAATGAGCCCCCAGCGCCGCCTCACCATCATCATCATCATCATCATCGCTCCTTTCTCTTTCAAGGCTTCCTACCTACCTGGGCAGTGAGAGGGTTTGGAGAGGCCGAGAGTCAACTGGTGCGACGCTGAATATTTAAACATTTGAGAAGCAATGGCAAGTTTTGAGAGATTATATATACATATAATACATATATATATATTTACACAGGTTCCAGCGAAGAGACTTCGGCGACGTCCCGATTGCGTGCGGCCGGGCGCAAAGGACCCCGGGACTTGTGGTTTTCCCCCACCTCGAAGCCGAGCCGCTCGTTCACTGCACTGCGCTTGCGCGTGGCCCTGGCGGCGCACGCGCACCAGCGCCACAGGAGCGGTACGTTTCCCCCTCCCCCCCCCCCCAGTTCAGTGGCACGGCTCCGGCTGTGCTTTACACATGCGCACTCGGCGACAAGCTCACAACCACTGCACAACACCCCTCCCCCTCCTCCCCCCACAACACCGCCCTGTAGTGACTGTAACATTAAAGGTTTGGTTGTTTTAGCAGTTGTCAGGTTGGCAATCATTTGCTTCCCTCTCCGTCTATCTGCATATTAGGTTTTTAGTCAATCAATAGTTTTGCAAATAAATTACTTGGCCATCCTGTAAAGGTAGAGGCTCACGTCCTTTGGTAAACGCACTGGACGAGAACAAACAGCTCACAGAATGAAAAGTGATACCACTATTATTTTGCTGCTCGCGCCTGAAGCGCACACACTTCGGGCGCGGTTCTGCAAAGGTGAATTATAAGAAGCCCTGGAGGATTGTAACTGGATTGAGGTATAACTAAAAAGCTTGACATTCCTGGAAGAATATACCATATGGATATTATTGAATGTTTGGATCTTACAAAGAATTGGCTTCCAAATTATGAATTAGAATTTTCCACGACCTTAAATTGACTTCCAAGCAAAAACTGGTGAAATTTTGGACCTTTTGTCTAGAATGACAATTATTATAAGGACAGATACAATAAGCATGTCATAGCCTGGGAAAGTTTGACATGACCTATATTAATAATCCTTGCATTTGGTTAGCCCCTTTCACGTCAGGTGTCTGTCCCAAAGAGCTTCACAGGATTTACTGTAAAGTGGAGCGACTGTATTTGTAGGAAAAAACGGCAGCCCAATTGTTGCAATGTCCCACAAAGAGCCATGAAATTGAGGACCAACTGTATTTGAGGTATTGTTCGCCAGGACACAAGGAGAAACTCCCTTCTGTAATAATAATCCTTGCATTTGACATAGCGAGTTATATCTTTGAGACGTCTCAAAGTGATTCACAGAATATACTGTAAAGTTAATTGACTGTAATTCCTATACTCCACTGGAACCTCCCCCTCCTTTGAGCACCTTTCCCTCCAAATTCTCCTTATCTACCGCCACCCCAAGCCCTCCCCCACCTTCATCCCTGACATCTCCACCCTCCTATCTTCCCTCTCCTTTTGCTCTGAACGCTTCCTCATCCTTGGCGATTTTAACCTTCACTTCACCCCCTCCTGCTCGCTCTGCTGACTTTTCCTCCCTTGTCTACCCCCTCAATCTCCCTCCACATCCACTCCGCCACCTACGTCCGCGAACTCCCCCTCGACCTGGTGATCACTCGGGGCCTCACTGTCTCGGACCTCACCATCATCGACAAAGCGATCTCAGACTATCACTTCATCTCCCTTAGCTCAATCCCTCTCCCCACTGCCACCCAACCCACCTCCATCTCATATTGCCCCTGGAAAAAATCTCTCACCTCTCCCTCTCAGCTGCCTTGGAGACATCTGAACTCCTTCCCCTCTGGGCATTCTCCCGCAATGACCTATCCTCCTCGGGCACCCTTCTCCACAGCTCCCTCTCCTTCACTCTTGATTCCCTTGCTCCCCTCTCTTCCCAAACCGTCTCCTACTCAAGCAAATCACCTTGGTACACCAGCCACCTCCGCTCCCTTAAAGCCCAGGGCTTTCCGCTGAGCCCACCTAGCTTAAATCAAACCTAACTGGACCTAGTCAAATACTACCGCTCCGCCCTTGCCTCCGCTAAATTGTTGTTCTACTCCAAAATAATCTTGGAGGCTAAGGACAACCCCAGGCTCCTCTTCTCCATCACAAACCGACTTCTCTGCCAACTGCAAGGCGATGCTGGACTTCCTTGAATCCAAAGTCGAGGGAATCCACTCAGCTGCCTCTGCCACTCCAACTGCTACCCCTTCCCCATCTTCTCCTCCCACTCCATCCCTCCACACCTTTGAACCCGTCTCCCCCTCCTCTCTCGTCACCTACATAACCCGTATGAAACCCACCACCTGCTCCCTCGACCCCATCCCTACCCCCATCTTTACCTCCCAGCTCAATCTCCTTGCCCCTCTACTCACTGACATTGTTAACCTCTCCCTGTCCTCTGGTGCTGTTCCCACCCCATTAAACACCGCTGTCATCATTCTTATCCTTAAAAAACCTTCCCTGGACCTTTCACTACTCCCTAACTACTGTCCCATCTCCTCTTCCTTTCCAAGATTCTGGAACAAGTTGCTTCTCAACTTTGCTCCTTCCTCTCTCGCCACTCCCTTCTCGAACCCTTACAATCAGGCTTCCATACCACCACAGCACAGAAACCGCCCTGCTCAAAGTGACAAATTACATTCTGTCCATCTGCGACCAGGGCTCCTTCACCCTCCTCGTCCGCCTTGACCTCTCTGCTGCTTTTGATACTGTTGACCACTCTATTCTCATCCACCGCCTCTCTTCTCACTTCAAACTCCACGGCGCTGTCCTTGATTGGTTCAGATCGTACCTCTCACACCGCCTGCACTTCATCTCCTCAAACGGTTTCTCCTCTAGCCCCCAGATCATCTCGTGCAACGTTCCTCAGGGCTCTGTCCTTGGTCCCCTCCTCTTCAACACCTATATACTTCCTCTTAGTAACATCATCCGCAGACATAGGGCCAACTTCCACATGTATGCGGATGACACCCAACTCTACCTCTCTGCCTCCACCCTTGACTCCAGGACCACTGCTGTCCTGCCAGAATGTCTGTCAGACATCAAGTCCTGGATGAGAGCTAACTTTCTTCAGTTGAATGTCAACAAGACCGAGGCTCCCCTGATTGGCTCCCATCAGTGCCTCCTCACCTCAGGCGCTGACAGCATCACCATCCATGGTTGCACCATTCACCTTGCTAAGCCAGAGCGGAACCTTGGGGTCTTGTTTGACCCTCAACTAACTATTAATTATTACATCTAACATTATCTCAATAATTTATCTGATAGGTGGAAACAGAATAGAAAGTGAATGAATTTTAGCTAACACTCGCTAACCCTAACTCACTCAGCACTTAAGTTACAGGTAATAATTCAGGTAGGTAAGTTAACACATCAGCACTCATGTGGTACATAAATTGTATGCCCACAGGACTTCTCTACACTTTCTAACTATTCAACTCCAATCTTCAGTTTAAAACTGGAAACAATTATTGGCTCATGTGTAAAATATTGTGAACTAGACAGCCCAATTATAAAGCTGATCCGAGGAATTGTGAATGTGGAAGCCTAGGGGGAATGATTAGAATTTAAAACCACTAACCATTGCAGCAGCAATGACCATATTTAGATATAAATTCTGCCAGCAAACATTGTGATGTCTGCGGCCAGCACAAAGCCTTGCATAACCTTTTAATGAGGAAGCAGTATCCTGACAATACTCATACAATAAATTACATCAGGGACATACAAAGTGATAGGAAATGACTAAAGATGTGATATAATAATATTCCTTGTATTTGATATAGCACCTGATCAGGTCGAGACATCTAAAATGGTTTCACAGAATATACTGTAAAGTGAATTGACTGTATATTTTGTGGGTGAAATGCAGCAGTCAACACACACAGCAGTGTCCCACAAACAGTCGTGGATTAAAATGATCAATTTTTTTAGAAATTTTTTTGAAAAGTGATCCACCAATCGACTAACAACTAGTTCCTACTTACTACAACAACAACAAAATTACATTTGTCTAGCGCCTTTCAAGTAGGGAGGGACGTCCCAAGGCACTGGACAGACAAAGTTACGGACCAAGCTGAGGGTTGGGGTGGGGGAGGTGGAGGGCAGGGGGGGAAATAGGGAGATCAAAAGCATGAAGAGGAGGGTCTTGAGGTGGGTTTTGAAGGTGGCGAGGGAGGGGGCAAGACGGCAGGACTGGGGGATGGAGTTACAGAGGGTTGGTGCAGAGTGGCGGAAGGCCCGCCTGCCAATAGTGGGGTGAGCAAGGCAGGGGATGTGAAGCAGGCCGGAGCCTGCTGAGCGGAGGAAGTGAATAGGGTGGTAGGGAGTTAGGAGGTCAGAGAGGTAGAGGGGAGCAAGACATGGAGGGCTTTGAAGGTGAGGTCCAGGATCTTGAACTGTATCCTCTGCATGATGGGAAGCCAGTGGAGTTGGGCAAGGATGGGATTGATAGGGTCGCGGAGCCTAGTGCAGGAGATGACACGGGCTGCAGAGTTCTGGATGATCTGCAGCCTGTGGAGAGCGGTTGGGGAGGCTGTGGTGAGTTTGCATAGTCGAGCCTCAGTGTATGAAGGTTTCGGCGGCCTGTGGTGTGAGACAGTGCCAAAGCTGGGTGACATTGCGGAGGTGGGGGAAGGCAGAGTGTAGGGTAGAAAGGATAGTTGAGGGTCAAACAAGACTCCAAGGTTCTGGACTGGCTTAGCAAGGTGGAGTTTGCAACCATTGATAGTGATGCTGTCAGCGCCTGGGTGAGGAAGCACTGTCTGGAGACAATCAGGAGAGCCTCGGTCTTATTGACCATCAACTGAAGAAAGTTAGCCTCATCTAGGACTTGATGTCTGACAGACATTCTGACAGGACAGCAGTGATCCTGGAGTCAAGGGTGGAGGCAGAGAGGTAGAGTTGGGTGTCATCTGCATACATTGGAAGTTGGCCCCATATCTGCAGATGATGTCACTAAGAGGGAGCATATAGATGTTGAAGAGAAGGGGACCAAGGACAGAACCCTGAGGAACCCCACATGAGACGATCCGGGGGCTAGAGGAGAAGCCGTTTGAGGAGATGAAGTGCAGGCAGTGTGAGAGGTACGATCTGAACCAATCAAGGACAGTGCCGTGGAGTTTGAAGTAAGAGGAGAGGCAGTGGATGAGGATAGAGTGGTCAACGGTTTTGAAAGCAGCAGAGAGGTCAAGGCGGACGAGGAGGCAGAGTGAGCCCTGGTCGCAGATGGACAGAATGTTATTTGTCACTTTGACCAGGGTGGTTTCTGCGCTGTGGGCGACATGGAAGCCCGATTGGAGGGCTTGGAAGCCTGTTTACTACTAGCCAAACAGAGGTGTCCCCAATAAGGAAACTTGCCTAACATTATGCCCTGCTGGGAATCGAACCCAAGTCTCTCACTTGCGAATTGAGTGCTCTAACCACTGAGCTACATGTCCAAATATCTTTCATTTTTCCTTAAAATCCTTTCATGGTAAATCTATATTCTTCAAGAAAAATAGCAACAGATAAGATCATACACAGCAAAACAAATCTCTGCTCTCTTCTGAATCCTCTCCAACACTTTTAATACTTGGGTTCTCTGTACTATACATAGTATTCCAAATGCAGTCTCCTTGTGATCAATACAAGAGGGAATTGTGCAATGTTTCAGAGTTGTTTAATTAAATAAGAAGAACATGTAATGACTGGTCTGTTGTCAAAAAACAAAAAGCATGTTAAAATTATTCCTGTACTTCAAAGAAAATGGAGAGACTGCTGCAGGGGATGCACCATTTGATTCACGTATCATTTAAAAACAAACATGAAATATTAAAAATGTAAATTTCTGATGAGAATAATGCGAAAATAAATCAAGAAAATATAATGAATAGCATTTAAAATATTGAGTGGCAATTTAGAAAATCTGCTTTGCTCCTACACATAAAACCGAACTGGGTCTAAGTAGTTAATCCAAATAATGTGGGCCATTCAAATTATCACTTGGTACATCGATGGCTCCATAATCTGCAGCGGGAGCAAATGGCCACTTCCATCACTTGAGATTGAGGAAACAACGTCGACAGTTTACAGGAAGAATTCCGGACGCTGGGATTAATGAGGAGGCATTCTTGAAGTACTGTACTGGAATCAGTCAGTGAGCTAAAGAGTAACCCTCTGCTTTGCTAGGTTTCAGTTACAGTGTTAAGAACTCGGAAATCATTACCGAAGAGAATAAATCTGAGTTTCAGATGTACCTTGTTGCTTGTAATCCCTCCTTAACTGAGGTTATTTATTATTCAGAAACTACATTTTCACAATGTTGTCATAAGGCCCAACTATAGGCAGTTAGCATTATTTTTCAATTTGGTTTTATGTTTTCAAATGATCATATTTATTCAAAGTTGATTCACTTTCATTAAAGGGCATGCCTTATACATTATATTTATTTATATATTTATTCATGCAAATGGTCCCTTCACATCCTTTGTGTTTAATGGTAGATCTCATTTCCTTTCTTTCGCTTTTCACTGATGGCTCACTTGTTTTATTTATTTCTCTACGTACATCTGTGCTTACATCTCACTTATTAAATTTTCAAGTATCTTTTCTTTTAAAGCTTCACTTACTTGTTCACAATGTACTCTTCAGGCTTTTAAAACTCAACTTCACATTATCTAACCACTGCTCCTTCCTTTATCTCATCTTTTCTCCTATTTTTTCAGCTTTGGTGGTATTCTGTACAAGACTCTCACAATAAGGCTCCTCACTTAAAAAAGGTATTTTTGCATCATGTATTTTCTCTAAGTTCTCTTCATTGCTCCTCGTGAATTTAAATGCGTTCGTGGAGGGAAGAGTTAGTTTCAATTTACCTGACTTTTTTTTAATTGTGCAGATATATTATTTTTAAATAACTAATTATTGTACTGTAACAACAGGAAAATATTTTATGCAGACACAGGAATTTAAATTCTTGCACTCACTTGTTTAAAGACTCACATTTCCTGGCAGGGTGTTAACTCTCTTGAGGATTATATGTGTCTGGATATGAATAAGTGAAGGTTTCAAAGAAGGCTGGGAAAGAGTACATTAACACTTAAATGAAACATGAACTAACCTTGCTGCTCATTTGAAGTTATCTACTATGAGGACTGAACTACAACCACTTTGTTCACCTTAGGAGGATGTTTCAGAGTGCTTCAAAGGGAATATGCTATAAGTATAGTGACTGTGAATTTTGTAGGTGAAGGCGGTTAGCGAAATTTCGCACAGCAATGTCCCACAAACAGCCATGAGTGAATGGCTAATTTTAACAGGGGGAGTGGAGGGCCTTGGTTAGAACACTATGAGAAACTCCCTTCTCTTTCAAAATAGTATCACGGGATCTTTGACGCTCATCCAAAGAATGAGAATGCAGCATACCCCCATCACTGCACTGAGTGTCAGGCTTGAGTCAAATTCCAAATCCTGACATGAGACTTGATTCCACAAACTTCTGACTCACAGGCAAGATTGCTACTAACTGAGCTTAGCTGACCCGTAAAGACATTTGAGGCAAACAATAATAAATCTTTGCATTTGAAAGAGTGCCTTTCACAAGTGAAATTGAGATAGTAAATGAAAATAAACTTCTCAAACAACAAGGCAAACTGATAAATATACATCTGCAGTGTTTTTTAAATGTATTGACGATTGTGTTTTTATAGTTATCTGGGTTTCAGTGCATGGATTTGTTCATCACCTTCCTACTTTTTCCCCTCTGGTTGATAAGGATTACTAACCTTTCAAATACTTAGGTTGAACACACTAATCTCTCACCTCTGGAATGTTCCAGCAGGTAGTAAGGAATTCTTCTCTCCCTTGGTCTTGTGTATTCTGATAAGGCTCCTCCCTGAAATAAACTTTGCAGCTCTACAGTCAGAATACTTGCCTTAGGCTCGTAACAACAAGCCCATACACACCAATCTACGTCGGCATCAAACTGGCAGTAACTGAATGGATAATAGAAAATACATTGTGAAGTTTTGAGAGCAAAGGAAACACTCAATTCACAAGACAAAAACGTTCGCCACACAACAAGATTGGATTTAAAAGGGGGGCAGGAACCAACCTTTAAAAGGTTCCCATTGTTGGAAATGCGCTACACTTCGATTCACTGTGTAATTAACCATCGTTAGTAAAGTTTGCTGCTTGAAAGCGCAAGAAAGAAATGTTGAGCTTTGCGGTCACGGTTTCCCTGCAGTAAACCCACATTTGGTGATTGGCTGCAATGTCTACGTTTCCAAGGATATGTCACCGAGTTGCTCATCTTTATGGGGGGGCTTCGGCTTGTGAATGTTGATGAAGAGTCACATCGATACCAGTTCTTGATTTAGGTTTCCTCCAGCGAGGGATTTTCCAACAGTAACTCAGCTGTAAGTGGATGAACGCTTCCGGCGCTGAGTGTTTATAAGCTGCGGGAAAGGAATCAAGTCACACAAGCGCTCAGTGCAGACAGAATCAGAGAACACTCGCCTTTCGGTAAGTACAGTAAGTACAATGCTCTCTCTTATAAGTTATGTCTCTTTCGGGTTTGATCATATATGTATTTTGTTGTGTTAATACGTTGGAAAAGACGGACTGTGCATTGCTGTAACTCACTGCGATGTTTTAACAAAGTGGTAAAAGTTGCAAACCGTTGGTGTTTACAATAATCTGATTGACTTAGTGTATTAATTGTTAATACATTTCACAAAAATCCTCTTTTTGTTAAAAAAAAGAATAATGACACCAAAGAATTACCAGTAAAGTGGGTTTGGCGTCGTTACGAATGAACAAAGATGCAGAAGTTTCTGAGTATTGTCAAGTGCAGAAATTCAATTCGAAACCAACCGAGCTATGGATTTTGTATTTGCAGTAACCTTTGTTATATAAAAGATTACTGAGTGCTAAAGAGATCTGTGCTCTGCGTTAAGAGCACTGGCAATTTTATGAATAATGTAATAGAAAAGCTTTAATGGAATTAAGATACTGTGTGATGCATAAAGTACCATTTATAAAGAATAGGTGCACTTCATGACATTCCTGTTACCATAGACTCTTTGGTCGTTGGTCTATGGACTCATAGCCGAAGGGAAAGCACAATTAGCCTTATCACTGGTATTTATTACAGTAATTGGAATAAATACTGAATTGTTTGCTGAGTACTGTACAGTCCGAGTACTGCTGTTGGATCCGGATTGAAATTAACATCAAAAATTAACAAATCTATCACAACAGCCAATTAGAGTATGCAATGATGATTTTAAAATAGTCACGGGTCCACATCTGGATTTAAATAATTCACTGCTTACTTTCAAGTATGTGAATTTGTTCATTGTTTTTCATGGCAACAGTCCTTGATTTCTCACCATATCTGACTCATACTACTATTTTATGAATATCTAATTTCAACATTTCCTGTTTCTGCATAGCCACCATCTGGCATCGGGCCAACAATTAACAATGTTTAATGGAATTGTTAATTTGTTAATTCCTATTTCTCAATGAATGCCTCCTGTGCAAATGTTCATGATGGTTCAACAGCCTATTAATTAACGGCTGAACCACAGTAGAGTGATGCTTCACTACAACTGTAGTTACACTAGACATTATATAAATTATCCTGCATACAATTATGCACGTTATAGACTCCACTGTGAAACAAACCTCAAGGTTGGACTGGTGTGACACTGTGAAAGCGTGTCCTTCTGAACAACTGGTGTTCTTACAGTATGGGTGGGTGCATTACTGCCCATCAACAACAGTAGGCAACAGTTAACAACAATACCCATTGGCTTTGTGTTTGCACAATGCACAATTATTCTGTTATAATTCGAGTACTGCTGTTGGATCTGGATTAAACTTAGCATCAAAAATCAATAAATGTATCTAAAAGTTCAACATGCAGCAGTGAGTAGAGTCATTGTTAACAATATAACTACAAAGACTAATCTTGCTCAGGAACTGGTTCCATTTCTATCTTGCACCTTTGTTTGTAGACGAAGGCCAAGTGGCAGAAATATTAAGAATACCTATGAATTTCTAGGAGTGGTCCAAGTTAAATTAAATTCCTTTGCTCTTTGCCTTTCTGAAATTATACTTTGATAGCCATCGCTTTCAATTTTTGTTTGGCTGTTTTTAAAAACTTACAAAATTATATCAGTGGTGAAGGAATAAAAAGTTTAGAAAACTTCATTTTCCTCTGTACTTTAAAATGAACCTAACAATTATCTGTCACTGCACCGTACACTGGTCCTGACCAATTGAGGAGCAAATGACATATTCTTTGACCTCTCATGGCTGCTCTTGACTCAGTTTTTGGGACTTGTGCAGCTTTGTCCAAAGCTGATCTAAAGTTGACAGAAAGCATTTAGTAATTTCTATAACTAAAGAAATATCTACTCTAAATATGACAAAATTTGTGGTTCAGAAACGCTGCAAATAAATAAATAACACAAATGAATAATAAGCGTATCTAAGCCCTTCACAGAATAAAAAGGAGATCCAAAAGTGGATTGACTGTTTGTTCTGTGGGCGAAAAGGGGCAACCAATTATGCACTGCAGTGCCCCACAAACAGTCAAATAAAGTAAAAAATAATATAGGTCTTTAAACTGGAAAGGCCTACAATTGGAAGGGTGGTGTGAAACAATGATTTGGGGACATTAAGGGGGGAAAATAGTCATTCTTTCCGGAACCAAAGCCATAACAGGTGTCACAAGAAAACATTACACATTGGAGTTTCAATACTCTGACACATGAAAAAATATTGACATATTTAAACTCTGCAGAAAACTGATTTAGTTTACTTTGACTTTGTATTTTTATTTTCTGACCACAATTTCCCAGGCATTGATCCACAAGATTCTTACTCACAACTGAGAATTCTGGAATAAATCATCAAACAGCAAATTTCTTTCTCTGCACGCATTGTAGAATTTTAATCTCAAGATTTCACAATTTTTAAATATAATTTCAGGAGCAATGGAGTAGATTATCGAAATTGAACTCTTATCTAAATACTGTTCAAGAAGCATAGATGATAAAAATGACCCACAAGTTCATTCTATACCACAGGGCTTGGATCTGTTTCAAAGCAGCACATTTTATGGCAACTACATGGCACTTGATATATTATATACTGTGTAATGTTCCACAGCTATAGAATCCAGTGTTTCTTTAGCAGTCAAGTGCTCTGAGACGCTGTCCGGCGTGCAGGGCGCTATATAAATCTAAGTTGTTGTTGTTGTTGTCAACACAAACATTGACAGACAAGGATAGGGCACAAGCTGAAGAGTTCTGGAAGATCTGCAGTTTGTTGAGGGAAAAGTCAGGCGATCAGAGTGTTGATGTAGACTAGCCTGGACATGATTAAGTATGAACAACACCTCAGGCTTAATAGGGCATTATTGGCTGAAATATTAGCGTTGTCATGTGTTTAAAGAAACAACCTTCCTTTATTAAAAAAGTACACAGGAAAACAATCTCTCTGAATTCAAGTATGCTGTTGTTGGAGAAAGTAATGTGGTTTCCATTTCCACTAAACACCTCAAAGAATTTTGCTGGAACATGAATTCTCATATATAACATTAACCCTTGTGCATTGTTTGATCAGTTATGCATGGTTAAAAGCACAAGTTACTGAAAATGATGGGAATCTTTAACACATAGTAACTTGACATTCGTGCAATTAAACACTGCCTTAGTTGCAACATGTCTGGATGAAAGCAAATGTACAAGAATAAAGTGCAGACTTACACAAGGATAGATTAGCTTTTTTCAAAATCATTATTTTTTCATTGCATCAAGCTAATTCGGCCCTTTATAGACATTATAATTGATTTATTCTTCACTGTTTCTGTTTCTCAGAATAACTTCAACAATATAAAAACTAACTGCTGCAGATTCTGAAATACTTTCCCAGAAAGAATGAAGATCCTATTTCTGGCTTTGTTGCTATCATTCATCATCTGTGTCGAGATGGTAAGAAATTTTATTTAACTATGTTGCGATTCCTGTTATTTATTAAACAAAACCTTTTCCTGATGAGAAATCAGGCTTTTTCAAACAATTGATTATTTGGTGACTTTGTTTCCCTGAAAGTTTTAGGATCACTCTGATTCTTTCAGCAGCACGAAGGAAATGTTACTGATGTTTCTCTCCATTTCTTATCAGTTTGCAAGATTAAGCTGTACTCAGCTGAATAAAAGATATCACAACAAAACATTAGTCTCCTTTTGCTGATGTGATGATATTGGTTAAAATCTTGAATTCCAATACTGACGAAGCACTAAAAAATGATATGAATCCTGCATCTATCTTTGTTCTTCTTTATCTAGAACTAACCTATGAGTAAGCTTCAAACCAATCTCCTTATAAAGCCCTTTGTTTCTTCTCATCCATTACAATTTCTTTATTTTCTTTGGCTGAGGCTTTTAAGAAAACTATTTTTTAGCAACATCTATTTGTGGTGAGGACATTTTACTTTCCAATAAGGGGATGCACCATTTTTCTTGTATTTTCTTTTTCATATTTCTCCTGTTTATGCGGAGACCAGACCAATGATCGATTCCTGGGCTACCATGAATACCACTCTTTGGCCTGTGACAAACAAGAGCAGTCTAGTATCGATACATGTTCTGCTTCTTCAACACCTCCCTTCCCAATGTAGAGAAGCCTTAGAAACTGTTGCTTTAGAAACTGTTCACAGATTGTAGCTAATTTCAGAAATTCAACAGAAAATCTCTCAACCTCTATTCTTTGCCACCTGTGCCCCAATGTGCCTTGGCAGTGCTCCACATTTTTAACATTGCATTTTGAAATGCTCCTGGCCAAGCTTCCAGCAAGGGCTGAATGTTTGGTATACCAAGTAGCGAGGAGCAATACCTGTCCCCTTTTAGTCCATGTTCATTATTTTTTCTTTTCTTCTTTATAATATTTATTAACTTTCACCAACTTTAATCCATCCCAATTTTGAATCAAGAGATGATCTTTCTCACCCACCCCCCAAAAAAAATCTCAACTTGACTCCAAGTTTTACAGAAAGTTTTAAAATGAATTTGAATAGTGCCTTTTTCCTCAAACTCAGAAGCAGAGGTAACAGCAAATTGTTATGGCACCTAATCATTGTATAGTTCCGGTATGTTTGTAAATAAATAAGAAACTGTATTATCCTGGGCAAAAGTCCTATGTGTGTTTGAATTTGATTGATTTAAACCCTGTCTACCCTCAACAAAGGCATAATGATTTTATAAAATTAGATTTTTCATTTTCAGATTCCAATGAGGAAGAAGTTGAATAGAATGAAGAATCGTGTTTCAAGCAAAAGAGGTAATCTCTTTTTAAGTGTTAAGTCTGGGCATTTTAAAACATTCCTCATCAGATAATTAGTGTTCATTACCTTACGTTAGTCATTTCTACCCCCCAATATTGAACTCAGCAATATAGTGATGGGCTGCTACCAATGACCTAAAAATACTGAGGATGGAAAGGGAAAAAATGTACATTGCCCACCCGCGATCTCTACCTTTTGGCCCTCCGGCAAAAATACAGATTTAAATAAGAAGCAAGATATTTTGGGTACATTTCTGATTTTGTCAATTTGAATAATTTGTAACCTGATTATGGTATTATTTTTGAATTAAAAACTAAAATTTGAATTGATTTCATATGTCCTTGCCAGATAAATGTGTAGAATCACCAACTGAAATCTACAGAAGAGGCCAGTCATGGCTGCGATTGTATGAAAGTGAAATACAGAAATGCACATGCACAAGGAGAACACTGTGCTACAATGTGCGCACAAAAGGTAAATCCCTGTTTCAAAACACTAATTCTGGTGACAATCACATTTGGGACTTCAATAAAAGATTTTATGCCTTACCTATAATTTGTTCCCCGATTACTATCCATACAGATTGTTCCACAAATAAGTGTTTTCATGGAGGAAGGTGTGCAAGCCAGCTTCACTCAGAGCACTACCTTTGCCTGTGCCCTGCTGGATATCGTGGAAAACACTGTGAGACAGGTATGCCACCATGAAACAAGCCGTTAGACCTGCAAGTGAACAATTGGCTTAATAATATTATTTGTTGCATTTGATATTACCTCATCTTGCTATTAAAGCATCTTAAAGTACCAAACAGAATTTCAATGTTAAGTGTAGAGATTGTGTATTTGTAGGCGAACTGCATTTCCACACAGCATACAGCCATATAAAATTTATTGATTTTAGTGTTCCATTGAGTAAATTTGAGCGACGTATATTTATTCAAATAGTATTGGTGGGGAGTTAAGCAACATTGTGGGTGTGGGGTACAGTGGTGCCACAGGCCATTAGAGCTCTGGAATAACATGCTGGAAGTGTCAGCATACCGCTGAAAACCATTGCACACTTTGAGTTCCTACGCTTTGCTGATTTGTTGAGGGAGAAGGAAAAGTGCTGTGGAGAAAGAGTTGGCTGGGGAGTACAAGCAACAGTCCTCTTTCCTCCTTTAGAATACCTACCATACATAGTCACAAATTCATTCCCTCTATTCTATGTGAACATCCGAGGATTTTAGCTGCATGATATATAATTATATTCATTAATTAAAAGGTAGTACAGATTGTTTTTGCAGTACATTGATTTGTGAGCAGAACAATTTTCCTAATAGAAAGTTGAAACCCAGTTTTACAGATACCCAGATGTATCTCATGCTTTTTTATGCTTCAAAAAAATTATGGATGAGAGAACATAGTACAAGAACCTGTTTAACTCTGAACGGGGTTTAAGGAAATATATATTCGACTAATAGGACCCTCATTTAGATACAGAAATATTATGTTGCTATTCCAAAAATATATTTTAAAAAATTGCCTACAAATAAGCAGTTACCAGCCTCAATAATGCACTGTATCAAGTGCACAGATTATTATTAAATTTTTTAGGTACCTTTGGCATTTCATGTGCCTGTAAAGTATCAAAGCCTATTGGCCATGTTTCAAACGTTGCATATATGTTAATTCAAACTAAATAATAGATTGCCTAATTAGCAATGGGACAATTTTATTCAACTTCAAAAGTACTATACATAGATGCAAAAATCAACTGCCAAATGTAACTGCCTTCAAGACCCATCTCAAGACCCTCCTCTTCGACCGTGCTTTCGACCTCCCAGATTCCCTCCCATGTCCTCCACCCTCCCCGACCCCAAGCTCGAGTCCGTAACTCTGCCTGTCCAGCGTTTGGGATGTCCTCCCGACCTGAAAGGAGCTTTACAAATCTAATTTTGTTGTTGTTGTTGATGTATTTATGTGTTCTTTCTAGATGTGGATACCCAGTGCATTAATGACAATGGAATAGGCTACAGAGGCACAATAAATTACACAGTGTCTGGTACAAAATGTTTGAAATGGAATGCACGTGCTGTTGCTAAAAGAAGGTACAATGCAATGAGGGAAGATGCATTACAGCTGGGCCTTGGGAGCCACAACTATTGCAGGTGAGGCACCGTCATAAAATCGTATATCATAGAATACCAAATGAGGGAAAATTTTCTCTAATGTGGCCCACGAACGTTCACAGAAATCTAAATTAAAAAGGTCTGAGAAAAGTTACACATATTAAGTCTGGCATTGATCCAAAGATCACATACCTAATAGGATTTTTTCTATTGAAAAGCAATTTGTACACATTTTGCACATTAAATCTGAACAAAATGATTTCAGAAGACATGCAATTTGGCTTAAGTTTGGCTTGAGTTTGGAGTGTTATTTACAATGCATGAAAAATGGTCAATGTTCACCCATATTGTGGAGTCCAATAGCTCAGTGGTTAGAGCAGTCGCTTTGCAAGTGAGAGACCTGGGTTCAATTCCAGGAAGGGCGAAATCTTGGGCAAGTTTCCTTACTCCACACGCCTAATAATAATCCCTCCAAAAAAACNAAAAACAATAATAAATTGGTCACTTTCAATCTACGACTGCTTGTGGGACATTGCTGTGCGCAATTGGCTGCCGCGTTCGCCCACAAATATACAGTCAATTCACTTTAGTGTGTTTTGTGAAGCGCTTTGGAACATCCTCCTGACGTGAAAAGCACTATATCAAATGCAAGGATTATTATTATTATATATGTGATTTTCTAGCAATATACAGAATAAACTTAAGTGTGATGCATCCTTAAAATACTTAAGGTTTGGGGAAAGATTGATTGTAAAACAAGTATGATAAACAAAATAAGTTGATTTAATTTCAATTAATATTTAATTAAAGTTTACCTATTGACTAATCTATTTTTGGTTTTTTACTCTCGCAAAAGGAATCCAGACAATGATATCATGCCTTGGTGTTTTGTTAAGGGTGCAAATATCTGGAAGTTTTGTGACATTCCAAAATGTCCACCGGTACTCAGTAAGTGAAATCTTAACATTGCTATTGAAAAAAAACTATTACGAATGATTTGTTAACATTTTCCAGAAACAAGTAGTTGGTGAAAAGGAACTTGAATGTGATTGATAAAGTAATGTGATTGATACAGTATTTACCATTGTGAGCCTCTCTCACAGAGACACACATACAAACACACATTTGTATATGTATTCTAATATATATATATTAAGATTGTTTTCTTAATAATATAATTGTGGATTTTCTATAAGCTCAAATGTAAACCTGAACCTTTATGTTTCGGGCTGTGCTACTGATCTGACCTAACTTTTTCCAAAAGCCATCTCCGTAAATTGGATGGGGTTAGTCTGGATCTAGGCTTTCATAGTGTTTACAAGATGTTAATTGAATGTTTACATGATTTGATAAGCATAATCCAATGAGGTTCACCGTTTTTTAAAAACTTTTCCCCCCTGCATTAGCTTCACCATGTGGTCAGAGAAAGCAGAAAATTGGAAAGATTGTTGGAGGAAATGTTGTCACCATAAAATCTCACCCTTGGCAGGTTGCGGTCTACAGAAAAGATAGACGAGACGAAAATTATTTCTTTCATTGTGGAGCAAGTCTCATTCATCCCTGCTGGGTGGTGACAGCAGCTCATTGTATTCTCCCAAAGTAAGTTAAAATTCATCGTCATGCAACTGTGTTGGATGAATGCTTTGCACCACTTCAGAAATTTTGAGTTACATAGTATTAATATGAACATGAAAGTTCATATTAGCTGAGTATTCAACAGCCTAATTCAACTTTATGACTGAAGAGCTTACCTACTGGAATGACTAACACTATTTTCCTCCCATATAGTACCCTCCATACAGACTATCAGGTAATCCTGGGAAAATCATCAACAAACGAAACTTCTGAAAATGAACAAAAATTTTTTGTGGAAAATATTACTGTTCACCAAGAGTTCGATTCAATGACATACAACAATGACATAGGTAAGACTTAGTTTGTTAAAGTAGTCATTTTGCCTGAAGTGCTGGCAACTTTGCGGTAGGGAATAACATGAATACAGCATGATCAACAGCAGCAACAACTTGCATTTATATAGTGGCCTTCATGCAGGGTAGCATCTCAGAGCGCTGAACACTTGCGCAGTTTGATGCTGAGATGGGAGCAAGGGGAGGTGACCATAGGCACGCAGTCAAAGAGGAAAGTCTTCAGGTGCAATCTGAAGGTGAGCAATGAAGGAGCTAGACGATGGGTTTGAGGCAGGGAGTTCCTGAGGTTTGGGGCAAAGCGGTGAAGCAGGCTGCCGATCGTGAAGTGAAGGGGTGGTCATCAGCTGAGTCAGACTGGCACAAATGTCTTCCAAATCCCTTCAGTAGTTTAGTTCCACAGACTATTGTTGAATATACTGTTGCAAATCAGGTGGAATGGTAGATTTTCCCATCAAAGGTTTTAAAAGTTTGAGACTATTTTCATTCCTTTTCCTTTAGCCCTTTTAAAGCTAAAAGCTCCATCCGGAATGTGTGCTAAAGAATCTGAATTTGTGCAGATGGTATGCTTACCTTCTCAAAACCTTACATTTCCTGACAAGACTCTGTGTGAAGTTTCTGGATATGGAAAAGAGAAAGAATGTAAGTTGAACACTAACATTTATACTTTAATGAAGTAACTTTATCTACAAGTCTCTCCACCCAAAAAAAAATGTTCCCAATGTTTCTCTGTTATGGAAACAAACAAACAGAATTGAAGTCAACAGATGACAAATGTGCAAGGAATAAAAATAATACTCATCAGAGAAAGTTGAATCTAAAGATCTATGAAATGTTGATATCAATATGTCAAATTCCTTTTTGTTATGGATCTCAAAAATGTGTGATTGATGGAGAAACTTAGGCAGACCTGTGCATTATTCCCAACACTTGGTGCAAGGATATATTAAGTCAAATATTGCAACACTTTGCTGAAGACCAACTTTCCTTTGCTGCTGTTTTTAATCAAGTGCTTATTTTTTCCAGTTTCTCCTTTCTATTCCAAACGACTAAAGGAGGCAAAAGTGAACTTGATTTCCAAGCAAGTATGTACATCGGCTGATTATTATGGAAGCCTATTAACTGACAACATGTTGTGTGCAGGGCATCCCAACTGGAAAGCAGATTCTTGCAAAGTACGTAAATTTAACAAAGGTCATTTGGTTTTCCTCACTAAATAGGAGAAAGCACCATTGAGAACCTTTCTTACAGTAAATTATAAATGAAATTCTCCAGAGCTGTTGAACATTTTGATTTCAATGTATGAAAAAGTAGTTCTCATTGGTTTACAAAGCCAAATTTCTACTCATTTTCATCTCTTTAAATACTTAATCATATTCTAATTCATAGTTGTACAGATGCTTTTCAACTTTTTTTAAAAACAGTAAAAAACATAAAATACCGAATTTATCAAAGATATAATAAAGGTGAAGAGGATTTATTCATTTTATTCTTTTTCTTAATAACAGGGAGACTCTGGTGGCCCATTAGTGTGCGAGGATAATGGACGGATGATTCTTTACGGAATCGTCAGCTGGGGAGAAGGATGTGCCACGGAAAAGAAACCAGGGGTTTATACAAGAGTAACAAACTACATCAAGTGGATTGAGCAGAATATGTGATTTCCCATGAAGAGATTGAACTGACTGACCAGAAAGTAAGGTGGTCAATAATAAGCTTAGAATGACCATTTCCAATGAACCATGTTATTGTAGATGGATTACCTTCATCCAACCTACCTCACCTGCTGCAATTTGTTCAAGTTCTGATAATTTTTTGTCTGGGCCAGATTACAATTCAATGATTTTACATCTTTTCAGCATTCAACAGACATTGTTTTAACATCTATAAAAAAAGTCACAATACTTCACAGTAAAATCAAGTAATCCACTTTGAGATGCTTTGACAACGTGATAAGGAGCTCCACCAGATTCAACGATTATTATTATTTAAAATGGAGAAACAGACTGTATCTGAAGACCAAAATATCTGTTTCAGGCCTTTTCTTTCACAATATGTTCACATTCGCAGAATCAATTTATTAATTGAAATTTGGCAGTTATAAAGCAAACCTAAGGACTATATTTTCATTTCTTCACCTGTCAGGATATTTAAAAGTACAATATGCCGCTTGGAGAGAAAGAAAAAACTATTTTGATCTAACTAATGTTTGTAATCAACTAGTGGAAATCCAACTATTAAATATGTTTGGTTCCGCTGTTCCTGAAATTCCAAAAGCTTAACCCAAGTTCCCCATCTCCAAATGAACATTTTCAAAGCCCAAGTCTTCCAAATCAGCCTGTATGCTCCTTTATATCTCCTTTATTTGATCTGGTGTTGATATCTCTACAAAGCCATCAAAATATTTTGAGTATTTATAGTGTTTTATCTATAAAGGCTTCCTTTTTAAGTACTGAAGATTCAGATTCTCAATTAGCGATTTATTTCTGCTTTTATAATATTAATAATCAGTGACAAATATACCATGGTTATGGTGCACCACTTCTTTAATATATTATGATCTTGCTGAATGTTAATATTCCAAAGCTAATAGGGTCTCTAGAACTAGTTAACAGATTTTTTGTATAGATTTAATTATTTTTTATTATTATTGCTATGATTATTATATGTATTTAAGTACCACTTATTTTATTCACCATACAAATAGTCAATATTGTTTATGGGTGAATGAAAAGTAGGTTTTTAATTATGCCAATAATTGATTTTTGGATAAGTCAAACTATGTTTGTTCTATGTAAGTTAAATGATCCAATGATATTTCAGAAACTTTTCAAATTGATATTTTTATATATAAATAAATATACAAATCACAAAATTCATCTGCTTTAATAATAACTTTGTATTGATTCTTTCTATTTTTTCCACTGATTTATGTACAAATGTATTAAATAAAAAATCCTTGAAATTTTAAAACATCGAAATGAGCTGTGCATTTACACTAACTTACTTTTTTAAAAAAAGTCAACCAGATGATTGACACATGCATAAATCCATCACTATGCTCAATAGAATCAAAATAAAACAGAGATTGATGTATACCACTTTCACATGGAAACGTCTGTTTGGAGTGGAATCGCACTCTCTCCCCAGAAGGACCCATCCTCCTTACATATTTCCTAGTACAACGTGCAGGTTGGAAAGAGCCAAACATGCAGACTATTGAGTGTGTGTTGGGATAACTACCAGAGTTTAACCAGCTAAAACTGCCTACCTCAGCATTCAGACCACAGCCTGGCAAGCTTTTCTCTGCATGTGCAGCTCGGGTTATCCTACCTTTTATGGCTTTGGCTTTCCTATATTGCTCTTTTGCAAATAATATTTTGGCCACTTTTTGCACTTTCCACTTTTCATGTCTTTTATGGGACATTGCTGTGTGCAAATTGGCTGCCACAAAACACACAGTTGCTACACTTTACAGTATAACCTGCGAAGTACTTTGCAGCATCCTTCCAACATGAAAAGGTGCTATACCAAATGTAAGGATTATTGGAAGCTAATTTAAACCTGCAGCCTTCTGACCTATATGGATATACATAGTTTAGAGCAACACTGATCAATATTTCTACCCTTTTTACCCATCTTGAGTTGCTTACCATTGAATGTTCCATCTATCATATAATATAGTCAATACACCTTGAACCAAAAGCAGGAATCAGTAAAAACTGTCTACATTCATTGTTTAAAACAGCCAACAGAAGGAAGCTTCAAATTTATCCACACTGAATCAAACCAGATCTGACTTTGTAAACCCCTAATACCAGTCAGTTCAACTTAACTATTTTTATTAACTAAGTACAGTGACAAACATTCTTTTCAGGTTGATTCCAGGGCATAATCTTAGGGAAAACATCACTATTTCATTCCAAACAACAATTCAAGAACTCAATTTACTGCAAATCAACCTTTCCCTGGAGATTTTCATGTAACTAAGTTAAAGTTGGATTTATTTGCTTCTAATAATGACAATACGCAAGTGGGAAATGACAGTCATACAATTCTTATCAAGTTGGACATTGCACATTTGTTGGAAATAAATGTGAAAGAAAAGCAATATTTAAGTCCAAGAAATGACTGTTCGAATGGATCTCATTCACAACTTGCAAAATGTCACCTTCCTTCAGAATATATTTGGCATGATTATCTTGGTTACTATCACAAGTTTACGATTGTCTTTCGAATGACTTCAATAGCCTCCTTCTCGCTCACTACAAATTTCAGCTGCACCCAGCTCCTCTCCAGCTGAGCCTTTTCTGTAGTGTGTGCTATTTACCTGGAGCAAATGATCAGGCTCAGCCAATACTCGTCTGTCTCCTCAAAATAAGAAAGGAAATTTATTAGCAATCATGCTGCATCCTTTTCCAATTAAAGAATAAGGTTTTAATTCTGAATAATAAATGAATATCATAAATTTTATGTATGTACATACATAGACTTTAAAGTGATAAGTAAAAGAATAAAAGATAAGTAAAATAAGTAAAAGACACAGTGCAAAAAGTGGAGGGTTTTGCTGACTACATGTATATATATAGATGTATGGTACTTTGCTTAAAAAAGGTAATTTTTCTATACAGTACAGAAAAAACACATAAACCATCAGACAGGTTACTCGATCAGTGATGACGCCTGCTGCACATCCCCTACCCATTCATTTTCACCATCGGTGACTGAGCCTTCGCCCCTAATCTTTGGAACTCTGCCTCTCATCCCACTACTTTGCCCCCTCCCTATCTATCTTTAATTGAAAGAGCCCTTATAGTATGAATGCTGCCACAAGAACTATTTCTATTGAGGGTAGTACTGCGATTGTACCCCCACACCCACCCTTCTTTCATTGGTAAAGTGAATTGGAAAACTAAGTGGCTATGAATGGAATGCAGAGCTGTGATATTGTGTTGCAAATTCCAAGGTGTTTATAGTGGTAGTAACTGGTTTGCAATGTTATGATACAATGGTTTGAAGTGTGGCACTTAAGTAGCTGGATACAATTTATATCACAGTTAATTACAGTGGGTTACTTAATCCTCTTTTTATCCTTTACATTTAATTGTTTTCATTTTNAAAAATTATTTTAACCTGAAACATTTCTCACTCAACAAAACAATTGTAACTTTGCCTTTGCCTCGCCCCTTCCCTCGCTTCCTTCAAGAGCTACCTCAAGACTTTTTGCTTCGACCACGCCTTCGGTCATCTTCCTACCTTCACCTCCCCTCCCTGGCCCTTGCCCCTCCCAAATCCAAACCCCAGCTCAAGTGCAAACCCTCAACTGTCCAGTCCTCAGGATTGCCTCCGGATATGAAAAGCGCAATATAGATGCAATTTGTTGCTGTAGTATCGAGGGAGCCAAAGAATTTGAAGCTATTTCAAGATTGTTCTCCTGTGATCCAAATCATGCGCCTTGCTTCGAATCTACTGATTAAATCTTATCATACATGCACATGATTCAAATAAACAGGAAAACATAATTTAAAAAGCTTTCAAGCAGTTGACTGATTTTTGAATGCTTTGGCTTTTTTTTGAATACATACAGAACAGATGCTGATTATAATTTGTTACGATTCAACATTCTTCAGATCGATATGAAATCCATGAATATCACGAGGACGAATGCTGAATGTTACAGTTTGGATTGGATTTAAAACGTCTGTGTTGAACAATGATCCCTTTATTTCTTTAATTACCTAATTGTCCTCAGTGAAGGAGTAATAATAATCCTTGCATTTAATATAACGCCTTATCACATCTTCAAGAAGTCTCAAAACGCTTCATAGAATATACAGCAAAGCGAATTGACTTGTACTGCAAAGTGAATTGTATATTTTGTGGGCGAAACGCGGCAGTCAATTGTGCACAGCAGTGTCCCACAAACAGTTGTGGATTCAGTAGCAAGTTATACGGGATAGCAGGATCTTAATTTGCAGAATTGTTGCCCTGGACCAGAGACAATATGTCAAGAAGAATGGTGACATACTGATTGATTCTTGATACGTGTCTATCTAATTCTGTGAAAGCTGCCTTGATTTCAGATTGCAAACATTAAATCCAGTCGAGTGTCAAGATTTCAATTGTGATTTTTAAAGAAAACTACCATGTAAGGATCCCACACCTAATATACTCCATCACATACAGAATTTAAAAATAAAGGTGAAATTGCACTTGCTTTGAATAGAATTTGATTTATCAGATGAAATACTAACATTATAGTTCTAACACAATTGATGTCTGTTTCCAAATCAAATTGTGCAAGTTATTTACCTGTCATGCCACAGTACACCACATTAATTCAACTCCTCACACTTTGTGTAATGAGTGAAAGGACTCTTAAAATACTTTTTGGTTCCAGAACTGGGTTAATAATCCTTGCATTTGATATACACAGGCTATACTGTAAAATGGAGTGACTGCGTATTTTGTGGGTTAAGGTGAAGCATTTCAAAAATATTGTGTTTGGATGTAGAAGAACTCCATGTTTTTCTCTTTAAAAGCTTTGAAGGATGATAGGGAGTTCCAGGTATTATTTCTTGCTCTGACAAACTGCAGTGCAGATGCAGGTTGAGTACTAACAAACACTACCTGAGGTACCTTGGAAGAAGCCAAGCGTACAGCTCTGCTTATGCTAATTAATTGTGAGCAGCGCACTCTAGTTTGTCACGCTTGTTTTATGCTTTTTCCTTATACACTGTAAGACCTTTTTCCAAAATAGCATATAAACCTATAGTTGCTACTTACGTTTTATATATTTCATCAGATCCACTAAGATTATTGTACCCATTTCTGTTTCCAGAGTAACAAAGCACTTTGAAATGTTTCACAATACTGCAAGTTTAATCATGTGATGTTTTCTTGCACTAACTGTGTTCTGGGACTCGAATAAGTGGACTTGTTCACC